GTTTGGTACCATCATGCATTAATTCCTTTTTCCTCTATTTCCCACTCCAAACATTTCCATAACCACTCACATACACAAAAATAAAAAACCAGACAGAGAGAAAAAAACTTGTTTTGGGAGTTCTGTTGTTATCTTCCTCACAGAAGAAAAATCTCTCCATCACCATCTGTTCTTATGCCCTGCTTCTATTCATTCACTTGTTCACAGCTGCAGTAGTGCTGTTCCATGGCGGAGGTGGTGTTGGCTGGCTTACGTTTGGCAGCAACACCAATCTGTGTGAAGCTCCTCTGTAATGCTTCGACGTGCCTTGGCGTGGACATGACGCGTGAGCTCCATGAACTGGAGACCATCATCATACCACAGTTCGAGCTGGTGATTGAAGCAGCTGAGAAAGGAAACCACAGAGCCAAGCTGGACAGATGGCTCCGGGAGCTCAAACAAGCCTTCTACAATGCTGAGGACCTTCTGGACGAGCATGAGTACAACATCCTTAAGTGCAAAGCGAAACACAAGGATTCTCTAGTGAAAGATTCCACCCAGGTTCATGACTCTTCCATCAGCAATATTTTGAAGCAGCCTATGCGTGCTGTGTCCAGTAGGATGTCCAATCTGCGCCCAGAGAACAGAAAGATACTTTGCCAGTTGAATGAACTGAAGACCATGCTGGAGAAAGCCAAGGAGTTCCGTGAGCTGATTCACTTACCTGCTGGTAATAGTCTTGAGGGTCCCAGTGTACCAACAATTGTTGTTCCTGTAGTGACATCGCTATTGCCGCCAAGAGTATTTGGTCGCAACATGGATCGCGATCGCATAATACATCTTCTTACTAAGCCAATGGCTACTGTTTCTAGCTCAGTCGGCTACTCTGGTTTGGCCATTGTTGCACATGGAGGAGCAGGAAAATCCACCTTAGCACAATGTGTTTACAATGACAAGAGGGTACAAGAACATTTTGACGTCAGGATATGGGTCTGCATCTCACGCAAACTTGATGTTCATCGCCATACACGTGAGATTATCGAGTCAGCAACAAATGGAGAGTGCCCTCGTGTGGACAATCTTGATACTCTCCAGTGCAGATTGAAGGACATAATGCAAAAATCAGAGAAATTCCTGCTTGTGTTGGATGACGTCTGGTTTGATGAATCCGTCAATGAGAGGGAATGGGACCAGTTGCTTGATCCTCTTGTTTCTCAGCAGGAGGGGAGCAGAGTTTTGGTGACTTCTAGACGAGATGTACTTCCAGCTGCTCTTCACTGTAAGGATGTTGTTCATTTGGAAAACATGGAAGATGCCGAGTTCTTGGCTCTATTCAAATACCATGCTTTCTCTGGAACAGAAATCAGAAATCCACAGTTGCATGCACGGCTAGAAGAGGTCGCAGAGAAGATTGCTAAAAGGTTAGGACAATCGCCTTTAGCAGCAAGGACAGTAGGCTCCCAGCTGAGCAGGAATAAGGATATTGCCATATGGAAAAGTGCTCTAAATATTGAAAACTTAAGTGAGCCCATGAAAGCTCTGTTGTGGAGTTATAATAAATTAGATTCACGTCTGCAGAGATGTTTTCTGTACTGCAGCTTATTTCCAAAAGGTCACAAGTATAAAATTGATGAGATGGTTGACCTTTGGGTGGCAGAGGGGCTAGTTGATTCACGCAACCAGGGGGATAAGAGAATTGAAGATATTGGCAGGGATTACTTCAATGAGATGGTGTCAGGATCTTTCTTTCAACCAGTTTCTGAAAGATATATGGGTACATGGTACATTATGCATGATCTGCTTCATGATTTGGCAGAGTCACTGACTAAAGAAGACTGCTTCAGATTAGAAGATGATGGGGTGAAAGAGATACCAGCCACTGTTCGACATCTATCTATTTGTGTTGACAGTATGAAATTCCATAAGCAAAAGATCTGCAAGCTACGTTATTTACGCACTGTTATCTGCATTGACCCTCTCATGGATGACGGAGATGATATTTTTAATCAGCTATTGAAGAATCTGAAGAAGCTACGTGTACTACATTTGTCGTTTTACAACAGTAGCAGCTTGCCTGAATGTATTGGTGAGCTGAAGCACCTTCGATATTTGAGTATCATCAGCACATTGATTTCTGAACTGCCAAGATCATTGTGTACTCTTTTCCACTTGGAGCTACTTCATTTGAATGACAAGGTCAAGAATTTGCCGGACAGACTCTGTAATTTAAGAAAGTTACGACGTCTTGAAGCATATGATGACAGAAACAGAATGTATAAATTGTATAGAGCAGCTCTCCCTCAAATTCCTTACATAGGCAAGCTATCTTTGCTGCAAGATATTGATGGATTTTGCGTGCAAAAGCAGAAGGGATATGAGTTGCGACAACTGAGGGACATGAACAAGCTCGGTGGTAATTTGCGTGTCGTTAATCTTGAAAATGTAACTGGAAAGGATGAAGCCTCAGAGTCGAAGTTGCATCAGAAAACTCATCTTAGAGGTTTGCATCTCTCCTGGAATGATGTGGATGACATGGATGTTTCACATTTGGAGATTCTAGAAGGTTTGAGGCCGCCATCTCAATTGGAGGACCTTACAATCGAAGGTTACAAATCCACCATGTACCCAAGCTGGTTACTTGATGGATCCTATTTTGAGAATCTAGAGTCTTTTACGCTTGCTAATTGCTGTGTGATAGGAAGCCTACCACCCAATACCGAGATCTTTAGGCACTGTATGACACTTACCCTTGAGAATGTCCCGAATATGAAGACACTACCTTTTCTTCCAGAAGGTCTCACAAGCCTATCAATTGAGGGGTGCCCACTGCTTGTGTTCACTACTAATAACGATGAACTGGAACACCATGATTATAGGGAGAGCATCACGAGGGCAAACAACCTGGAAACACAACTTGTTTTGATATGGGAAGCGAATTCCGATTCAGATATTAGGAGCACATTGTCGTCCGAACACTCATCCATGAAGAAGTTGACGGAATTGATGGATACTGATATGTCGGGAAATCTTCAAACCATTGAAAGCGCTTTAGAAATAGAGAGAGATGAAGCCTTGGTTAAAGAAGATATCATCAAAGTATGGCTCTGTTGCCACGAGGAGAGGATGAGATTCATTTATTCAAGGAAGGCTGGGTTGCCGTTGGTTCTACCATCTGGACTATGCGTACTCTCTCTTTCCTCCTGTAGTATTACAGATGGAGCTTTAGCTATTTGCCTTGGTGGGCTTACTTCACTTAGAAATTTGTTCTTAACAGAGATTATGACTTTAACTACGCTTCCACCGGAAGAGGTCTTCCAACATTTGGGCAATCTTAGATACTTGGTCATTCGTTCCTGCTGGTGTCTCAGATCATTCGGGGGCTTGCGATCTGCTACCTCTCTTTCAGAAATAAGATTATTTTCCTGTCCTTCTTTACAGTTGGCACGTGGCGCAGAATTTATGCAAATGTCCCTTGAGAAGCTATGTGTATACAACTGTGTGCTTTCAGCTGACTTCTTCTGCGGTGACTGGCCACATCTGAATAATATTGGGTTATGTGGGTGTAGAAGCTCTGCGTCCTTGTATGTTGGTGATCTTACCTCCCTCAAATCATTCTCACTATATCATTTGCCAGATTTATGCGTGCTGGAAGGTTTGTCTTACCTACAGCTTCACCACGTGCATTTGATAGATGTTCCAAAGCTTACTACCGAGAGCATCTCACAGTTCCGCGTACAGCGTTCGCTCTATATTAGCAGTTCCGTTATGCTCAACCACATGATCTCCGCTGAAGGTTTCAAAGTTCCAGGGTTTCTCTCTCTTGAAAGCTGCAAGAAGCCATCCGTTTCATTCGAAGAATCTGCAAATTTCACATCCGTCAAGTGCCTGAGGTTATGTAATTGTGAAATGAGGTCACTACCAGGAAATATGAAGTGCCTATCCAGTCTAACGAAACTCGATATCTATGACTGCCCCAACATAACATCTCTACCAGATCTGCCGTCCTCCCTCCAGCATATATGTATATGGGGTTGTGAGCTTTTGAAGAAGAGCTGCAGGGCACCTGATGGAGAAAGCTGGCCAAAGATTGCGCATATCCGCTGGAAGGAATTCAGATGAATTGTGCTTCAGAATCACTACTACGGAGAAGCGCAAAGGTGAAGGTCCCATCAATGCATTATCAGAAGTACTCTATGTAATATTTATTTCATTCGCTCATGATCTTACGAACACATCATTAACTTCACGTTTCCTTTGTTTTGCAGACACCCCAAGATTTGCTCTCTCAGGTAACTTCGTCTCTTCGCCACCTGCTACAAGGTAGAGCGCCTCATGCTCATATAGCAGTTTCAGCTCTCTCCTGTAGTCCTGTGGTCTGTCCGGTTGTGCTGTCCACTCTGTTCCCTGCTTCGTCGATTGCCACATTTACGTTTCCCTGCTGCCTTCTACCGACCCACGCCTCCCTTCATCCGGTCTCTGCCACTGACGGCCCATGATCGTGTCCTTTTGCTTTCACCCCTTAAATGGAGTCTTGTTGGTCCAAGAAAATCTCTGTTTGTCTGTTGAACACTCAACTATCTCTCGTATTTTGTGTGATATCGCTCGTATTTGATTGCGTGATGTGATAATATATTGAAGTAATTGGATTTTGTACTTCGCACAAATATACAATATGCTACTGTACAAGTGTTTGTCTATGTAGTTTTCATAAAGCTTGTATGATTTGTGGAAGTTTCATATGTTTTTTTTAGCATGATGGTTCTCACCTCACATACAATGTGTCCTTGTTGAGCTGCCTGGCAGTTTGCCACAATTTGATTTGTCACCAAGCTGTTTCGTTGCACTCTCTAGCGCTTGTACAATTCCAGTTTGACTTCTTAGTTCTTATTTTATGACCCCGGTTGAGTAAAGATATATAACCTCGGTCTCTAGACATAGTTAAAAGTTATATTTTTAGACGGAGGGTGTACCATACATCCACTGCATTTGAAGCAGGCCAGAGCCGCTGGATACAGACGTACTGACTCAAATCGTGTGCCTGCTGTATGATTTATGCATATTTCCAGTTAAAATAATCCAGTTATGTTGTTTCATGCGAAGGTGTAATGGTGTATCAGCGTTTTCTTTTTTTCAAAAGATATTTCTAATGAATACTGCTCAAGATTACCAGGTTTTTCTAACAAAGAGCGAAACAATTGGCACGAATAAATACTCCAATCTCGGGAGAGAGAGGAGATAAAGGGGTCATTTGGGACAATACATTGTGGCCAACGCTCGGTGCACTGTCATCTGAATGGAAGGGCCATAACCCATCACGTCCTGTTTCTGGTTTTTGCCGTACGTTCCTTCTCCTCTAGCGATAGCCTCCCCGTCCACGTCTATTATGCCACCTCGTTTTGGATTCTCCACAAGCTGGCCTGGTGATAACCGAAGACATCTCACCTGCAAAGTCAAAGCAAGTAGTGCCATTTGTAACTGAATATTCTAAACTGGGGAGGTTAATACTTCATGATTTTTCACTTTGGAAGAACAGTATCGTGGATTGTGATGGCCATTGCTATTTTATTGTTAACATCATCCTTTTATCAGGGATGAGGAAATAAACTAACCTTTAGATACGTAACGTATGGTGATTTTACATGACTCCCATCGCCCATCTTCATCAGTAGGGCTAAAAGATCAGCCTTTGGACAGTCCCTGACTATGACTGCATCCATGTAGCCATCTGAGAACTGCATCACAAATTATAGCATATGCAGATTCCATGAGTCAAATAAGCTATATCAAGACTGCAAAATAAGTTCCTCCACAAAAAAATGAAAATGAGTACATGTACCGATATAACTATATCGACGGAAATTGTTTAATTACAAAAAACAAATCAGAAAGTTTTACCTTACGACAACACCAATATAACAGTAAACGATAGGAAATGATTCTGATGGGCTAAACCACACCCAAGATTTTACGACTAACAAGTTGGATTGGAGTGTTCCATACCGATGGTCCGATGCATACATGCCCAAGTAAACAACCCTTGTTCTTAATCTAATTCTAGCACTTCAATGCAATGTAAATTTAACAATCTTTATAATACGAATTTCGTGTGCCTTCTAGGGCGAGCCCTACCACGTGGCGCGGCGTGATTCACGGATTGCTCCTCACGCGCAATGGAATGGCAGCAGCCTCCTCGGCCGTCGCCCACGTGTCACGAGTGCGCTCAGGCAGCTGGGCCTTGATTCCTTGAGTCTAAATGGGCTGCACTTTGATTGGGCTGGGTTCATATGAGATTAGGGGAAAAAACACGAACATTCCAGTAAAATGGGGAGTGTGAACTGTGAAGAAGGGGGTAAACGGTGTGCGGACGTGAGACGAGAAAAGCATGAGAGAAAACGATCTGTGTGCATGCATAGGGCTGGACGAAAAGCTCGTGACTCGTTAGCTCGCTCGGTTCGTGTCTGGCTCGGCTCGGCTCGGCTCGGCTCGTTTGGATTTGTTAACGAGCCGAGCTAAGGTTTCAGCTCGTTATCTATAACGAGCCAGCTCGAGCTGGCTCGCGAGCAGCTCGCGAGCAGCTCGCGAGCCAAACGAGCTCAGCACAGTGTAGCCCACCTGGCCCAACAAGCCTAGTAACTCAATAAAATCCACCAAGAAAAAGATGCAAAAAGCCCATAGCCCATCACCATCCAACACTAACCAAGCAACCCTATACCAGTGACCATCCAAATCAATACCGAACTCTCTCGATCCCTTTCCTTAAAAAACAAAAGAAAAAAAACTCTCCCGATCCCCTCCGCCGCCGGCAAACCCACGCCCTCGCGGCGCCGCTCTAGGTCCCCAGCCCGCCGCCGAGTGCCAGCCATCCCACTCCACCTTTGCCTCGTCGTCTCAATCGCCTTCGTCGGCCGTCGCTCGGCTCTCTTCGCTCGGTCATGGAGCAACTGGATCCACCGCCTCCAAGACTCCAAGTTTTGAATCAAGGAGTACAGCTTCAGGACCACAAGCCTGGCGTCCTAGCCGCCGTCGGCCTCCGCACGACGGGTGAAGTCGTGGATCTGCAAATCGACAAGCTTTGTTGACTTGGTCGACAACCACTTCTACTGTATATGTGTAGACAAGGTGTGTATGTGCATCTAAAATCCAAATCCTTTTGCTCCATTTGCTTGATTTGCAACTCCAACTCCACGAATGTGCACACGAGCAGGAGGGCAGCGTATAGCTCGCGAGCTAAACGAGCTAGCTCGAGCTTTCAAACGAGCCGAGCCGAGCTAGCCTTTTAGCTCGTTAGGATAACGAGCCGAGCCGAGCTAGCTCGTTATCCTAACGAGCCGAGCCGTGTCGAGCCGAGCTGGCTCGATATCCAGCCCTAGTGCATGCATAACTGCATCTCCACTTCATATTTGTAGAATGATCCTTGTAATTCTTTTAAAGTTCATAATAGTACCTTCAGTCAATTATGTGCAATTATATACTCATAGGATGATTGTATCAAACAAATAATTACTTGTTTGTATTTTAGTTGATGAGAAAAACAAAATAAGTCAAATATTTATGTTACTATATTCGGGAAAGATAAATACAATACTTCAAATAAGAGCATGGAAATATAATACAAATATGGATGAAACCGTGAAATCATATAAAAGTTTTGTTGCATTCAAAACTTTTACATTTATAGAAATATATGACACTATAAATCTTTTACTGCCTTCAACCTAGAATATAAGAAATTTTAAAGTTAAACATGGTCATTAAGAAATTTGGTATAATTAAATGGGGAAGAATGTGATTGGATGGAAAGTGGATGTAAGTAAAGAAATTGAATGGTAGAGGGTTATGATTGGTTGGGAATAAGACGTTCGTAAGTTATCATCGTATGCTTTCTTGAAATTTATTTTCAGAATAGTATGTGGAGAATTTGTTATATTTTGGAACAAATTATAAAAGCTAAAAAATATTATATTTTGGGACAAATGAAGTAATAAATACTACTTAAAAACGCTATTAATAGGTTCTATCAAATATTTAATTTTTATAGTGCAAATATAAAAAGTCATGGCGCGCCTATTGGCACGTCAATTTTCTAGTGATTTGCTTCAATACAATCTAATCCTAATCACTGGTTTGTCAGAAAATGAGCATGCCTACTATTGCCTGGGAGGAAATAGGATTTTTTTTTCAACTAAGACAGGTTCGAAATTCAAAGGACACTGTGGACAAAACATTACTAGAGAAACAATTGGAACAGCGAAGAAATACAACGCAAACAGGACAGTGCAACATTTCGTCTATTGATATAGTAGGAAAAATACACAAGACCATAGCCCTAAAAGGCGATAAGAAAAACAGCCACGCCACAGAAGAGCGAAGAATTCAATTACCTTGGCCCCAGGAGCTGCCATGATACTCTCAGCAGCCCATTGCACGTTGTTGATCCAAATAGACACAAATGGACCATCAAGGGATCTCCATTCTGAACCTTGAAACTCAACGGAAGGACCTTGATAAGAACACAAAGACTTCCCAATCTGTTCTTGGCATTCTACAGTGCAATTCTCAACCTGCTTGACGACATCTCCATATGCCTCATAGCCGGGGGCAGGAACATACTGAATACTTCCGTAGTATTTTCTCAAGTTCATTATGCGAACCAAAGCCTGAAATAGTGCAAGAGTATCTTTAAGACTGAAGGCATCATTTTCCAACAAAGATTTCCAGACACCCAAACTTCCTCTTGCTTGGGAAGCAGGAAACTGATATTGTGACATAGTAATCACATTACTTGACCTAACTAACACGTCTGAAAATATGAATTATGTCAAACAAATTGAGGACAAATTCAGAAAATAGTAGTATGCATTTTTTAGGTGAAAACCTAAGGAGTGCGTGCATATAGCTAACGAATTTGCCGAACTTGTGCATAACCGAAATGCTACATATTGCATTTTTTTTTAGATAAGGGTATTTTTTACCTGGCCTCTATATCCAACCGGATATATGCAGCCTTTTAAATTGGAAAATTAGCCCCTCAACAACCCAATATAAAATTCGCTCCTATAAAGATTTAAACTCAAAATCTTGGGATGTTACTCAGCTCACCGCAATCAATTTTGCACCATACATGCCATATTGGATGTATGGTGTAAAGGTGCAAGTAGATGAGTAACCATTGATGACAGATATGATATAGTAAAGAATTGAAAAATAAAAAGGAAAACGTTGAAAACAAAAGCATACATACATAGAAATCAAAGCGTGCACTTCCCATCCACCTGTACTTCTCAGACTCAATATCTATATCAGCCACCAAACCTGAAATGTATTATTATTATCCCTAAATGGTGAGATGAGAGCCAAGAAAGTATCATTCAGATTCGATCAACTAATTCCAAGCTTGTGGCATACCCCAAGTCATATTCAAGACACTGAAAAATTTCTTCCTTCCCTGCACAATGGTGCATACATCCAAGGACTGACTGTAACCTGTTCAACGTGAAAGCTTGATGGTTCCGTAAAATTGTCCATCGGAAATTAGCAAATTGTCATCAAGTATATGCTTTATATGTAACGGAAATAGATCAAGACCTCTGATAATGGCAAATACGGCATTTGGAACCGAGTATGTCTTACTGGCAGAATGCAACAGCGATTTAGCCATGCCATTTCCTGTACCTGCACAAATTACAAGTCCAAGCCTGTTTAAATACTTTCAGATTTTGATGTACCAAAGTCTTGCCTAAGATGAATTGTTAGTACCTGCTGGAACCACCCCAATCGGTATCTTCATCGCTTCCTCCCAATCCATTCGTTGTAGAATTCCATTTACTACCTACACTAGAAATGGCAGCTTGAGAATCACTGAAAACAACGAATCACCCATTAAGAGACCCTTCAGAGGCAACTAGAAAGGAAAGTTACACCTAGACGTTTTTAAGTACTACCTCTGTTTTTTAATATATATGACGCTGTTGACTATTCATCTTATTTTTTTAAAAAAAATTAAGTGTAAAAACTTTTAAGTCAATAACATTTGACGATAAATTAAGTTACAATAAAATAAATGATAATTACATATTTTTTTTAAATAAGACAAACGATCAAACGTGTCTTAAAAAGTCAATTGCGTTATATATTAGAAAACGGAGGGAGTACAATGTAAGCACTGAAAACGACTCGAGCCAATTATGTGCTGGTTATGTACCAATCTGGAAGATATCTGATAAGTTTCATAATCAACTTTAGTACTGTGCAATTAAACTGTTTGGATGACATCGACCAATTATCAAGCCAAAAGTCGAAGGCTTTAGCTAAGGCAAATCATGTAAGGTGCAAATGATGTTGACCTTGTACAGTACAAATTAATCATTAATATTTTGTACTTGCAAATCTTTCTTCTTATTACTTTTTGCGAGCCTTTCTTGCAAATCTGGACTTTCCCCGATAGATATAGAAGTATATCCTTTTCTCTTAACGCAATCATACGCAAGCCTTTTACGCATTCCCCGAAAAGGATATACGAGTATATCAGTAAAGAAGTCAACCTGCACAAACCAATACGAGTATATCCAAACCCAGCCATGGCAGCAATGCAAACACGTTACAAATTCAACGGATAATTACTGAGTATATCGTCACTAACCTCCACGAGGACACCATCGCCGCTGACACAGACAATGCCATCGTAGCGCGCAAGGTCAAGAGAAGACGCCACCTGCCGGGCGTGCCCCTGATACCGGGTCTCTGAAACAAACCGTGAAGAGAAGTAAATCAAATATCTTGGGAGGAAACGTGAGGGAAACCACAAAACACCGATCGCCGATAAGTGATAACAACGTGCATTCCGCTCCGGAAACCTTGCATTGTGACGTTGACACCGGCGGCCTCGAACAGGGGCTTGATCTCTGCCTCGTAAATCTTCTTTCCGCATTTTTTGCCGCCGAAGGGGTTGACCAGGATGAACAATCTCTTAGGCCGGCCTGTGTCATGTTCATCAAAAACTTTAACGATTAGTACTAACCTTTCATGGATTGGATTGTTGGATAAGATCATAAAAGCAGAGGAATTGTTTCATCTTGTCTGAGACAGAGGAACCGATTGTTTTTTTTACTTTTGTGGCCTAGTAATGATCAAGAGGCACAAGGAGAGACACGTACGTACCGAGAGAGTCCAGGGAGCCCCTCATCCTGTCGCACCAGGCCGCGGCGGCGTCCTCGCCGGCGGCCATCTCGAACACGTAATCCCTCCTGCGCCTCCTCCGTCCTCCTCCTCCCTTCCCCGCACCCGCGGCGCAGGACACCGACCTGGCCGCCGCGTCCGCCGGCAGCACGAAGGCCTTCACGACCACCTCCTTACCCCTGGCCTCGACCCCGAGCACGTCCGCGTCCAGCGACAGCACGCGCTCCGCCGCGGCGCCACCAGCGCACCGCCACCGGAGCTCCCCTCCATCTCCGCCGCCGCCATTAGCTGCACCCGGCGGGTCGGTGCAGAAGAGCGTCGCTTCTGCCGGCGCGCCGTTCACGCGGACCTTGGCCGTGGCGCGGTGGTCTCCCATGGCGGAGGCGGAGGCGAAGGTTTTTGGGCGCTGGAGTGCCAGAGTGGGGATGGGGCGACCGGGCGAGTGGTGCGCGCGACGATGAGGATGATGGATGCGATCGATGTGGAGGGCTTCGGCTCGTTATAGGCGGGGAGCTGGGTCCAACGCGTTCGAACGAAAGCGAAGCGACGGATGGGTCTATGCAACGCTATTGTTTGCCGGTAGGAACCGGTACGCACGGCCTGTGTACCGATGTGATATTTTGTTGCGTGCGGCCCAGACAGATTATGCTGCTGCTGTGAATGAAGGACATGTTCACTATGTTCTTACTAAATTTTGATAAAGTTATTTTAAAAAAGTGACTATATTTTAATTTGCTGCTAAAATCCTACCAAACTTTTGGTAACTATTCTAAAATTTGGTAAGGTTTTTTTTGGCATTAAAGTGAACAGGTCCGAATTTGGATAATTGTACACTACGCGTATCTTCCTGTCACGTCACCCGGACGGTTCAACAAAGAAGTGTCCGTATCTGTTTCAGGGAAAGAAAGAAATAAACAAAAAAATTTCCATTAAATTAGTTTCTATTCGGCCAGCACGTACTTTTTCATCAAAAAAAGAGAGAAAACAACACAGCACCCGTCTGTCTTCATAGAGTAACGCGTATGTGGAGTTGTGGACAGCGTTAAGTGTAGCAAAATGTCAAGATGCAGAAACAAAAATAGGGAAAAAAACAATTTCGCCGTTGCCGGGGATCGAACCCGGGTCACCCGCGTGACAGGCGGGAATACTCACCACTATACTACAACGACTTCGATGCTTGAAATGTTTGCGAGTTAATTAATTTACTTATAATCATCTTTGCAGGATGCCTATCACTCATCGAGAAGATATTTTGCCGGGTCGGTCGAAGTAACTGGCGACCAAATATCATTAAGATTTGAGGGAAGAAAAAACAAATACAAAGGGTATGCTTACAACAACAGGAGGCTGTTGAGTTAGGGTGAAAGCTAGGCCTCAACCCCCACAAGAGCAAGTTTAATAATATAGCTAACCACTGGCTCCAAATCATCTATAGCTAATTTAATAGTCCATTCATACAATAGTTACCTATAAAAATATACTACACCATTAATATCCAGTCCCACCTCTCATACATAAATAACGACTTAGAGTTCCTGTTGCAGCCGGCTACAAATCTGTAGCCCGCTTTCTTCTCTCTTCTATTTTCTTCTCCATATGTGATTATAGCTGTCTTATAACTTGCTATTGTATCTGCTCTAAGCTGAAAGTGTAATAAAAACAGAAAAAGGGCTAGTTGCTATTTGTATCAAAGTATCCTGCTTCCTACCACTGCATTATCTCCTCCTTAATGGCTTCGACCAACTGGTCAGGGCTATTTGTTCGAAAATCGGGCATTCCGCTCTTTCCGTACCATCCAGCAAACTAAACATGCTGAAAACACATGCTGACGCTGTCGCATTCCCGAAAACACATGCTGACGCTGTCGAAATTGTAGCATTCCCGAAAACTCATCGAGAAGATAACTGTACATGGTAATATTAACCTCTACTCTCTCCGTCCCAAGAAAAGACAAACCCTGGTTTCCCTGTCCAACGTTTGACCGTCCGTCTTATTTAAAAAAATTATGAAAAAAATTAAAAAGACAAGTCACACATAAAGTATTAATCATGTTTTATCATCTATCAACAATGAAAATACTAATTATAAAAAAAATTCATATAAGATGGACAGTCAAACGATGACACAGGAACCCATAGTTTACCTTTTTTTAGGACGGAGTACCTCAGTCACTCCAGTGCATACCTACAGGCTACAGTGGTGAACCCGCAGGAATAATGCTTACTAAATCATCTTGCAGAAGTAAAACAAAAGAGGAACGATGACAATTGCACAAGCCAAGGGTTTCTACAGTAAATATCTTTTGCAGATATACAGTTTCCAGTCAAAGCTACAGCCTCTTTCTACAGTACCTTTTTGGCATGGGTTCCACCCTCTGATGAGCATATCAGTTGGGGTGGTTGAATGGAGAAATAGGTAACAAATGTAAGGTAAGCGCAGCTTAATAATACATAGACCTTGAACCACACAGACGAAAAAAGAGATAGGTACAAGAAGAAGCCTGTCGAGCTGACTATTGCAATGAAATTAGCAAGGCACTCCGGTGTGGATACATCCCCTTCAGTTCCTTCATCAGGGAAGTGGCCTTGCATGAAAAAATCTGACAGAAGCTGGTCCTTCTGCCTGAACCTCTCTATCATCCAATCGGTTACTTCATCTTCTGACGTTGGAATGTCACAGAGCTTAACAGTTCTGATGTGGATGTGGACTTCAGAAGGATCGGTGCCATATATAATATCCAGAAAATCTGGCAGGCGATGCTTATACGCTATTGTGACATCATAAACTGCATGAATCAGAATGCAGGTGCCAAATATACATGAGAACTGTCAATATCCTTGGCCAAAATAAAGAAGTAAGCTAAGTCCAAACATTATCACGTTCAGTTGTATTCATGTTTCAAGTTTTCATGAATGCAAGCATACGGTTCTAATTCCATTTACTGTGGTTGTTTGGTCAGTAACATTACAAGATATTTTGAGAATGCTGGTACGTACTTGTTCAACACATCACAAATTGGACCAGACAGAAAGTACAACATACACAATTACTCCTAAGTTGTTTGGTCCGTTTTGGATGCCCATTAACTCCAACAGTACAACACACTATTAAGTTGTTTGGTTCGCTTTGAATGCAAGATGTGCTTTCTGTTCATTAACTCCAATTTATAGTAAATCATTACAACAGTGAATGCCATAACTGACAACCCATGTAGGAGTGCTATCTAACAACCTTTTCTAAAACCAATTCCTGTACTTTCTAAACAGCTTCCCTTTTAGAAACTTGGTGGTTTTTAAGAACTCACGTTTATGACATACTTAAGAGTAAGACCTCCAATTTTTCACAGAAATGAAAACGGATATCTAGAAAAAAGAGACAAATACCATCACTCAAGGATCAACTGTTGTAGGTTCATATTTACTTGTTTAAGGGAATTTATAATGGTACCGCCAAAGAATACCATGGGAACAAGTTGTATGGCGGAGGGGGGGGGGGGTTCACCTGCATCTAGGGAGCTCTTCAACTCTTGCAAACAGCAAAGGAACCCCTTTGTCTTTGGAAGAAGAACATTTTTAAGTATAGGCAGACCATGCTCCGAAGCATATTCTTGACTCTTGATGCATTTCTTCTCACTAAGATAAGAGTAGTAGAGTATCAATCAGCAACAGATAGATAAAGAGAGAATATCATACATAGGCAATAACTCAATAGAATGAGAAACCGTTTCTCAAAGGCAGTATTGACAGGGGAAAATGCGTTCAGTATATTTGAAAACTTAGAAAGTTCGACAGATATGTGATTAAGAATATAAATTCTGATAGTGCAGGTGGATCATACTAAAAATATATTAATGAATTCTAAAGATAAATATGCCTTACGTATAATCAGTGCCCTCAGGGAAAACGGCCAACCAGAGGGGGTCTCTGGGGTCCTTAAATGCTGACAGTTTGTTCTGGATAATTGCTTCATCAATCTCCCATTTCCGTTCTACTGGGATAAACTCAAAAATGTGAAATGCCCAGCTAAAAACAGGCAATTTCATCAAGCTGCTCTTAAGGATGTACTTGATATATCCTAAATAGCCTTTCCTCAATGCAAGATCCCACAAATACATCCAGTCAACCTCAGTCCTGTGGTTGGCAAATAACAAGACACGCTTTTTTGGAAGTACACTTTCACCAGAGAAAACCACATTGGTCTTGTTGATCTTCTCAAACAAGAATGGCCATAAAGATAGCCACATTCCAAACAGAACAGAGGTCGCCTTTCTACTGTAATGCACGCTGACTAGCCGAACAAGGAAAGTAGTAATAGGGGCTATGAAAACTATCAATGTGAATGCTGTTGACAGTATGATCACCACACATGCTACACCGCGGCATCGTCTCATGGGAGTCAATGGACGGTGCTTTGACCCATTGTTCAGAGTGAGTGGGCTAGCATGCTGCACTTTCTTCTGTCCTCCATTGACATTATGTCCTTGGGAGCCACTTGAACCATTCATCTTCTACAGCTAAGAACTGAACCTACTCAAAGTTCAAAGCTAGGGTCTCGAATTATCTAAACATCCTGTAGGGTAGGAGAAACGAGAACTGCAAAAACAAAAAAACCATATTTCACCAGATTGAAGCATACTATTTTGCTTTATGCATTAGCAAATTAATATGAGAGAAATAAACACTGTTGATTTGCATTGACTTTACCATAAATTGCATAATACTCGAACTTTGCAGGCTGACCATCAGTCCATGCAGCTCAGTTAAGCTAAGGGCCAAATCACATTACAGAAATTTGGAACATGACATCACATTTTGCCATGTGCAAGAAACATATAAATCCACATGGGTAAACACATGATCCAATCTTCTATATGACTCTACGCATGCGTGCGCACACTGACAAATACTCCCTCCGTCCCACAAAAAATGAATCTAGGATTGGATGTGACTTATTCTAGTAAAACGAATCTGGACAGAGGTATTTCTAGATTCATAGTATTAGGATGTGTCACATCCAGTACTAGATTGTTTTTTTAGGGACGGAGGGAGTATATGGGAGTATGAAATGACCATCTACAGACAATCTTTTGTTTTGCCATTAAACAGGCTACAGTAGTAGATGGATTTAGGACATCTGTGTGAGTCACAACAATCCTCAGATACAGCAGTTATTGCACAAGTGACAAGTCCGTCACCTCACAACCAAATAAATTCTATATACCAAACTGAAATATTCCAAAAATATCATGCAGCCATCTTCTGCAGCACGAATGGTGTTGCACATTTCACGGACTAAAATATTTCTGTGTTTTTTTTGGGTAAGAAATAAACGAATTAGTATATGTTGGACTCCAGAAAATATTTTTTTGCAGATCAAATTCATGAATGATTGATTGTCCTCTATGTGTCCTATATTAACCATGAAATTGATTTTACTACAAAGAGTGAAAGAGATATCAGCACAATCGCTCAAATATTTTGCGCTTCTATTGAATTACATCTGCCCTCCTCAATTCAAACATCTCGGCAAAAGTATCGCCACTGTTCTACTTCTGCACATGTGAAGTTCATAAAAGGTTTCTTCATAGTAATTTGCAAGGAGTGGCATTGACGCCACCTTCACTCCTCCATAATTGGGGAAAGGAACATGACAATCCCATGCCTATTGCCTAAGTCCTGAAAGAAGCACACATGCCTACGTTGGGCCGACAGCTACAGCTCAGCGTGTAGAATTGACTTACAGGCTTGGGAGCTCCACCACGGCTAACAATGCTTGCACCCCATCCCAACGTCGCAATCAATTTTACCAAACAGCTCACCACAAAAAAACCAGGGGCGGATCCAACTTGGGACATGGGGGTTCAGTTGAACCCCCAAACTTTTCGGGGAACAAACAAACTGTTACTTGTATAGTTGTATTAAGGTTAAGGCTCTGAAATTAAGGGAAGAGCTTCTTCCAGATCTAGAAGAGAAGCTAGGGTTAACGAACGAACGAACGCAAGCAAATTCCAGACCCGATGGGAGAGAGAGATGAATCAGAAAAGAGGATGTGGATGCTCACCATAATCCTCTCGCCTGCTCTGCTCGCCAGATGGAGATCGCCGCCCCTCCCCTGTTCAGCCGCGACTCGTCTTGGCGGCGCAAGGAGCGGAGGAGACGGGAGATTTTCTTTCTTTTACGCCACAAAGGGAAGGGGAAGACACTCGGGCTGCGTATGGCTAATGGGATTAGGAGGGTGGGAAATGGATATCATTTCCCTTTTCTAGATTTCTGCCGTTTGGATAGATAGAAAATGGGATGTGCAATCCTGCTGGATTGAGGGGTGGATAGATTGCTAGGTGAAATTACCAAATAGCCCCTTGCCATTTTGACCCCTTTCTATCTTTCTATCTGTCACTTATTGCAAGGAGGGGTATTTTGGTCATTAGTCTAGAAACTTCATTTTTCCATCCATCAAACCAAACATGGGATACAATTTCCCTTCATACAATCTACCACCTCATTTTAACATGATATCATTTCCATTTCCCGTTGGGCATAATCCATTAGCCAAACGCAGCCTTGGAGACTCTTACTAATGAGAATTAAGAATTTGCCACTGGTCACACATGTCATATACACATAAGGACACATGTAGGACACACGTATTATAGACTGTGAGTAGTAAATTCTTAATTACCATTTTAAAAGTGGCAAAAAGTTAAAAACCCCGGACGAGTACTCGCACCTTTATCTCAATATTTTACTACTTTAAGACAAATTATTTCTTTATGATAACTAGTGGCCCACATTCTAAAAATTAACAAACTCGGTTAGCGATTTGTGTTAACAACAAACTCCTCATACTACCATCAACCACTAACTGTTACTCCACGCGCCGCCACCACCGCTCTTTCTTCATGAGCCACCATCGTTCCTCCTCACTTTCTTTGCATGCGCAACCGCACCCTCTAGTTACACTCTATGAGCCATCTTTTTTTCCCTCTCCCTCTCGTCATGCACACTATTGTAGGGACTCACGGAGGCAAGAGTTGACCCGATGAAAAGCGGAGACGCTAGATCCAGGCTCCTTCTTGCTGGATCTAGCGGTTCCCTAATTGTCAGAGGGAAAAAGAAAATGGAAAGAGAGAGTTAGTGTGTGGTGGCTGAGTCACTGGACTTGGAGATGGATGAAACAAGAGTAAATTCCTTGTGTACCCCTGAAAACTCACTCAATCCCTTTCATACCCCTAAAATTTACCCGATCCCTTCTGTACCCCTGAAATTTCAATTTGATCCCTTCCATGCCCCTACCGTTACATTTTCCATCATTTTACTGTTACGTTTGGTTGCAAATGTCTTTTTTGCCCTTGATGCTTTAGGTTTAAATATAAGCTTCAAAAATAATTGAAAATTTTGTTTGAGTGCACATCGTGTGCATTTTATAAAACTAATGAGACTAAATAATTAGTGCAGAAAATTTTGACATAAATTTTGAAAATAAAATAAATGTAAAAAATTAAAATTTTTATTTGAAATTTTAATAGGACAATGGATTTTTTTATCAGGAGCATTCATAAAAAAAAATGTTGTGAACATTGGTATACCTATCTTTATATGAATGCTCCTCATTTTTATGACCTTTTTTTTAAAAAATAAATACGTATTTTTTTTTATTTCATTATCTAAAAATATTTTTTTGGGATAAATAATGCATCGCACAACAAACTCATAACTATAATAGTCTCATGCGAGAAGCTTTTATATTTTTAATAATGTAATTCATGAATTTCTTTGTTCATCCAAGGGTAAAATGGTCATTTTTATAGAAAATACACGGTCAACTAACGGTCAACTGACGGGAGGGGTATGCAAGGGATCAAAATCAAATTTTGGGGGTATATAAGGAAGTAAGCAAAATTCAAGGGTATAGAAGGGATTAGGAAAAATTTCAGGGGTATATAAGGGATTTTCTCATGAAACAAGGTGGTCCAAATTAAAATGTAAAGTTAGTTGTTATGTAAATAAAAAGATTGGTTAAAGGATGACATAATATGAAAACTTTTAAGAATACATAGTACGAACTGTAATTTACTTTTTTTTCTTTAGCACAATTAAAGATGAGTTGTCTATTACCCAATACTCATGTGATATACTGTCTTAAGTACAATTAAAGATGAGTTTTCCATTACCCGATAATCTTGTGATATATTAAGTACTCCCTCCGTTCCAAAATAAGTGCAGTTTTAGCACTGTTCATGTCTAACGTTTGACCGTTCGTCTTATTTGAAAAAAATATGATTAGTATTTTTATTGTTATTACATGATAAAACATGAATAGTACTTTATGTGTGATTATTTTTTTTAATTTTTTCATAAATTTTTCAAATAAGACGGACGGTCAAAACGCTAAACGCGGATATCTATGGCTGCACTTATTTTGAGACGGAGGTAGTATTGTTGGGTCAGTGTACTTGGCTATTACTAATAGTCTCATGATATGTTGACGCATGAAGATGCAAACTTCTATTAACACAGGCTGATTAATTATGGTAAGACAGATTCAGCTAAAAAAAGATAAAATTAATGCCATCAATTTTGCTCAACAATAAAGCATTCGATTATGGTCTCTTTTTCTCACTGCATGATATACGATTGTAGGTATTTCCGTAATTCTTTCATATTATTTTTTTCTACATATATTTTAATTTGGACTAATATTTTTTCTCATAATTAGATAGATAATAAATCATTTTTCATATTTCTCCTATAAAATGTGAAGAGGGCATTGTATAATTTCAAAAGTATATTATAAGTGTATGTAATTTAATGTGTAAGATATGAACTTATAGTATAAGATTTAACTTTTTATAAAAATGTCGCACGATAGTAGATAGGTAATGAACTAAACAACCATAAAATATATAGAGAATCCATCGTGTGTTATTGATTTTGTCCTTATTCTAAATATGTCACTAGGTTTGTCAAGTTCTAATATGCTATAGCACTTTGCTTAACTTCTATAACATACCATCGTCGTCTAGTTAGCTTCCGTTAGTATTGTATAATTTTATCATAATGACCGAAATAGCCATGGGACAAAAAATTCCAAATATCAGATTGTAATACTTCCCAGAATCTGGGCGTGACAGGCGTGGGCCTTTTGTAGAGAACTTTCCTTTCAAAGAGAGAGAGGTCGTCCCTCCCAAGAAAAAGAAGGAGGGTTCTGTTCTGCTTCCGCGGCGGCACCCTCGCCTGGCGCCATTCTCGGACCTAGCAACAGATGGCCAAAGTTTGAGATGAATATCTTCTCTGCCTTGTTTATAATATGATATTTCGGAATATTCGGCCAAATTTTGGAATTTCTGTCCCGGGGATATTTCGGTCATTAAAACAAAATTATACAGTACTAACAAAGTCTAAATGGACGATAACAGTATATTATAGAGGTTAAGCAAAATACGATGGCATATTGTATAACTTAACAATCTCAGTGCCATATTACAGAATAGGGACAAAGTCAGCGGCACACAGTGGATTCTCTTAAAAAATAATCTAGTCAAAAAAGTTTCTTTATTTTATTCAAAACAAAACATTTTTTTACCAAACGAGTTAGGAGAACTTCAAAAGAAGGTAATAAAAAAAAGAGGTTTAGTCATTAGCTCAAACACACATGGGAAAAGTTACTTACATCCATGGTATGGTATATAATCACATTAATCGATAATATACTAATATTATTAAAATTGTTCTTCGTCTTAATACGGTGTAAAACTAAAACTTTAACCTTACATTCTTCTGTTGTTCCATCTTCTTCTCGCTTTCTTATTCTTATTTATTTTTGATAATAATATTGCTATAATCAGCACTCGTACTTGCACATGAATACTAGCATCTAACTCATATGTGTGTGCTCCGTAATATATATTATCTATGTTTTTACATGAGTAAACAATAATTATTATATTTGTTAATAATATTGTAATTATATAAGGTACCTAACTAGTTTTCTAAGAAGTGGAAAATATTTTTGTTAAATATAATCTAAAATGCTATAAAGATTAATAATATTGAACGATATATAATCATATAATTTTTTTATAGATGAATTAGAGATCAACACATGTTAAGAATCCAATAATCATAATGCTCTATATATATTGTTCAAGTGAGTTATGATATTCTATTTAGGATGTATTTGGCAAATGGGTTATGAGATGTGGGATTGGGAAAGGGAAATGAATGGATAGCTAGGATTAAATGAGGTGTGATGAATGGATGGCTAGGATACAATATTATCCTTTGGAGTGTAGGATATTATTTCCCTATACCATTATAATATCATTAACAAATATAATAATTATATTTTTGTTAAACATAATCTAGAATGCTATAGAGATTGATAATATTTAACGATATATAATCATATAATTTTTGTATAGATGAATTAGAGATCGAGACTTGTTAAGAATCCAATGATCATAATGCTCTCTATATATATTGTTTAAGTGAGTTATGATATTCTATTTAGGATGTGTTTGGCAGATGGGTTATGAGAGATGGAATTGGGAAAGGGAAATGGATAAATAGCTAGGATTAAATGAGATGTGATGAATGGATGGCTAGTATACAATATTACCCTTTGGAGTGTGGGATATTATTTTCATATCCCATTTGAAAACAAAGCCTTACTAGTTACATGTCTGTGCATTACAATGGGATCTATAGATAAAAATAATATTTAGTTTATTTCTAGTCCAATTTTCATGATATATTGGGTTTTATATTTTTTTAAGATAGTATTGTGTAACAATTAGATAATTTATTATTTTATGAGTAGATTATTTTATCGTACACCCATTTATAAAATCCTACATCCACCACTGAAAAAACTCATCTTCATCATGCTAGTATCGCACACCGAAGAAACCCCAATCGAGCAAACAACCACCCACAAAATCCTGCGGCGACGAACTCCAAAGTCAGAACCGGATCCTAGCATCGGCGAATTAACTACCCGCCACAACCCCAAGAACACAGGAGACTCGCTTGAACATGATCCACCCCACCCGTATAGGACCAGTCGAACGGGCAGCAGAAGCTAGAGAGGCATACAACAGTAGAAGCAATTACCTCGGAGGTCGCGTGGAATTCACCGTCGACTTCGCTGGAGGAGGAGGAGGAGGAGGAGGGTGAGACTGCCTGGAGACTCTACGGCTACGGGAATCCCGATGGGATCTACCGCCTGCGGGTCCCTCCTTCTTCTGCGGGGCGAGGCGGATGAGGAAAAAGCGGAGAACACGAGGGGATCTCAGCCTCTCGGGTCTCACGCCACACACCAGTGGAGACGACTAGGCAGAAGACGGAGAGCGGTGCGAAGCCGCCGGGGCGGAAGGAAGCAGAGGCTTTAATACCAGTCTCTATTGCTCCACTGATCCATCCCACTATTCCATTCTCTCTCAATAGTTTGGATGTGGTGGTGCCGGGTTCGGATTGCAGTCTCGTGGAGGTGGGCACACCCGTGCGGGCGGGCGCGAAGCGACTGGATTCAGGGGCCCGTCCATCGTGGTCCACCTACCGGTGATTGGCAGTGGTATGGTCGGGTTTTTCTTCGGTTGCCGCGGCCTTGTCAGTTTCGGGGGGCTCGGGGGATGACGGGACGCTGCTGTCCTCGCTGCGCATCGTCTTGTGTTGGGTTTGACCCGCAATATCTTGTCGTGGATGTTGTGTGTGATGGATACGAGGCAGCGACTTTTGATCTGTGCGGGTTTGACGGAGGAAAACATGCTAGGAAAACGCTGAACGGAGCTTGTTTGAGATCCGTTCTTGTCAGTAGAAAACATTCTTGCGTTCTTTGGTAAGACAAAACAAGTGCGTATTTGTACTGTATCAAGAAAATAAGCATACATCTCTTCCTTCTATCACAACTCACAATGCAACTTGGTATAGCGAGAATCATTGTGAAACAATGCGTCCAACCTGTGTTGAGTACTCCCTCCAAGCTGATAATACTTGTCATTTAAGATAAATGTGAGGTCAAACTTTAGAATCCTTTATTATGAATCATTTTAAAAATATTTATCTTTCAAATATGGTGACTACGTGTATAGATTAGTCTTAAAAGGTACTTTAATAAAATCATGTATTTATTAACACTTTTATACATATTATAATGGAAAAATAATGGTCAAAGTTGTTTTTTAAGATCGTGCACTACCGACAAGTATTATCAACTCGGAGGGATTAATTATTATTCTATGCTCAAATAGAATAGAGCATTTTGAGTAATTTTTTATAAGTTTATGGTCTCTATTTGCTCTCAAACCTGTAACAAGGTGGTTGATCGTCTGGCTGCTTTGGTTTTGTTGAGGACAAGTACTATAGCCTCTACGCACTTGCCCTTAGATGTCAGGTAAGCTCACATGATGAGGTGGGTGAGAGAAATGAAGGGGGAGAGAGAGAGGAGGAACCACCTCTCATGCAATGGGAAATCTCTAAAAAACTCTAAGAGAGATGAGAGCAATAGGGCAATAAATAGATAGGAAACAAATAAAGTAAAATTGGTGTGGGCAAGTGTGCTAGAGATAATTTGTTGTATATATTTGTCTCTTAATTAATAAGTTGATGATGTGGATAAAATTAGGGGTGACTATCACCTATACTATAAAACTTGCTCTGATGTGGCTTCTTCATACCATGTCTTTGGAGCCAGCCTCAGAGTTCTTAGCTGATTTAGGGTGTGTTCTATACTCCATCTTTTTAACTCCTACTCTCTCGTTTCTCACGCGCACACTTTTTCGAACTGCTAAACTATGCCTTTTTCAAAAAAGGAAAATTGCTTTAAAAATTCATATTAATCCATTTTCAAGTTTTTTAAGCTAATACTTGATTAAACATGCGCAAATCCATGCTCCGTTTTACGTGAGATAGGGAAGGGGTTCCCAACCCCTCCTTCTGAACTCAACCTTTAGTCTCCGGCGATTTGTCTGAAGCTACTATTAATGGAAGCTGTACTTTTCATGTCAAAAAAACTTTCACACTGCAAGGTCACAAACTAGATGGATATAGATGGTGAAATGTTTCCTTCACCTATCCATATCGGAGAGCAAACTCAAGGTGTGTGAGATGATTGGCATGTGTTTTAGTAAGAAAATAATCCCTTACTCAAGTGGACCAGGAAGAAATAGCACAGGGAGGCTGAACAAAATAGACAAAGCTCCAATCCCCCTTCCAATATATGTATGAAAAATTTTTAGGAGAGAGCGAACTCAAGGTGTGTGAGATGATTGGCATGTGTTTTAGTAAAAAAATAATCCCTTACTTAAGTGGACCGGGAAGAAATAGCACAGGGAGGCTGAACAAAATAGACAAAGCTCCAATCCCCCTTCCAATATATGTATGAAAAATTTTTAGGGGTCCTCCCATAATCCAAGCGCTAGTAGTGAGGATTCAAGCCCCCTCATTGGCCCCCATGATAGTACCGCCATTGCCTTCACTACAGGATTATGCTGGCTTTTATAGCTGGAGGAGGTACACACAAAGTTTCATTTGCACCCCTGACAGGGCTAGAAAACCCTAAGGTCATATTAGCACAATCGGACGGCTTCCTGGGACATTAGTGTCAGCTCATAAAGGGTGATTGGAATGGTCCTCTGATATCTTCTAGAAGAATATTCCTTCCAGTAGCATAGTCGTCAAGTTTCATCTTTCATCTTTCGTGTGCCACTCATCTTCATGTAGTGTGCTTGAATACTATCTGTCAGCTCGAAGAATTCCCGACGGAGGCAACCCAAATTCCTCCCAGTTACTTGCTTGTTTCGGTCGAATAGGAGGAGTAACATAATGTGTATTCAAATCTTTAGTTGCTGTGCATACATAGATGGAATTTTTTAATGATTTATCACTCTCTTTAGATTGTCACTTCTCACCTCATATAATGATACGTTGGGATCCTACGAGGGAGTGACGTAGGGGCTAGGATAGCAAATCATCACATCCCCCTACATAGATTTGGGTTCTAAATTTGGTCCATATTAAAAAAAATGTGGATCCTATATAAATATATATAGGCAAACATATAGTGTCTTTTTTTTTTGCATAATCAACTCCTTGTCAAGAATACGAGTCGGTTTTATATATGGTTTTTTATGAGCAGTGTTACAAGTATTAAAAAAATGCTTACAAAACGATTATAAACAAAGTTCCCAACTTCCCATGGATGAGAGTAATGAGAAATCTGGATTTACTCATAAAAATGTCACATTAGCATTTGTAAGAATTTTGTTTGAAAACATTTATCTATAACTTCTTTCTACTTTGAATACATGCATAAACCAAAATTTCCACATCCTAACAAATACATGTCACCAAAATCAATATGCTAAAGCAAAAAGTGAGTGTAGCTCAACTAGTTAGGTTTTAGCTGGTGGTAAAACTCGTTCGGATTAAAATTCTAGACTTGGTATGGGTGCTCGTATTTATGACAATTTCTATGTTGGGCTAGGGACCCGGCCCCATGGGACCAGAGGAGGAGGAGAATCCTTACCTGCAGATGAGCGGGGGTGAGAGCAGTGATCATAAGTTACCCATGGGTAACCCGATGGGATCCAGAGTGTCAATTATTCCTCTAAAAATAGACCATCCTAAAATATTTAAGCCCAACACCCACTTATAGCATACTGGCCCAGTAGACCCAACATGCAAAGAGCTTCAATCCATTGGGAAAAGGAAAATCCTGACTCTCCTACTCCTATCCTGCCGCCACATGCATATCCCATTATCGCAAATATTATCTAGTCACGAGGAGCAGACTCCACATCTCAGTGCGCCTCTGCCCTCCACTCATGTGTCATCGACTTATCGTGCGTATCCCCTCCACTTCGTCTCTAGTCCTTGCTTCTCACCAATCTCGCCGTCGTCAGTTGCTAACTGTCGCCACCCACACCCTTCCTCTTCTCCCCTCTTCCGTCGGTCACTAATTACCGCCGCCATCCACCCCAAACTGCCCCCTCTCCCACCAGTGGAGAGGCACTCTGTTTGGAGCCCCAGTCGGATGACGGGTTCCCGGAGGGGCCAAGGCTTGGATGGGATTAAGCCATGTTCATCCTTTAGGAGCTAGGATCGGGTGGACCCGCAAGAGGGTGGGGCGAGGGCCATTCCTGTTCAACTTGCACCCGATCCGCCCCGTTGCCATCTCTATTTATGAGATTGTTGTGACATGGATGTGCTAAGGAGCGGTAAATTCTTAGTAGTGTAGGCTCATAGGATCCCTTGCTATGTGGTCTTCAGCATGGGCTACAGGACTAGAAGCCCTTTTTAAATTTGAGTAAAAATATGCAACCTACTCCCTTCGTCCAAACAAAAAACAACCTAAGCAAGGATGTGATGTAACCTAAGACAATGAATCTAGACACGAGTATATCCATATTTATTGTACTAGGTTACATCACATCCTTGCCTAGGTTGCATTTTTTTTGGAACGGAGGGAGTAAGCCCCACAAGGGATGGCGCACCAAGGGGCTTGAACCACCACTGTGTATATCTTGCTGTAATGTGCCTAGTGTTCGGCCGCTGTTAATGTGCCACAACTTGCAGCCTTGCTGAAAAGAGAAAAAAAAATTAATGGCACGAGACAATTGGATACTTAGGGCCCCTTTGAATCGTATGGTAGAAAAAACGGAGGAATAGGAAAAACACAGGATTCTGACAGGAATTGAAGTGTAAAATAGAGGATTGCAAAACATAGGAAAAACACATGAATAGTCGTTTGATTGGAGCGCAGGAAAAACATAGGAATCGGATGAGAGAGATAGACTCAAAGGAAATTTTCCAAGAGGTTAGGGCCCCTTTGAATCGCAGGGTAGAAAAAACGGAGGAATAGGAAAAACATAGGATTCTGACAGGAATTGAAGTGTAAAACAGAGGATTGCAAAACACAGGAAAAACACAGGAATAGTCGTTTGATTGGAGCGCAGGAAAAACGCAGGAATCGGATGAGAGAGATAGACTCAAAGGAAATTTTCCAAGAGGTTGGAGCTCTTGCTAAATTTCCTCCAAAATCTACATGCAATGTGTCATTCCATAGGAATTTCATAGGATTTGGAAAGCTTCAATCCTTTGAATCAAAGGGCCAAATAGGAAAATTTCCTATAGGATTTGAATCCTATGAAATTCCTACATAAATCCTTTGATTCAAAGGGGCCCTTAGAGTGGATATTAAATTTCCTACATTTTTTCTCTAGAATCATAGGAATAGGAAAATTTCATATGTTTTTCCTTTTCTCGTTCCTACGTGACACTGACACAGTATGAATCATGAAACGACACTGCCAGGTGATGTGGAGTACTAAGTTAGTAGGTGGAGCTCAAGCCCCTTCAAGAAACGCGCCTTTCCTGTCACACCAAGTCGTCCTGGTTGGGGTTGGGCTTGGGTGAGGTGAGGATCGCGGTGTAGAGCCGGAGCTTCTCCTCGCCGAGCGACGAGCACCGCGACAGCGGCCTGCGCGGGCGGATGAAGGAGAGCGACGCGAGCGTCTTGCGGTGCTTGTACCGCCGCCACGCGAGCTGCACGGCGACGGCCGCCCACGTGCGCCACCCGTGCGAGTAGTAGCGCGCGCTGCGCCGCACCCTGTCGTTGGTGAAGGTGTAGCGGAAGTGCTGCGTCACGTACTTGACGTCCGCGGCCTCCAGCCCGAACGCCTCCGTGCTCTCCATCGTCACCAGCGTCGACGACGACGCCGGCAGCCGCTCCAGGAACGGCCGCCGCATGCACCACGACAGCAGCTCGTCCCCGCTGAAGTTGCCCGGCCCCAGCGTGCAGCAGCTCGTGGCGCCGGTCCTCAGCACCTGGCTGCTCTGCAGGTGCCCTCGCACTATGAACAGCATCCTCTGCACCGGGTCGCCCTCTCTAACGATCTAGAGAAGTACACAGATCACTTAAGATTATTGTGCCATTGCGAGATCATTGTACTTAGCTAGTGTTCTAGTTGATGAGCTTACAATTTCTCCTTTGGGGAATACGAGGGACTTGACCCTGTCACAGATGTTCTCGAGCACCAGGTCGTCCATGTGTTGGAACAGTGGCACCTGTGACCATGCAAAGGTTAGAGCCGAACACCAGATCGTGCGCGTCATACGTACGACAAACGCGTTTGTTACCGTGTTTTACCTGGCGGACGAGGTCGAGGCAGAGGTGGTACTTGATGTCGCGGCGGAGCCCCTCCGGCAGGTCGCGGACGATGCGGCACTCGTCGACGCCGCGCGTGGCCGCCCACCGCTGCCGCTCGTGCTGCCGCACCCGGTGCCGGAAGCTCTGCGGCAGCTTCTTCCGCTTCATCCACCACTCCACGCCCCGCAGCCTCGTCTGCATCGCCTGCTTCTTCGACGTCGCCGCGTTCAAGAACACCTGAGCATGTAGCCAACGCAAATGTCATCATACACCTAACGCCTAAAGAGTGGTACACACGTCGAACATGACCACTAATTACCTTGATGTTTCCTATGAGCATCGTCACGAGGATTAAGCCCCCGGTGATAGTGATGATGTTGAACACTATCTCCAGCCACTCTGTTGTGCTCGCCAAGTTCCCAAATGTACTGAACAAGTGAACAACACAGGATCATGTCACCATACACGCGAAGACTCAGGCTACCATATACCAGATTTAATTTGTGTCAAGTGAGCTCGCAAAGATCCAAGTACTGACCTGAGTGTCATGAGGCCCCAGAAGATGGGGAGCAAGATCTTCTCCAGCCGGCTCGGGTTCGCCACGAGCATGACGGTCCACTTGTACGCCCCGTACTGGTAGTTGTCGCCGCTGTCGAGGCACGTGCCCCGGGCGGAGGCGTCGAGGGCCCAGGCGAGCCTGTCCGCGCCCACGCCGCCCACGGCGCCACCGTAGTAGAGCGGCGCCGCGCACGCCAGCGCACCGGGCGCGCACCCGCTCCCGCCCTGGGCGCACTGCTCCTTGAGGCACTTGGTCGCGCGCTGCGCCCCGAGCAGGTACCAGCACGCGCCCACCGCCTGCATCAACGACGACGCAGAGTCACGCAGAGACGATCGGTCCAACGACGACGCAGAAATCGAAGGAGGCGCGCGGCGACTCACGTGAGCGGCGACGAAGTAGGCCATGAGGTTGAGCGCGATGCCCCACCAGATGGTGCCGAACACGTAGGTGTTCTGCATCCGGCGCAGGAGGCGGACGGCGTGGTATATCTTGGGCAGGTACTCGAACAGGAACGACACCAGGAGCACCGTCATTACCGCCGTCGTCGACCCGGCGCGTATCATCGCCGGTGCCGCCACCCAGACGATCACCTGCATGCATGCACGGCGAGCACTCACGGCGTGATTCCGTTGCAAAAGCAAACGAGGCAATAATGCATTGCACGCATGATAAGGGAAGAAAACAAACTGTGCGACAAATACAGGCCAGGCAGCCGCATGGTCTACTAGAACAAAATGATGGGACCTTTACTGAGACGATCTTCAACTTCAATTTGGCATTGATGAAGGGACTGTTTGGTACAACTACAGCTCCAACTCCACCCCTCTTGGAGCTGAAGCTCAGTCAAATAGTTTCAGCTCCATTAAAACTGGGAGTGGAGTTGAGTGAAGCTCTCTCACAAAATATACTAGAGTTGTGGAGCTGGGTTTAGACAGCTTCACAACTCCACTCCAGACTCCTGGAGTTATATTTAGGAGTTGTAGCCGTACCAAATAGGACCTAAATGCAGAGCTGGTGTTTCAGTTAATTTGGTGATACAACGACAAGAATTGATTGCTGACAACGGCCAAACCGTTAGTACACAATTCATGCCTGAATTATGCCAGAATCATGGTCCCATGTACAGATGTACTTTGTACAAATGCACACGTACGAGCGAATCACGTTAGACAAATGAACCGATCAGTGACAGCTTGAACATGTATGAACATTATTTTGGCCGCGTGTGTGTGCACCCACATGAGCAGCAGAGCAAGGCTGCAGGCAGGGAGCTTCTGGGAGAACGTGAACATTGAGGAGTGTTTGGGTTCTTATCTAAAAGTCAAATTTTACTAAGATTTTATGGTTTTAGTCATAGGATGCCGTTCGAACTTAATTTTGGGGAAAAACACTACATAACCATGGTAATTTGTTAATGGACACCCCGCCGATTAAAATAATAATTTCTAGTTGAGGAGAGGAAAATCACGTGAAATGTCAAAAATGCCCTTGGACCCACGTCAGCTCTCCTATCTATCTTCTCTCTATCCCCTCCTTCCACATGTCAGCAGAGCCGCGACAACGGCGGGCAGGCGAGGTCCGACGGCGGCGGCGGCGGGAGGGCGAGGGCGGAGCGGCCACGGCGACGCGCGGGCGAGGGTCGGAGCGACAACGACGGGTGGGCGAGCGGGCGGCTGGCCCTGTCGCCTAGTAAGCGGTAGCGGCGAGCACCTGCGGCGACACCATTCAACTCTCTCACTTACCTTCATTGCTTATCCAATCATAACCGGTCCTATTTAATTCTACCTACTTTCTTAATAATTTTGTGCAACTTTATCATTGTATTCTAGGAGAGCGGATGTAGTGCTTTATTTTCCACGTGGACCATGAAAAGTTGCTAGTATAACTGGGGGTCCAAGCTAGGGATACCGCAGGCAGCACCACGTTGATGAGTGCAGAGCGTAGCTTCATCAGACCCGCAGCTTGGGTCGGGTCTAGTACTTCTAGGCTTCCAACGAAACGTGGTCCGAACTCAGAGGACAGTGGATCACGTGCACGCAGCGACGCAACAGTTTGCACGTCAGATATAAAGCAACACCCATCACGATACGAGATGCGACGGTCATGCTATGGTAAAGCATGGTGAGTCGGGGACACAACGGAAATCAGATTACTGCTCCACTACTGTATATCGAAAGCTCCCAAACCTTCCATTTTCCAGGATGTTTTGGACAAACAGTCCAATCTGGAACAGTGGCCCATCGGCGGTTCTCTTTCTGTACTCTAAAAAAATCCCGCAAGAATGATGCTTTTGTACCAAACGAACCGAAGATTTGGAAAAAGACATGAAACTAGAGGAAGAAATCGACTGTCAAGTACTCACCTGCATTACGGGAAGAATGACGAACATGTCCAGCATGAGCCCTTTCCTGGACACCGGCCTCGCCACCTGAGCCGGCGCCGGCCCGCCGCCATTGCCGCCGGCTCCCCGCTCCGCCGCCACCTCCTCGTCGGCGCCGTCGTCCTCCTCCGGCGGCCGCACCGCCGCCCGGAGGCGCATCAGCAAGTTCCAGGCGTGCATGGCGTCCACCGTGCACCGGAGCACGGTGACCGCGGCGGCGAACCACCCGTCGAGGAAGACGCACATGAGCGGCCCGCTGACGGACACGGCGTACAGGAAGAGCGGGTCGACCATGAGCCCCGCCGCGCAGGCGAGGAGGTACGCCCTGTCCCACTCCCGCGCCCACCACCCCGCCCGCCGCGGCTCGAGCGGCGCCCACGCCCACCTCCGCTTGCCGCCGCCACGCTTCGGCGGCGGCTTCCGCTCCTGCTCCTCCAGCCATAACCTCTGCACAACACCAACACCATGAGCGGACGAGGCGGCGGCGGCGGAGGAGGACGCCATCGCCGAGTGCCCGCTCGACATGATCGATGGTGCCACCGTCCACCGCGCAAGCTTGTGAGGAACGGACGAGTCGATATGGCAAGCTAGCTAGCTAGCCAGCGACCCAGCCTAGCGTTTGCATTGATATGTAACGGAGTATATCACCCGCTCGTCGTCTTGCGGCGCGTAGTACACGTGTCTTGGTGACCGAATTGACTAGGCCGATTTGGCTCTTTGCGCCGCGTGTTAATACTGCACCCGCAGTGACGTCCTTGCGTCTATCTTCCGGCTAGTAGCTAGCGCGCGCGAGAGCCGAAGCTGCGTCGGCGGGGTTGGTTCAGATGTGTGATAACTGCGCAGACGACAGCGGCTGTGGACGAGAACGTCGATGAGGGCACACAGATGCAGACATGCAGTCGTATCACTTCGGAAGTGAACAAGGTGTCCGCGTCATGCGCGCACCCAGCCTCTTCCGATCCATGGCGTCAATCATTTCTCCTCCATGAGTGTTGCATCGATCGGCAGCGGTGGTCCGGTACTCCTGTTCGCCTGCCTGCCGCCGCTTGTCCTATCTTAACCTTATTACTGTATAGGTGGGATTCCGATCTCTCGCAACATCTCGATGCTGCTTGATTAATCCACTTCCATCTCATGTTGGCTTCCATCTCATGTTGGTTCGGGTTTTTTTCTATGAAATGGAAGTGACCCAACATCTGGGGAGATTCATCATCCATCCAACCTTTTTTTTTTTGGGGAACGAACTGGCAAGGCGCCAGTTTTATTGAATAAAGAAAGATCCATCCAACTTATAGCAGAAATTTTCTGTGTCAACTTGCCCTTCAGAACCAAGTAATTTTCATCTGTCTATGATATATTCAGAAGGCACACAAGAGGAAATTCACCAGCTTTCCAAGTCAGGCCCTTGCACAGATCTACTGGCCATGGTGAGGACCAAGATCTTGAAGTGCATCATGCTGGCAATGCAATGCACAGTCCGTGTCCAGTGAGGCAATGACATCACTCTTCCATAATTTCATAGCGAGATAAGGTGCTCCAGTCAGATCATGCATTTGAACTTTACAGTACGCCATGGTTGCCTTATGTTCAAAAGACCTCAGGAGCCAGTTCAACCAGCTATATAAATGCATATGAACAACGCCAAATTTGCACAACTGCAAGTCTGCAAAGTAGATAAAATCATAAGTAAGGTGTAATGAGACAAACAGGACTGTACAACGACAAAAAAAAAAGTGACAAAACAAAACGTTTGGTACTTGAAGATTCTCCGGGATTGTTAGTACCACACCAAGTACAGACTACAGAGTTATTGGACAACTGCACCAACTGGCCATGCATGATCAAGTGAAAAATATGAAAGGGAAGAAATATTGTAGAATTACTTTCAGAACTTATACGCGCATGGGTCAATGTTAAGTCCAAAAGGCTTTCACAACCTAAAAAAAAGTATTCAGTAAAACATGCTTTTTAAGTGTTGAATATTAAACCAATCCCTAGTACCTTGAAGATGTCAATTGATTCTAGTTAATTGGTAACTCATCGGTGGCAACTGAAAATACTATTATACTGACCTTTGTTTTCTATTTGCTTGTCCAAGGAAAATGAACAAGAGAACAGATAAGAGGAACATAAGAGTACATATTAAGGGAGAAGCAAGTGTGGTTGCACAATTAATTGCACAGGACACCCATATCAAGTTTGATATTGCGACCTCTGCAATTGTCTATGAGGGCTCCAGGCCAACCATGAAGTTTCTTAGAGCAGGCATCATTATCGAAGTACATAAACACCTCTTGCTTCTCCAAAAGAAGGCATCTCAGCCCTACAGAAGGAATGTCTTAAAACGTTACAAAACTAATACTACTTCAAATGAAAGCACTATTGAACAACAAATATTTGCACCACTCAAGGGCATCTATACCTGACCCATTTGAGAACTCAGATGAATTCTCTACCATATCAGCAGCACATTTTACAGATGCACTTTTGTTCACTCTAGGCTTAGATCGCAAGGCACTCGTAAATGCACAAGTTTTCATTATCTTCAGCAAAGGCGTTTTGCATGGGCCATCAGATGATACTTCAGCAGCACTCAGACATTTGGAACTAACATAGTCCATAAATCCAATATCAGCATTGGCAGTAACTGCCCTTTTGTGTCCATGGTTCATTTTTCACTTTCGCTCTTGCTGTCACTCTTTCTGAATCAGACTTTGGGGAACCAGATGAATCCTTGAAGCTGTCAGCTGACATGTCTTTGTTCACTATTTCTGAATTGTTGCCACTTCGATATCATCTGCAGATGGAATGGACCAATGGTAAGTACTTTGTCGAAGAGAGACTACAGATAAGCTGGAAGGTCATCTTGTTCATCCTCATCCAAATGAACCCAATTAAGTGCCCCCCTTCCCTATGAGACATCGGATTCTTTCAAATTGTTCTCGACCTTCAGAATGTGATAGTCTGATAGCCAACTGCCGCAGCAAAGTCATCATGTTGTGCTCTTGTACTATTGTTTCGAGCTGAGAAACCATATTGCTAAAAGCACAGCAGATGAACAGAAGAATCACCCATCTTCAGTTCTTCTGTTCTTCATGTAAAATTGAGAACAAATTTGGCTCCTCGATATACCGTATGAGAGGGTAACAATGTCCTAAGCTATATAGCTTCTTATGAAAGAGTAAAAAGGTTCCACTAAAAATCGTGTCAAAATGTCAGACATCATAGGTTTATCCACAAAGCAAACTACTTACAGTTCATCCTACATTTGTACCTTAAGCAAGGAGCTGGGTTTAGAGGCATCCTAATCTGTGTCTAATGACAAACCGGCTACTAGTACTACATTACAAGGCATTAATCAAAACGCAGATCGCCAGGTTTCCAAATCCACGAGTACCAAACAACAATTCGAACGCAATCCAGCCACTGCACAACGTTGTACGACTGCGAAATGGGAGATGAGAGCAACCAAGTCACCTGCAGAGACCTCTGCCCGCAGCAGACGCTGCCGACGAATAGGCCGCGTTCCTCTCCTCTCCTGTAAACCGAGTCCGTGATCCAGACACGCCGAGAATCAGCGTCGAATCCACAGAACGCAACGAACCAACGGTGGAAACCCACATGAAAAAAGAAAAATCCCGAGGTAGAGGAGGGATATCCGTAGAGGAGTATACGGCCCGTCCCGGAGGTCTGTTCCGATGGCCTACGTAGTCGTGTAGAGGAGGAGACGGGAGTTTGGAGCTTTCATAGGACGGGAGTCGGGAGTTGAAATGGGAGGTTCAGGAGTAGGAGTGGCCGGGAGCCATTGGACGAAGAAGGATTCGAGTGGTGCCGTCGGCGTCCGACGCGGCGGCGGCTGGCCGACAGCCGTTCGACGAGGGGTGAGGGGGAGGTGGGAGAGCCCTCGACGCAGGCAAGCCTTGTGTTTGGCTCGTTCTGGGCTTCCAAGCCCAGTTAGGCCCACAAGACTCCTAGGTCAGATTGCCATGGAATAAGTCCACTTCAACTCTCAATTCAATTCGTGTCCCTCAACTACAATATCAGATATATTAATCCCCAAACTATTTAAACTAGTGCAAAATAACTTTCCTTAATTTTTTTGAGGGTGACTTTCGCTGACGCCCCTCGTTGACTAGTTGGCTGAGTCAACATGCAGAGCCCACATGCCGTTCCATAGCAAATGAGGGGAAGAGAAAGAGAGAGGGAAGGAGAGAGGAACAAGGGAAGGAGAAAGAGAAGACTGACAAGTGGGTCTCGCATATTCTTTTTTTAATTCTAATACTACATAAGCGCCACATCAACGTTACGTAGGACGAAGATCATATCAGCATTGTCACGTAGTCATCACGCTAGTGAAACCGTCCTCCAAAACTATTGAGGGAGTCAAATTACACCGGTTTTAATAGCTAGGGGTCGAGATATCCGGTATTGTGGTTTAGAGATACGAATCAAATTCGGTTATTACTTAAGAGTCAGAGTGAACTTATTCTTTTCTTTTATATATTCTAGCGACTACGAAAAAACAAAAAAAACACGGCTACCGTGTGTGTGTTTGATAGAGGTAGTCTTTGAATGTCATGAAGATGAAGATTAAGTATTTTACGTAAAACGATGTGATAACAACATGTGATAAATTGAATTTTAATTAATTATTACAACCTTAAAAAATAAATTAATCTGATATTTTAGAACAACTTTCATATTGAAAGTTTTCGTACGAAACACACCGTTTAGTAGTTTGAAAAGCGTGCTATGAGTATCAAAAGTTAATCTAATTTTTGTTGGAGAAAATAACAGGGCCAGATTCATGCAGCAATCTCGTGAACATTCGCTGATAGACTTAACACAACCAGGTCTCCTTAATCATCACACAAGAACAACTTTAGAACACCTCTCTATTTTGAGATGCATATGTAGTACACACGCGCATGACCATGTATGCATGGCAGCATGGGCAGGCGCCGGCAGCCCATGTCTTTATTCTCTCTCTCTTTTTTTTTTCTGTCCGAAAGGTGTATCACCGCTTTATTCGTGGCAAGCTGCAGCACGGCAGTCGGGAGTCGCGGCGCGCCGTGGGGCGAATCAAACGGGGAGCAGGCCCTGGATGCACACCCACTGGCCGACGAAGAGCTCCCGGCAGTTGATGTTCGGGTTGAGGGAGACGAGGCGGAAGAAAGGCGCGCGGCCCAGCCCCGCGTGGAAGCGCCGGGCGATGGAGTCGCAGGTCTCGCCGGCCTCCACCCCGTGCACCCCGGTGCAGATCAGCGGGAGCGGCGTCGTCGCGTGCTCCGGCGCCACATAGTGATGGTCAGCTGCAGCTATCGTTTTATTTCACGCCCAAACACACGATGGGGAAAAGGAAAAAAAAATACTTGCAGTTAGTACGCTGTACGCTGTCGAGATCGTGCAATAATATACGGCAACACTGCAACAGTATCAAGTTTCTGCTGGTGAAGCTGAGACATGTACATATAAGGTGACACGCACGTACCTCCGTCTCCGTGGAACTTCTCGTGTGCGACGGAGAGGCTCCGGCCGTCCGCGATGGCAACCGCGGCGACGAAGAGGAACGCGACCAGGAGACCGGTGGCCGTGAGGTTTGCCATCCTCGCGCAGGCTCTCACCGGCTAGCACGTTCTGCTTTGTTGCAGTGGGTTTATGGCTTTATGCTACGATCGATGACCTCTGCCACGCAGCGTGCAAGTTCATATATAGGCGTGCGTGATGCATGGTATGCATCAATGCATGTGACCAAAACGTCCTTGCTCATGGGAAAACACGCTTGATAGTTGATAGGCCTGCTGAGCCTGATGGTGGCGGATGCCTGTTGACTGTTGTGCATGCTCTTGACATTGTTCAGATACTAACGATGATCCAATGCACTTGTCACCCGAGGTCATTTTCTCCAAGTTATAGTAGTACCATTGTACCATGAACCAATGGTTTCATAGAGTAGGAACGGAAGAATTGCCACGACGGTAACGATCGAGGTAACAAGGAGGAGAGCCAAGACGACGATCAGGGCAAGGCGGGGGTGGGTGGGTTAGGAGGAATGCCAGGCGTGAAATGGTTCGCAAAGAGCGGAGTGTCGAATCCAGTAAAATTTACCAAGAGCCCTTATATATATCCTCCCTCCATTTCAGGTTTCCATTTCATGTTATAAGACGTTTTAATTTTGATTAAAATTAAACTATTTTAACTTTAACCAAGTTTGTAAAGAAAAGTAGTAACATTTTTAACCCAAGAAAAAAATATTATGAAAATATATTCAATTATTGATTTAATGAAATTAATTTAGTATTATAAATATTACTATATTTGTCTATAAACTTAGTCAAACTTGAAACAATTTAACTTTGACTAAAATCAAAACGTATTATAATCTGAAACGGAGGAAGTAGTAATTAATTATATTATACTACATAGTTGTTTTAGACTACTTAATGTAGCCTTAAACAACTAGAAAATACATTTTTTCTGTGGTGTATTTTGCAACCGGAGGCATAGAAAGGTACACCCTCTAAAAGAGGAACATTATTTTACTTGGGGGATACTATAACGAAAGGGATAGATTCCTCAGGGGACGAATGATCCCCTGAAAGACACTGGCCACTCTAAAAACTTGAGGCAGATAGTGATGTTCTCAATATCAAATTACACATGCTAATAAAGTGAGCTGTAGGAAATGCAAGATTTTGTATACAACTGTTCGATTTGTGCAGATATATTGTACTAAAAAGCCAAATGTGGCAAAGTTGCCGAGATGTTTGTTCAGAAAACTTTTGACACAAACTTTTTCCCCTTTGACATGAATTTTCACTAATTAAGTAAAAAAATTGAGACCTAACACAGGCTTGAGATGAATTTTGCCCTTATTTCAATGTGAACTTCAACAATATCAAGTCTTCTTAACATGATGGGGGCACGCACAAGCTTTAGTTTAAAAAAATAATAGCAAATTCACAAAGTTGGAAAAAATAGAAGTAAAATCATAACTGAAGTTTAAAAAGGGGTAAAAATACAATCACCCCCCTTTACTTCTCTTGATGCCATGTAAAACATCTTCACTGTTCCTTCTCTTAATGCCATGAGACAAATTTATTTGGCAAAAATCACCCCCCTTTACTTCGCTTTACCGGAAGCCGCATGAGACAAATTTATTTGGCAACGCTAATACTCTCTCTGTTTCATATTATAAGTTGTTTTAATTTTTTTCACTATTAAAATTTTTTAGATCTGATTAAGTTTATAGAAAAAATTAGCAATATCTACAACATCAAATTAGTGTCATTAAAAATGTTACTATATTTTGATAATATGTTTGTTTTGTATTGAAAATGCTACTATATTTTTATATAAACTTTGTCAAACTTAAACAAGTTTGACTAAGAATAAATTTAACGACTTATAATATGAAACATAGAAAATACATTTTTTCTGTGGTGTATTTTGCAACCGGAGGTATAGAAAGGTACACCCTCTAAAAGAGGAACATTATTTTACTTGGGGGATACTATAACGAAAGGGATAGATTCCTCAGGGGATGAATGATCCCCTGAAAGACACTGGCCACTCTAAAAACTTGAGGCAGATAGTGATGTTCTCAATATCAAATTACACATGCTAATAAAGTGAGCTGTAGGAAATGCAAGATTTTGTATACAACTGTTCGATTTGTGCAGATATATTGTACTAAAAAGCCAAATGTGGCAAAGTTGCCGAGATGTTTGTTCAGAAAACTTTTGACACAAACTTTTTCCCCTTTGACATGAATTTTCACTAATTAAGTAAAAAAATTGAGACCTAACACAGGCTTGAGAAGAATTTTGCCCTTATTTCAATGTGAACTTCAACAATATCAAGTCTTCTTAACATGATGGGGGCACGCACAAGCTTTAGTTTAAAAAAATAATAGCAAATTCACAAAGTTGGAAAAAATAGAAGTAAAATCATAACTGAAGTTTAAAAAGGGGTAAAAATACAATCACCCCCCTTTACTTCTCTTGATGCCATGTAAAACATCTTCACTGTTCCTTCTCTTAATGCCATGAGACAAATTTATTTGGCAAAAATCACCCCCCTTTACTTCGCTTTACCGGAAGCCGCATGAGACAAATTTATTTGGCAACGCTAATACTCCCTCCGTTTCATATTATAAGTTGTTTTAATTTTTTTCACTATTAAAATTTTTTAGATCTGATTAAGTTTATAGAAAAAATTAGCAATATCTACAACATCAAATTAGTGTCATTAAAAATGTTACTATATTTTGATAATATGTTTGTTTTGTATTGAAAATGCTACTATATTTTTATATAAACTTTGTCAAACTTAAACAAGTTTGACTAAGAATAAATTCAACGACTTATAATATGAAACATAGGGAGTGGATGGCATTGGCATTTCCCCGGGTGATGACTAGTGATGGTAACAAAAGTTTCTTTGACATTGTCATCTCCAGCATTCCCTTCTAAGGATTTGCCACTGGTTTCAAGCATATATTAGAATTGTAGGGTACAGTCCAGATTCATAGAATTAAATAGCTACTCCCTCTATTTTTTAATAGATGACGCCGTTGACTTTTTCTCACATATTTGACCATTCGTCTTATTTAAAAAATTTACGTAATTATAATTTATTTTGTTATGAGTTGTTTTATCACTTATAGTACTTTAAGTGTGTTTTATATCTTATACATTTGCATAAAAATTTTAAATAAGACGAATGGTCAAACATGTGAGAAAAAGTCAACGGCGTCATCTATTAAAAAACAGAGGTAGTATATTTTAGGGTAAATGAAATAGTTAATTAATCTTGAGCTAATTTTTTTTTCTCTCGCAAGCCAACCGGCTAATTGGTCAAACCTCCAAAATGAATGGGACATTAGATGTATTCGTTGGTTTATGAGTGCGTGCGCATGGTGGTTTTGTGTCCCTGTAATTTCGGATGTAGTAAAATGAAAATTGAACGACACAGAAGTAGTAAATCCAAATCAAATAAGAACCAACCAAACAACCTCTTTTTTGTGAGGGAAGTACAAGCATTCAAGCAAAATACTCAAGTATATAGTGGCAAAGTCACATAGCCGAGCCAACTCTGGCCGGCAAGTGGAGGCAAAGGACAGAATCCTTCTCCTTATTCGTAGATGTAACAACAGCAGTCCATGCACGAACGGATAATGCATTTGACACCGGTTCAAGTTAAGCGGCGGCAGCGTCGAGGCAGACCCACTGGCCGACGAAGACCTTCGCGCAGTTGATGTTTGGGTTGAAGGCGAGGAACTGGTCCTGAGTCAGCCCGGCGCTCTGCGACACGGAGAAGCACGTCTCGGACGCCTGCACCCCGTGCACCTTGTTGCATGTCAGCGCCGGGACCGGCGCCTTCACATCCTCCACCACCACGTAACCTGCAGCATATATACGTACTCACATATAGTACGTCACGAACGATTCGCACGGAATACTTGGCAGAAATCACGAGCTTTGTGTGTCTCGTATACCGTGGTGCGCGGTGAGCCTCGCGTCGGCGAGGGTGACCGCCACGAGGAGGGACGCGATGATCGCGAGAGCCGCGGCGCCGTGGTTCGCCATCGATATCGCAAGCCAAGTGTTGGCAAAGAAAGCAGGCAGCTGATGGCTTGGCGCGCTTGTTAGGCTCTGCTGCTGTACTGTGCTGTACTGCGATGCGACTGAGAGGCGTAGTTATCGCCTTTTTATAGCGAGGCGAGGGGAATGAGCGGATGTTGATAAGGTGCGTGTGACAAAACGGAGCGGTCCGTCGGCCCGGCCTCGGAGGCGGCGTTCCAAGAACCGGGTGATACTACTTATGTTGAGGGTTGCATGGACCGATGGACGTACGTGTCGTTCTTGACTATTTCTAGCCGGCCAATCTTTCTGCGATTAGTACGTGGGTGTATGGCAGGCACGGTAAAAAATGTTTTATGTTTCCTATGTAACAATTCTGGAATGCTCTTTACAGTTGATTTTGACGGGTTTGTTGGCGAGGATTTTTTTTCTTTTGCATTTTCCCTGTTCCATATCGTTTTTTTCTCCAGAGGACCTGTTCGATATCGAGTGTGTTCTTATAGACTAGTACCTGACTAGCTGCTAATCGGCTATCCGAGGCGATCAGATCAGTGTTCAGCTTGACAGTCGGATTCACGTTCACTACGCGAGGAAAACGCGCGGCGAGAGCTATCTGGTACGCATGGGCCTCACGGACGTGCGGGGCAAGCGGCCCAACGTTTGTTGGGACGATCCACTCGACCCAGCCACCCTGACGCAACCGCGGCCCAACCGAACGACGGGTCGGCGTAACGTGATCCTCCCGCACGCCGGCCGTGCGCCCGGTGGTTTTCCACTTTTCCACTGTACGTCAGGTCAATCAGCCGCAGCGGCAGTGATCGGCTGGGCGGACGACGAAACGAACCAACCGTTGCTCATCTGATCCGGTCCCGCCCAATCTCCACGCGACGCGATGCCCATCACACCACACGCCCCCGCGCCCGCGCCCGCGACGCCGCGACGCCGCCGCCACCACCACCGCTCCGCCCGCCGCACCACCCACCGATGGCCGCCGCGCTCGTCACCTCCTTCCCGCACGCGATCCCCAAGCCGCACCACCACCTCCACGCCGCACACCACGCCCACCTCACCGCTGCCGCCACGAGGCCCGAGGCCCCCAGCGCGTCGTCCCCCAACCCGGCCAACGCCAGGCTCCGCCGCCTCATCGCCCGCGACGACCTCGCCGAGGCCGCGCGCCTCGTCGACCGCGCCACCTCCCGCGGGGAGGCCCCCGACGTGTACCTGTGCACCAAGCTCATCCGCAACCTATGCCGCCGGGGCCGCACCTCCGACGCCGCGCGCGTCCTCCGCGCGGCCGAGAGGTCCGGCACCGCCGTCGACGTCTTCGCCTACAACACGCTCGTCGCGGGGTACTGCCGGTACGGCCAGCTCGACGCCGCGCGCCGGCTCATCGCGTCCATGCCCGTCGCGCCCGACGCGTACACGTACACGCCGATCATCCGGGGGCTCTGCGACCGTGGGAGGGTCGGCGAGGCGCTCAGCCTGCTCGACGATATGCTCCACCGGGGCTGCCAGCCCAGCGTGGTGACCTACACAGTTCTCCTGGAGGCCGTATGCAAGAGTACTGGGTTCGGGCAGGCAATGGAGGTCCTCGATGAGATGCGTGCCAAGGGGTGCACGCCCAACATTGTCACCTACAATGTCATCATCAACGGAATGTGCAGGGAGGGCCGCGTCGACGATGCGAGGGAGTTCTTGAACAGGTTGTCCTCGTATGGCTTCCAACCCGACACTGTCAGCTACACCACTGTGCTTAAGGGTTTGTGTGCTGCTAAGCGGTGGGAGGATGTTGAGGAGCTCTTTGCTGAGATGATGGAGAAGAATTGCATGCCGAATGAGGTAACATTCGACATGTTAGTCAGATTCTTTTGTCGTGGAGGTATGGTGGAGCGGGCAATCCAAGTTCTTGAGCAAATGTCCGGACATGGATGCGCAGCCAACACTACCTTGTGTAACATTGTCATAAACACTATCTGTAAACAAGGACGTGTTGATGATGCCTTTCAGTTCTTGAACAACATGGGTTCCTATGGATGCAGTCCAGATACCATCAGCTATACAACTGTGCTAAAGGGCTTGTGTCGCGCTGAGCGATGGGAGGATGCCAAAGAGCTCTTGAAAGAGATGGTCCGGAAGAATTGTCCCCCAAATGAGGTGACATTCAATACATTCATCTGCATCTTATGCCAAAAAGGATTGATCGAGCAAGCTACTATGCTTATCGAACAAATGTCAGAGCATGGATGTGAAGTGAATATTGTCACATACAACGCCCTCGTTAATGGCTTTTGTGTGCAAGGGCGCGTTGATAGCGCTCTTGAGTTATTTTACAGCATGCCTTGCAAGCCCAACACCATTACATACACTACCTTGCTAACAGGTTTGTGCAATGCCGAGCGGTTGGATGCTGCTGCAGAACTCTTAGCTGAGATGCTCCAGAAAGATTGCGCACCAAATGTAGTGACTTTCAATGTACTTGTGAGTTTCTTCTGTCAAAAAGGATTAATGGATGAAGCAATTGAACTTGTAGAACAGATGATGGAGCACGGTTGCACCCCTAACCTGATTACATACAATACTTTACTCGATGGGATAACCAAGGATTGCAACTCAGAAGAAGCTCTGGAGCTATTGCATGGTTTGGTCAGCAATGGGGTATCCCCAGATATAGTTACCTATTCTTCAATCATTGGTGTCCTCTCAAGAGAAGATAGAGTAGAAGAAGCAATCAAAATGTTCCATATTGTGCAAGATTTGGGGATGAGACCTAAAGCAGTGATATACAACAAGATACTACTTGCACTCTGTAAAAGATGTAATACAGATGGTGCCATTGATTTTTTCGCTTATATGGTGTCTAATGGTTGCATGCCCAATGAGTTGACCTACATTACACTCATTGAAGGCCTTGCAAATGAGGATTTCTTGAAGGAGACAAGAGATTTACTGCGCGAGTTGTGCTCAAGAGGTGTTCTAAATAAAAACTTGCTTGAAGAGTGGCGCCCTAAGTTTTCGAATCAAACCGTGCATTTACCTTGAGTCATCATGAATCCAAAACCTTTAGTACTGTTGAGTATCCATGGAACTCTATTCCTCATCTACAGTAATGTGGAATCAGTGGCACACTGGCATGTCCTGTGTATGCTTCAAGATACTTTTCATGATGATGGGACAGACCACAGACGAGGGCTCCTAGCCTCATGTACAGGAATCGTGATTGTGTAAGTTTCTCCCTCCCTCAACATACAAAAACTAGTCAACCTACTCATGCTGCAAGCATACATGCATTACTTATCATGCCTACTTTCACTTTCGGTACTAATTGAAGCAACATTGTCATTCTTTTCGTGCTTGATAGAAAGACACTTATGCTATTTATCAGCTTTGTGTAGTTTTAAACAATAATCTCTTGATCATCTGCGTAGCCTCTTGTTTCCTACACTAGAAATATTAAATATTATACTCTCAGTAAATCTTCTCCAGTCCACTTAAGAACATACGCCACATTGATACATAAAAACGAAATACCCAACATTCCTACACTTCTCTGATATCATTCAATACTTTTCTGTTCATAAAAAGAACTCTTGTAGGTTATTTATTTCATATTAGTCTAGTCCGCTTGATATGTAGGATCTCACAACCAACACAATTTTGTTCAGGAAGCTGAAATTGAAGTGTGAAGACCAAGAAAAACAAGAGAAGAATGTGGAGGATAACGCAAGCAAACTTGAGTGCTTACAAATGTTATTTTCCATGTTAAATAATACAGTCACAGAATTTTAATAATACATTTGACAATTTGACTCTATTGCATTGACTTATTTAACCAAATTGCTTTTTTTTTTTTCTGTTCATGATAATGTTGGCACTGTCTTTTACAAGCTATGGCCTTGGTTGATGTTTTTGTTTTCTCCTTCTAAGTCTTTGTTGAATTTCCTTTTCTTGTACATCATTTCTCAAAATCGCTTATTATTTTTAAGTCTTATGTCAACACTTAACAAGAATATTGGGCTGTATGATCATCATGTGATCATGTATTTGTCCAGGTTTTCCTTGCTTCAGACTGGCGTTTCATACCGATTACCTTACATCAAACTGACATCTCAAATTACTGCGTTATAATTTCATTTCGGTTGCAACTTCTTGCTTTGCCAGGCTGATACAATCATGCCACATGCATCATCGAGCATTTGCATGTTGGTAAGCTTTTTTAGTTTCCTTCTAATTTCCTGGAGCCTGCAGGTTCCAGGCATCATTCTAGCATCCTCATATGCTTTATCAGCAAGTCCGGCATCAGATTCTCATTCCTCTTTCTGTTTCTGTAGGTGACTATTGGGCACAGAGACGCAATAATCCATTTTGGGAACAAGTCAATGGCCTGGCAAAGGGAAGCAGTTTCAGTTGTACCAAGGTTCAAGTTTTGCCCTCTATCTCCAGTGAAATGACCATGTAACAGGTTGACAAGTGCACATGCTGTTGTTCAAGTCCCAACTCTCTTACCTTGCTAATGTCCAACAGTTTCTTAGGAGAAAGCAACAGGCACACTTTTAGAGTTTCACGGCCTGAACTATTTGTCTTTGGATTGGGAAAATCAACAAGCAACGAATCGAACAAGTTCTGGAGGAGATAGTTCTCTGCAAATATAATTCGAAGACAGTCGTGAACCAACAGCCCATCGAAATGCCTGATCGGTTGATCCAGAGCCGGAGCCGTGGAGGTATATTCTGCGGGTAGTGCTGTGCGCAAATAACTGTCTGAAGTCTGATACTCTGATATCCCAAGTTCAGACTCCAGACAATTATGTTATTGTAACGCTGCGTGAGAAACATGACTGCCATTCTGGTTGATCTTAAAGTAAATCTATCTTTGCTCAAATCTGTGTTGCTGCAGAAGAAAAACTGGATTGGAAAATTGCTCACGGTCATGGTACAAGATAGTCAGCACCCCAGTTGGCTCTGTACGGCACACAACAACTCAGCCATACGTACAAAACCTCGTCATGGAAAGGATCTTACAGGTGGCGCAGCTTCCAGAGTTAGTGCAGCAATCTACGTCCTATGCAAACATGCTGTACAAGGCTCAGTAAGAAAAGCAAGCTTTTTTACTCTTTGGTCACATCATCCATGTACCGAAACGACAATGCAGCACCAAAGTTCTTCCTCTCCTCCGCGAAATCATCATCGTCATCCGTATCGTCACTGGAGGAGCTGGACTCTGGATGAACCGTTGACATAGACAGTGCCTCATGGATGCCTTTAGCAATGCAGTTTTTGGTAGCAAGCATCTTCACCTGGCCGGCATGTGAGATCTCCACCAAGACCTTGCCGTCATCCTTCGGAAGAGGCTGATTCCAGGGTTCCCCATCAAGTCTCATGTAAGCATGGTCGGTTGCACCCTTGTGGAATTTGAATTGGACGCGATGAGCCTGAAAATGAAAAGAAACTTATTGTTCATGAAGCAACCCAATTTTATTTGAGGGTCAAATATCATGAAGCAGCACAGTTTGTTGGGTAATTTGGTTCAGCAATATAGGGCTTCAAAATTTCAGTCCTGCTACATGCATTTGAGTATGCAATGTTCCTACCGAACGTTATTGTATCACCTAGATCCAACCATTGATGGAGACATGGAGTGATGTAGCTATGCAGTGGAAAGTCTTATAAGTCACAATGAACTGCACATAAGTAGACTAGAGGAGGTATGCATTTATATTTTACCTGAGCAAGACGAGTGCCATGGCCTTTTGGAGATAGCAACACAAGTCCATGCCAAGCATCTTTAAAACCCACAATCTCCAGAAGACCATCATCCACAAGTGGAGGCATTACTAAATCCCTCTGCAAGAATAGTTTTGTATTGTTAAAAGATCTTTAAATAAAGGAAATTTATACTACCACAGTCTTTTGTTGTGCAATGAATAGCATCAGCGTTATGTATTGAACTCACTTTTCTTTGTTTTCTCTCACTTGGTGTTCCCCATGGATTCAGTCCACCGGAGAAGCTGGGTAAATTCAGACAAACAATGGACCGGATACTGCATTTGTGTAAAAATTTGTTCAGACCATCATGGATCAGCATCAGATATTGAAGCATTCTAACATGCCGCCAATAGCATTTAATGGTTTAAAGTTAACAGTATAAGTATCTAGCACACCAACTATAGTGCACACAAAATTGAGAATTTTTGTGCCCGACAGATATATAGAACCCATTCTACCCCCATCCCAACTCCTGGGGCTGTGACTCAAGAGTAAGAGCCCGTGCTCCTTTTAAACATCAGATTCCATCAATGCTCAAATATAAGCACATAACTCTAAAATGTAATATGCAAGGCCGGTTTGATATGGAAGGAGGGCGTATAGCTTACCTCTGTGGAATTTCCAATGTTTCCCATTTTCCAGATTTCTTCATTATCTTTACTTTTGAAAGGTGCGCAATGTTCCTATGGTGCAGCAAAAGGTATATGAAAAATTATGAGACCTACAATGTCATGAACAAAGCATGCAGATTTTCCTGAAAGTATTGAGATGATTTTTCAAAATGATGCAAAGACTAACTTAGTATCGATAATGTAATTTACCGTGACATTGGATGACATAGGGATGCACAGAACCATCCTTGCGTGCATGCCAGCTTCAAATATGTTTTCTGCACTAAAGATCATAAAAATTATTGGTTTCTGTACTTCTGAATATGCTCATAAAGGAGTGACATCTTTGAGAGAGGTTAGAGGAAAGCAGGAGGAATAAAATCTTTTAAAAAATATGATCGGTATCTTAGTTCACCTGATTAGACAACTGGTTTTTGAATTTTTCTGGATGCAATTTCCTCTCAGAATGAAAGGCATATGACACCTGAGCATCCATTCCTGTGAAATAAACAAGTGAATTTCAACCTTTGGCTGTTGAACTAACCAATAAATTGTGTCCTACTGTTTTCTCCTAGCCTTGGCAGAAAAGCAAGGTTCACCCAAAAAAAAAATTGATCAACAGAACAAAAGGTACAACTTTCAACAGGCAACTCACCCATACTGAAGTAATTCCAGAATCCCCCACGAAACGTGCAAGAATATTCCTGCAGATGTATTGAAAACAAGGTTATACATTCAGCACGTTGCATAATTCAAGAGGTTCATTTACTCATATTCTATATTAACATGTAAATATTCATTTTTTGACTTTTTGTATGGAAAAACATAAGGCACAAATATGTTCTAAAGAGAACACATAATGCAAACCAATTACTCCCTCCGTTCCAAAATATAACAGCTTCTCCACCAACATTCTCTTCCCGGCCAATCACAACCTTCCCTCATTTAATTCTTCCTACTTTCTTATACCTGTGTGCAACCCTAAAAATCCTTATATTCTAGGACGGAGGTAGTAGTTACTGAGGTAGATCAAAGAAGGACGTCGACCAAATTTATCAAGCAGGGGAGGAAAAAACAGTTTACAAATCAATCACACGGTTGCCAAGATACAACACATGCCCCACTCATAAGTTATAACAGCAGCCCCAGCTTGGCAGCTCTACTTCTGGGCGCTCTAGGATAAAACACCACACAGGAGCAGGGCATCAGGCAATTATTGACCACTCCTGTGTGATTGCACTACATAGCTCTGATGCCCCTGATCTAAGTGATGAAAATGAATTGGAAAAATGTCTGGATTGAATATGCAGAAAATCTAAGTGATGGAAGTGTGGAACAGTGCAGAACCACAGGCAAACAAGCGTAAGTTTGGATATACGCTTGCCACTGATGCATGCTATACACTCTTTATATTATTTATATATACAATCAACACCATTTCAGATATTCGTATAACGTGCCTCAGCCACATGGAAACTAAACTGTGTGAAGGTGACTAATTGTGTTATTTCCATAAAAGGGTACTTTAAAAAAATGCAAAAGGGGCTTCGCAGAGCCCAAAAAAACAGATAAACAGTCCAACTCAGTATATAATTTGAGTCTTCTAACTTAATTTGCATACATTAAATTAGTCCAAGTCAATTGTAGTTACCTTATCTTGTGGATTGTTTGGCACACGGTGAAACGCGTGCAGCGAATGAGGCAAATCCAAAGGAGCAATTGGATCACAAGTAGAACTTTTTGGGCTTTCCATTTTCATGACAATGTGCCAACTGAAATATTTCAATAAGTACCAATCAACATCCGTATGGAGATTACAGATAGAAGGTGTGAACAACAATGGAGATTGTACCTTGCAAAACAAACCTACCTATCAATTTTCATCTCTTTCGCTTGTCTTACTGACTGTAGAAACGATAGAACTGACTTTTCATCTGTTCCAGGATTTCTCTTCCCCTGCATTTCATTTGTTTTCTATTAGGGACATAGTGACAGACCATAATTAAAAGTATTGTGTAGCAACAGTCCAAACATAAAGCTGACATCAGAAGGCATAATATAAACATAAACTTATAAGTAATCGCTAGAAGGAAGAGTTGTTTATCTCAACTGATGATGGGAAATATATAGAATTGCTGTACAAGAAAGAATTGATTCTTAATCATAAAATCCTTGCACAAGTAGGTCACAAATGCTGTAGATGAAACACAAACAGAAAAAAAATACTACTAGCAAATATAACTAAATTTATTCAATATAGCAAAACAGAAAGGTTTCGATTCGACATCTGAGGGATTATCATAACGAAAAAGTAAAAGCAGGTTTAAATGAAAAAGGCTCATGCAAGTACAACGCACAGCAGTGGCATATGTAAGATATGAAAGAATTCTACTAATTTATCTTGATTAACTATCTTCTTTCACATACCCATCCAAAAGAATATGGCAAGTTATTTCCAGTTCCCAGAGGAACTGTAGCAACAGGTGGTGGATGTACTAGCTTAAGATCAGAAACAACTCCAAGCAACCAACCTGCAGTACCATCACCTCCAGCAACCTAATTGGATTTCAAGGACAAAAATATGTAAGTGCAGTTTCCAAATAAGGCAAAACAGTTATAACTATTAGCAATAGATCATATTGTTAGATAGAATCATAAAACTGCTGAGTAGTGCTCACTATTAGCCTCAATCTTCTGTGAATTTCAGCAGCAACAGTATCCCCATCACGCATTAGCCTTTCCATGTTTCCATACAGTTTGTGCAAGACCTTATCTGGAGCTTCCTCAAGCAGATCAAACACCTGAAATTCAGAGAGTTAGGCTGGCCTTAGAACTATATGTTAATTCGAAATTCCTTGCATTAAAAATGAAAGAATACTGTAATGACGAACAAGTATATCTGGAAAAACAGTGAACATCTACCTGAGAATTGTTGAGCAGCTTACGGTACGTGACAATTAAATCATGTCCCAGCTGGCCACCACTTTTGGTGTTGATAAAAACAATCACTGGACAACTAGGTATTTGAGAAACCTTCTCTACTGGAGACTCTGGCACGAATATATAAGTTGGGATGTAGAACTCTTTCAGCATGTTGTTTTTCACAAGGTTGTTCTTCATTGAATCTTGCGCCTGCAACATTCATACTAATTACGAAGATACAAAGATAACATAAGATTACCGAAGGCTAATTAGTGTATTTTAACTATGTTCCACTGTAGGCTAAAAGTAACACTAATTGGATATATCAATTGGTTTATTTGACCCAGGTACAGCTTGTGTCAATACAACTTCTGGTAAATTTAGTAGCAGAACGTTGTGCAACGGTCTAAGCACAAGTGCACAGTGACTTCATTTCCATGTGAAAATAAATGCCACAGTTAACACTATAGTATCTTCGAGTACTTTATTGAGGATAAAGCAAACAAGCTGTCACTGGAATGGACAAAGCTTTTTTTATGTGTGTGTCGCGGAACGCAGGGACGTAGGCATTTGTTTCAACAGTATCACCATACACATGTCAATTATCATACTAACAGTTTCAGGTTAAAATTGGAAACATGACAGATATATTTTCATGAAACAGCAAACACCTCACTTAAATCAATATACAAAATCAACATTTATAAATCAATTTTTTTTACTAAATAAATCAATTTCAACATACGGTTTATTTCTGGTAAGGGAACCAGACCACTGTATACTGATCTTTTTACCAAAGTAGTGGTACTATACTACTATTAGATGATGGGATATACTGTTATACTGTCAGTTACTTTCGAAGTTTAGTGTTGCTCAATATTTGAGAAGACATTGAAGCACATCCCATCCAGAAAGAGATGTGAGCCACCGTCATCCTTACAATTAATTGTGAATGATTCGCCATAGCGATCAACAATCAACAGCTATCAGTTGTTCATTGGTCACTAAAAAATCACGTCACCTACCAGCTCTAGAAGAATCTAAACCAGTGATGAGCCATAAATGATCCAAATCAATCAATATCATGCCCTCTTAAAAACTTACCGATAATTTCGGACACCAATATTAACTTAGGCCTATAAAAATAGCTTCAAAAAAGTTCAAATAAACCAAAGTGTAAACTATAAACCGAAAAATCAAACCGTTGAAGTTGAAAGGTAGAGAAACCCATCCTCAAAACTTACAACGGTACAAATTCAAATGGATTCCTATACAACAGCAACAAATACCCCAGGATTTAGCAATCCCCTTTGAGCATGCAGGACCCGGGCCACCCAACCAAATTTGAAAAGTTCGATTCCCTACCTAAACCAGATGGAAACGCAACACTGGTAGGCCGGGAGAAGGCTTTAAAGTAGCAAATCAATCTCAGTAATGGATCATCAGTCACTAATAAATGCTATTGCACATTTGAAGCATTGCCACCCCAATCACAACCAGATTGCATGAACAAATGGTAACTTTGGACAACCACACACAACCAGACCAAAAAAAAAAAAACCCGCTACATTCCGCAAAGCCATTTGATCAGAACCCCAAACATCCAGCGCAAATAATAAACCCCCAATAAAAATCGCGTTCAAATGGCCATATGCCACCGCCTCGACGGAGCAGGGCCCGACCGCCCGAGAGGATCATATCGATCGACGGAGGAGCGGCCGGGTGCTAGGGATCTCACCTGCCCGAAGGCGAATCGCTCGCTGCGGGCGGCGCCGGAAAGATCCAACAAGGCCGGGGGATGCTCTGGTTTGGTATTGGAACGCTCGCGGCTCGTCTCCGAGCCGCGAGCGGACGCAAGCAACGGGGGGATTCCCTCTCTGTCCGCGTGCGTGCGTTCTGCGCTGAGCTCGAGGGAAGAAGAAGAGGAGGTGGTGGGGGTGGGGGTGGCGCTGGATGGGCTTGGAAAAATTCCGAGCGCGTGTGCAACGCCTATTATAGTAAGCGCCAGGCGGGCCGAGCTGGTTGGTCCACGTGAGGGGCGCCGACGCGCGTCGTCTCCTAATTACGTTGCTGACAGGTGGGCCCAACGGAATGACGCCGTGGGGTCGCTGGTCGGTTTGGTCCCGAGACCTTCGGACCGGCTGCCGCTTCCACCTGTTGTGTGTGTGTGTGGGCGAGGGTTCTTGGCTCGGTCGACACGTCACAGCCCTCGGCGCGGACGCGCGGTCGCTGTCTCCGCGGTGGATTAGTTCCGGACTCGGACTCGATCACCTGGTGGATTTGGTTGGTTTTTCGATTCGTTTTCTTCTCGGCGAAGCCAACGTACCCCGTCCCGCGGAGACAGCGACCCGGCCGCGCAAGGTCGGCTCCGGACACTCGTTTTTCTCTCTTCTCGGCTGAGAATTTCGCGTGATACGGCCGCCGCGCGTTTCGCGTGTTTCTTGCAAGCGCGCGGCGTGGTGGGTGCGTGAGTGCGTCGTTGATCCGTCGGGGCAGCCGGGGCCGGCCGGGTGATCAAACCGACGTTCCAGTGTCACAGTGTGACAGGGTCCAGTCCACTGTTCTGGATGAGAATAAGAATCTTAGCAGACCTTTGCTGGTAGTTCCGCGTAAAATACTGACCTATTGTCCCAAAGTCAGGCAGTTTATTCAGTTAAGACAACTTTTACCCTGTTGCCAAGGAGACAATCGAGAACCAGAGATTACCGTTGTTCCTTTTCCGCACGGGCGAGGTAGTAATTAAGCATTAAGCAACTGTCACCACTAGCCAAGTAGCCGTACTTGGGAGGACAAGGCAAAGCGTGAAAGTTCTGCTTTCCGACGTTGGAATACTATCAGCATTCAGCAGCAGCGCCGGTGGCGGCCCGGCGGCATATATGCCCGGACTGGTTCGTCCAACGCCCTTGCACTTGCATACAAGCAAGTCGAGATTCCAGCTTCCAGATGCGATTTGGAACGCCTCTTTTACACGCTCGTGCGTGCTGACCTGGGGGCTTTTGTTCACTGTCCAAAAACCGGACGTGCATGTTAGCTGAAAGCTGGTGCCGAAAGTTCACACCGACAGCATGGCGCCATTGGCATCGTTTGGTCTGCGGGCGGCAGATCCGCAGATGCCTCATCGACACATCGTCTCTACTCGACGCAGGTATATGCTCGTGGCAGTTGAAGTTCGTATATATGCACGGAATGCGCCGGATTGGCTAATGGCAACCAAGTCTTTGGGAATATCGGTTAAGCTCGAAGAAAAAAATATACTTGTATGTCACACTTTGAACTTTGTTTGCTTTGCTGATATGAGATGCTTGCTGGATTCTGATATTTCTGATATAGGAGAATGTTGTTGGACTTTTTGGCGCTGTAGGTTTCGCGCAGCCTGCTCGTTAATTCCGTGGTCTCGACTGGACCTTGTGGGCTAAGCAACTAGCTGATCCATACCTTGAAATCGCTGATCCGTGTACACTTGTCAAAGTATACAAAATAAGAAAGGGCTTGTTTGGTGTAGTGACCTACCAAAGTATTGCCCTACCAAAGTATTGGTAGTGCCAAAACTTAGATATGTTTTGGCACTACCAATATTTTGGTATGATAGCATTTTAGGTGAATAGATTTGGATTGATACCAATTGGAAGCCAAATTTTATATTATAGTTAAGAAAGTTCTAGAATTATGCCAAATTAATCATGGGCATTATCATTCACTTGGCTTCAAACCAAACCATTACATTCACTATTCAAACTACCAAATAAATTGGTAGGGTACATTTTGGCATCAATCCAAAATAGCCCAAAATGTTTCTGATTCTCTCCGTGTCAAACAGGTAATTGTCTGGCCTACTACAGGTTGAGCTAAGTACAACAGACAAGAGTTAGCTGGTGACAGTAGTTTCGCTTGCCTACTGTAACTCTGTAAGTAAGTGAGACGTGTAAACTGTTTTTTACTCACAGATACTACACTTCCTATCAACCTGTCCTACTGTTTAACAGTCTAGCCACCAGAAGGTCTAGTACTCCCTCCGTTTTAAAATATTTGACACTATTGACTTTTTAGTACGTATTTGACCATTCGTCTTATTTAAAAAATTTAAGTAATTATTTATTCTTTTCATATCATTTGATTCATTATTAAATATACTTTCATGTACATATATAGTTTTACATATTTCACAAATTCTTATTGAATAAGACGAACGGTCAAACATGTGCTAAAAAGTCAACGGTGTCAAATATTTTAAAACGGAGGGAGTAGTTGGTAATCTTTACAGGTGCGAACATAACTTTACTTAGACAATACATAACTCAGGCCACACTGATAGGTTCTTCAGGTTCTACGATCTTAGCACCACATCACTCCTTCCTTTTCATTGTGACTCGGCTTCCATACACGATCCTGATCTTCCTATCTTTCGGAGTCTTTGAACCATTTTGCCTTTTTTTAGGTGTCAAGACTGAGATATCCTTACCCTTGTTCTTCTCAGGTGTCTTGTCAGAATACACATTGTCTGCACAAAGATGACTGAAGTGGTGGCGAGGATTCACGTAACAAAACGATGTGCTGACGATCCCTATGACAGTTGATGGTCGTACTATAAGCATAAAATTCTCTAACTCAGCAAAACAAGCATGCTCTGAGTAAGGCAGACTATAAGAATCCTTCTCAAATAGCTTTGGCGGTGACAGGGGATCGTAGTCCATTTCTATTGCGCCTTCATCTAGCCCTTTGCATCTGATAGACTTGGCTGGTGATTTAACACCAGACTTGGCCTTCCCTTTACTGTTTTTCCAGAGCCAAGGAATACCAGAAGGCATGATTCCTATAGTGGGGCACACCGTGTTCAAAGCATCAAGACTCTCAATAGTAAGGCTGTACCTTGGAACGGCACGGATCCTGGTCAAGCTGGTCTGTGTGGTGAAGATCTCCTGGTTGTCATCAATACCTAGAAGGTGTATTGTCTGAAGGCGCTGGGGCCAGACCCAAATCTGACAGGGAAATTAGATGAAATGATTTCAGCATTCGGATATTCAAGGCACAGTGTTTTAGAAAGCAATTAGATTAGCAATGTTATCATAGATTTCAAAACTAAATTGAATATCAGATTAGATTGGAGCAAAAACTGGTACTTCTATCCAGAAGTCAGAACGCTAGAACCAAAAACAAACATTAATACTGAAGCAAGTTTAAATTAATATATTGAATAATAGAATAGCACTAAAACATATAAGAAAGTCATGACGAATTTCATTATGTAGTAGAATGTAGATTAGTAGAATAAAGATTATCCAATGAAAAGCTGTACCACCTTTGTTTGCAGTGCTCTGGATATATGAAGCAAGAGATCTTCTTTTCCAAGAGTGTCAACACCAATAATAATTTCATGGTCAGGATGTGCCCGAATAATATTAACTATCTGCATCTCAAAACTGAGAATATAAGTACAGAAAATAGAAACACAGCTTGATGGCTACAATTCTATATCAGCAAGAAGAATTCAAACACAAACTTATGCGTAGGCAAGTGTGTTTTCTTCTGGAAGAAATAGCATAAATCCTGCAATTGATTCTATTCACAGAAAGAGAGAGAATACAGTGAAGGATTGTCGCATATAACTTTAGATATCATCTTTTTATTTATGAGATGGCATATTAGTAACCGCGGTAACAGAACCAGACATCCGTCCCATTTTCAGCAAAAGAAAAAAAAGGTGGAATAGCTGAATGCCTGAAATGCTCTAAGTAGCATCAAGTCATCAACAGGCTACAAGAATTTTTTTGTTGTGACAACTGACTGTGAATTGCTTCATGAATCAAGTCATGTGCACAATTCTGATTCTATTGAGGCATAAGCAGCAGCTGAGCTGTAACAGTTTGATGTCTCAGGATGAGAACTGAAAGTTACACAATCATATAGAACAAATGCATGTCAATGCGACTAAGGACTCCACAGTATTCAGTCTCCCCAGTGTTCTAAAGTCACCGCAGAAACTTGAGAGTAAGTGCACATCTCTGATCTCTCAACGTATTTCAGACTTGCAACCTTACACCTTAAAATTGTACTAGTAAAATGTATATATATGTATACCATTTTGCCGAAACGGCCCAGAATACTGACCAAACTAAAACCATCACACTAGAAAGGCAGAAATTGGCACGGCCGCCATACGTTACTGACTGAAGCAGCAAAACTGACCTGCTCAGCGACGATGGGGCGCGGAGGGAAGCTGAGCGACGGGTGGCAGTACGTGTTATCCAGGTAGAGCACGTCCACGGTATCCCCGGCCAGCGCGTCGAGGAGCGCCTTCTTCGCCGCCCGCGCCCTCTTGCACCTCAGCTCCCACCGGAAATCCCCCGTGTACAGCATGCACCCGAGATCGCCGCGGAAGAGGTACATGAGCGAACCTGCAGCGAGACGACAGTGGCACCACACAAAATGAGCAGCGTGATTGGAATGGGGCGATCCAACATTGGGAGGGAATCCGGGTTCGGGAGGGAGGGAGGGTGGGTACTGTACCGGGGCAATGGAGGGCGGGGATGGCGGTGACGACGACGGAGACGGCGCGGCCGGTGGAGGGGGAGGAGAGGGAGAGCGAGGCGGAGGCGCCGGGGGCGAGGGGGCGGAGGAGCGACGCGTCGACGCCCGGGAAGCGGGTGGGGAGGAGGCGCGCCGTGACGGGGGAGCAGTAGAGCGGGCCGTGGCGCCACCCGCCCGCCGCGCCGAGGCCGCGGGTGTGATCCTGGTGGAGGTGCGTCAGGAAGTAGGCCTGGCTGCCGCCGCTGAACTTGTCCACGGACACCAGCCCCTCGTCCATGGCCGGCCCGACGCCCTCCCGCCGTAGCTCTCGTGCCCGGCGGCGGTTGCTGTTTTGGCCTTTCGGAGAAGAGGGAAAGAGAGGCATGTGCGGGAAACGGCGGCGCCAAAGTGAAAAGTTGGCCCTCTACAGGAGATCTCCCCCTAGCCTCTACTCTACAGACCAGTATGATTTGCTCTTTTCCCTTTAGACAGTGTTTAGTTCACACTAAAATTAAATTAAAAGTTTAGTTGAAATTAGAACGATGTGACGAAAAAGTTAAAAATTTGTGTGTGTAGGGCTGTGTTTAGATCCAAAGTTTGGATCCAAACTTCAGTCCTTTTCCATCACATCAACCTGTCATACATACCCAACTTTTCAGTCACATCATCTTCAATTTCAATCAAAATCCAAACTTTGCACTGAACTAAACACAGCCTAGGAAAATTTTGATGTGATAGAAAAGTTAGAAGTTGTGATAGAAAAGTTAGAAGTTTGAAAAAAACTTTAGAACTAAACAAGGCCTTAGAGTCGACTCACAGCTCACAAAGTCTGGATAAATCCATCATAGTAGCAAAGTAGTTTGAACATTATACAAAGGAGTATATACACTAAAACATATGTTCCATGTTTCGAGCAGCTAAACGTATTCAGGATTTCAGGTTCCAGATATCCAATCAACAGGGTTTTCCGTTATCACGTATCCAATACTACAAAAAAACAGGCTGAATAGAGCAGCTGAAATACCGTATAAAACAGAAAACTTCGGCAAGAACACAAGACGCGCCACATTATGAAGCCTGGATTTGGTATGAAACAACATGGATTCGTGACCAACGAAAACATCCCATACACAGCTCCTTTCTCCACCACCCACGGGGATACTGGACTGTATCAGTTTACAAAGTAAACCAACAAACTCCCCTGATCTAAAGAGTCCAATACTTCACGCAAAATGAAAAGCAGCTTGCTGGTCAAGCCAGTTTATGATATCCAGTAGATACAGAAGCAACAGGCCAACAGCTAAACAGTAGTTGCATTGTTCAAATACACAGATCGCCTCGGGCAAGCCTCTCACGTTTTCCTTGCGCTCCAGATGCATTACCTCAGTTTTCTGCAGTGAATCGAAACAGAGGAATCAATTCCAGTAGCATTGTATGTTAATTTGTCCAACACAAAAGTAGACAGCAGGTGGCATACATTATCGCATATAAGTAAGAGTTCAAAACAAACATGAGCATTCAACAGACAAGGAAGCTACTGAAAATATGTGTGCCAGATAGGTGCATTAGCTATACAAGTGTGTCGAACGAAGAACTGAAATAGAAAGAGATTAGGACAACAAGATAACTTGATTGGTTCAAGTAAATTGACGTTTACAAGGACCAAGCACTATGTGAATGTCAGACAACCCCCAGTGACTCGGTAAGATGCCAGAACTAAGAAGCCGCCCATTACCCACTTGTAGCACAACCATAAGTACTAAGCACACAACCTACAGTTTGACGAATATGGGAAATGTCCCTGCATATGGCCTTTATGCTATATATTTCCACCACTCCCTGCAGCTATTGTCACATGTTGGTCCATTTGTCAGCCCAAAATGACAAGTAAACAAAACTAGCATCTATCATTACTCATGAACAGCAATTGTCACAAACTGTGGTCATGAACTAAATAGGTTGCTAGCCCCATGTTCATTTATTCCATCAACCAGTCAACCACATGCAAATTAGAATACCAGAAGATGTAAGTTATGAAATGAACCATCCGTAACTAGGCTGATATAAGGTCATTGGAAATGAAGTAATGAACTAGAGTGTTACAAATCAATAATCTGTGGATAATGATGAGTGGCATGAATCAACTGAATGATTACATACTTCGTGAAAATTGTTAGGCAATGCAACTAAGGGAAAGTAACAACATGATTATGTGGATGAAAATAGCTGATGATCTCAGGGCAATAACAGAAGCAAGGATCCTATTCCTGATCAGGCGGGCCAAACATGTCATAAGACAAAAAGAGGAATTAAACTGATAGTTAACAAAAAAACAACTCAAATTAATATGGCAAGAAATTCATTTGTAAGGAGAGTTAAGGATTGGGGCAGAAATGCAGAACAGATGGCAAGATATTTTCACAGGAGAAAATGTATGTCTAAGTTTCCAAAGCATGCCATGATTCTAACTATATATTGCAGTAAAAGAAACCTTTGTAACAGTAACATAAACCACCCTTGATTGAAGAAGGCCTGCCATCCAGCCATGCAGGCAACAACAAAATAAATTTCTACTTTAAAAGGAGTCAAAACTGTGGCAGATTAGACCTTCGGAAAGAGAGTAAGAGACTATTCTAGTCATGTAGCCTTGCATTGCTTTAGCGAAATTGCAAAGTTTGACTAACTTTTACATTGCAGTTGAACATGTTCTACAATGCAAATTCCCCTAATCCCCTTGATATGCGAACTTATTTGAACTTACCACTACTAATTTCTACGGTGTTCGGCTTGCCAAGTGTTCACCGCAACAAAGGAATCAACATTATAGTTCCACACAGAGGTACAGCATCCTTACCGTGTCTTCCAATAATTAACAAAAGCTTATTAAAAAAACTACAGTGGCTAGTCAAAATAAGATCAAACCATGCAGTGAAAAAGACTAGGGCATCAAACTCATCACCTTTACAATCTTATATGAAAGAACACAGGTTGATACGCTTAGTAAACATAGCTTCTTAGTTTTTACTGAGTACTAACTGTTATGACATTTATGGTTCTAATATTTTGTTCCGTTCCAAACATGTCTATAGTAAATCATTTCAATGAACAACTCATGGTAATAAACCGATAAATCAGCAAATACAGTTAATAGCGATTGAATTGAGCAATGTAAAAGGGCAAACCTTTCTGCACATCAGGTGCATCATGATACACAGGTTCATCCTCAGGCACAGTGTGCAGCTCATCTGTTGGCCCTGCTGCCTCCCCGTCGGCACCTGCAGCATCATCGGGGTAACGAACAACCACAACCGGGCAGACACAGTGATGCACGCAATAATCACTAACACTCCCAAGCCTCCCCTTCCCGCCCTTCCGCGAGGCACCGAAGCCGCGGCTTCCCATGATCATAGCGGACAAGCCAAGTCGCTCGGCCTCGAGGCAGAGGCGCTCCTTCATGTCGTGGTCCTTGACGACGTGGATCTTAAAGGGGATCTGCGCGTCGACCAGCGGCTGCGCCAGGTCCTCCGCCTTGGTGGACGTGAAGGCGTCGAAGTCCTCCTCCCGCTTCTTCTGCAGCTCCTCCGCGGATGCCGCGGGTGCGACCTCCCCGTCGGCGTCGTCGGAGACGGAGACGGGGATGGAGCCCCAGTCGGCGCCGTAGAGCACGGAGGTGGGCCGCACGTGGAGGAGCACGACGGCGTCCCCGGGGCGGAGGTAGTTCTGCACGGCCCACCGGACGGCGTACGCGGACTCGTCGGAGAGGTCGACGGCGATGGCGATGCGCCGGTGCGGGGAGGCGTTGGTGCCCGCGAGCGAGGAGAAGAAGTACCGCGGCGAGGTGGGGTGGATCGCCGCCGCCGACGCCGCCTGCGCCGCCGCGAGCCGCACCGGCGGCAGCGTCGGCGAGGACGCCGACACGTCGCCGCCGCCGCCCGCCGACGGGGAGGAGGGGTTGGCCGCCATGGGGATGAACTCCTTTTCCCCTCTTCCTCGTTTGGGAATTTCTCGGCGAGGCGAGATGTTGGCCGGTTTGATCCGAGACGGTGGTGGTGAAACGGAAGAGGCGAGGCGACTAGGCGAGGCGAGACAAGGGGAGTGTGACACCGGAGCAAGCGGCAACCGTGCTGTGATGTTGTGGGTGGGGGATTGAACCGAATGACTTGTTGTATACGTTGCTCCTGCTTCTCTGCCTGATCCCTCTCTGATGATGGTGTGTGTCCCTTTTGTTTCGCTTTTCTTAATCCTCTCTAGGGCTTCTGATAGCCCTCCATCTGTCCGTCCTTTGCCCGTTTGCTTCTTGGCCTAAACCACCGAAAAGGTGGGTCCGTTTTGCTGGACGCCTGGAATACTCTTCAACTCGATTGGAACAGCAGGCTCCGTGTATGTGTAACTATGGCTGTGTTTAGATCTAAAGTTTAGATTCAAAGTATAGATTTAAACTTCAGTCATTTTTCATCACATCAACCTGTCATATACACACAACTTTTTAGTCACATCATCTTTAATTTTAACCAAAATATAAATTTTACGCTGAACTAAACACAGTATATCACAACAGGTTTATGTAGTTCTGTTGCCACAGGTCATTTGGTCAAAAGGTCAATGATCTATCGTCGGTGAGTAAATGTCGTGCCTTGCATCATGGTCGGACTATGAGGAGACGAGATGACTTCTTCCCCGGCCTCTATCTGAGATCTCGTCGCCGACGGTTCAGACCGCGAGCATTACGCCTAACTGAACGGGATTGTTGCAGGTTACGGCATTGGGTTGGTGGCTGCTGCTTGCAGTAATGCGTAGCCGCGTCTTCCTTGTTGATTCCAAGCAACTCCTCCTTGTCCTTGGAAGTTTCAAAAGGATATTCTCAGAAGGATGCTCCTCGCACGCGAACCAAACTTTACGTGGTGTTTGGATCCAGGACTTAACTTTAGTCCCTGTCTTTATACACTAATTTAAAGTATTAAATATAGACTACTTATAAAACTAATTATATAAATGAAAGCTAATTCACAAGATAATTTTTTTAAGCCTTATTAATCCATAATTAGAGAATGTTTACTGTAGCATCACATAGGCTAATCATGGATTAGTTAGGCTTAATAGATTCGTCTCGCGAATTAGTCCAAGATTATGGATGGGTTTTATTAATAGTCTACGTTTAATATTTATAATTAATATCCAAACATCCGATGTGATAGCGACTTAAAAGTTTTAGTCCCATCTAAACAGGGCCACAGGCCTGCTGCTAATGGCAGCCTGTTCGAGTAGAGTATTAGGTTGTGTTTAGTTCACACTGAAGTTTGGAAGTTTGGTTGAAATTGGTACGATGTGATAGAAAAGTTATGCGAATGAAAGGTTCGATGCTATGGAAAGTCGGTAGTTTGGAAAAAAAACTTTAGAAGTAAACAAGGGCTTAATAGTTTAGTCAGGAAACGTGACAATGGATTCTAGAACATGATTGTTGCTTAATCAAAGGGGCAGCATGATTGTTGATGGTTCCTTGTGCTATCTTATTGAGGGGCAAAAACAGTTGAGGAACCGACTACGAGTAGTATATTGTTCGGTCTGGATTCCTGGGGCATAGGAACCCACAGAAAGATTGGTGTGTTTCAGCATTCCCTTTGGTGATCAGAATCTTCTCACGCTTGACATACCGCAAGCATAGTTATGAGAAATTTACTCTAGAGTCCATTTCCGTAATAGTATGCTATACAGCTTCAAATTCACTTGATCTTATTGCTCCAAAGATGTTTTGATGCCAGAATGACATCATACTCAGATTAGCCCATCTGTCTCCCAAAATCCCAAATCACCAATTGGCACTTGGCATATTTTTTGTTTTTAGATAATGGCTTTTTGCCTATGGCCTACTAGTTAACCACTTGCAGCATCTATCTGTTCAATAAACTGGCTAGAATCTGCTCGGTTTTGTGCTCGAGCAGATGTTCTCTTGACTCTTGCACTTTGAAAATGTTCTCGTTTCACAAATGGCATGCGCGCGTATGATTCGATCTCGAGTACCCCAGTGGATGTTTCTTGTTGCATTGCTGGGCCACTGCTCGCTTTACGCTTTGGCTTTTGCTGGCTTTGCATATAACTCTATGCTGTGCACCTTTCAATTGAGCCCTTTTCTCGAAGAGAACAAAATCCGTTTAGATACATCCTATGGTACTTCCCTCGTCTCTACAGTCAAAATCTGGCAGGCCACTTGTTCCTTTCATCAAAGGTCAGAAAAATGAGAAAGGTTAGCGCCTCGTGGAAAGTTGGTCTAAAAACTTAAAGGACATTTGTGGGTAAGTTGACCAAAAGAATTGTAGGCTTTTTAAAAGGAAAATGTTTATTTTCCGTCACTTTGTTCTGGACTCGTCATTTTTGACATCAAACATGATCATAAGAACTTTTTCTCTACAAATTTAGTTAAATTTGAAACAGTTTAACTTTGACTAAAAATAAAATGACTTATAATCTGAAACGAATGGAGTATCTAACATTGCATTCCATCACCGCAATCCCCCATGTATGCACCACGTCATTAGAGCCGCCCTTGGTAGTTTATGAAAAAAAGAACCCTCATAGAGTGTGGGGGAGTATATTTTTTTTTACAAATCTGTAAATTAAGTGCCTGTTCACTTTGATGCCAAAAAAAAAACCTTATCAAATTTTGGCATCACTAAAATTTTGGCATAGTTGCCAGAATTTTGGCAGGATTTCTTATATAGTTGCCAAAATTTGGCAGCAAACTAAATGTAGCCACTTTTTTTTTACAACTTTACCAAAATTTGGTAAGGTTGAAAATGACATCAAAGTGAACAGGCCCGAAAATTATATCACTGTAAATTAAAAAAGAAAAGGTAAAAATAAAAAAATTCTTCGGAAAAAAAGGAAATTTTCTACCCTACCTATGGGCCTTCGGCCCAATTAGGACCCAAATTAATCTTTGCCTTCCTGGACTTGTACAGTGTGTAGACCCGAGAATTTTTTTTATTTATACTTTTTTTTATTAAAATATTTACAAAAATAATTTTTTGTTTCGAAAATTTACAAATCTAATTGCCTGCCGCCCTCAAGAAGGGTGATTTTTAAAAATCGCCCTCTCAAAGGGCGGCAAGGGACCTAAATACAAAATTTTTATTTGTGTTCAAACCCTTCCCACCGGTTTTAATTACTTAAAAACTAATAATGCTTATTCGATACTCCAAATGATTTTAAATGGAAAAGTGATAAACTACAAAGTTATAGATCTCATCAAGATCTACAACTTTTATATAAAGTTTATCTCCATCCAATATCGTTTGAAATATAGATCTGAGATTTTTTAAAATGTGTTTTATATTTTGTAACGAATATTTGGATATCTAAAACATCTTAAATGAAAGAGTTACTAACTACAAAGTTGTAGATCTCCTTGAGCTCTACAATTTTGATATAAAGTTTTATTTCATCTGACTTTATATAATATAATTTTAAATTGTAAAATTATAGAGCTAACAAGTTATGCTGGAAAATTTACATTTAGGTCCCTTGCCGTCCTGTGGAAGGGCGATTTTTAAAAACCGCCCTTCCTGAGGGCGGCAGGCGATTAGATTTGTAAATTTTCGAAACAAAAAATTATTTTTGTAAATATTTTAATAAAAAAAAGTATAAATAAAAAAAATCCGTAGACCCGAGACACCCGACCCGACCTCGCCGCATCCTCGACCGGACCGGGTTAACGCATCCTCCTCCCCACTTCGACGGCGCGCCGGCGGCGATGGCGTCGCGGAAGCTCGTCCTCGGCCTCACGGCGGCAAGGCGGTTGAGGTCTCGCGCTCCCGTCCTCGTCTCGTCCTCTCCCTTCCTGGAAGCCTCCACATCGACTTCTGACGCCACCGCCGCCACCGCGACGCGGGGTTCGGGGTTGGGGCCGTGGGGGCTGTTCCTATCTTCGAGGGCCCTCTCGTCGACTCGTCCGGTGTCTCTGTCCGCCGGTGATGCGCCTGGCTCGTCCGCTGCGGACCACAGGTGCGATTTTCCGTTCTTGTGGTATCTAGCTCCCTGTTGCTTGAAGTGTTTGTTCGTTTGTTTAGTTTTTTAAGGATGGTTTGGTGCGTGAAATGGGCGAATTACCAATAACTTTTGTGCAGATTTGATAGAATGGTACCTTTTTTTTTTGTACCGTTGTCTTCAGGAGGCTATTGCTAAACCTAAGATTGATCATAAAACATTATGTCAAAATCGTTGTAATTGTTAGACTAAAGTGGCTGAGCTCAGCAAGATATATGGAGATTCTGAAATGTGGAAATTGGCATAGTTATAGAGCTACTATTATCGAAGTGGTTCAGCACAAAGTTCGATCTTCTTTTGGTGATTAATGCCTAGTTAATTTCCCTTGCAATGTTATTTTTGCATACATATTCTGTCGGGTAGTTGGTTGATTGTCGGTTGTGTATATTGGGCAGGTCGATACTACCAGAGGATGAGTATCACAAATTAGCAGATGAGACAATACATGACCTGCTTGAAAAACTTGAGGTAACAGATCCTATATGTCAAAGTCATCCATTTTTTGCACCTAATAGAAGCTTCACTAAAAACATATCACTTAAATCGACATCTTTGGCTAATTTGTCTTTTGGAACTCTTCTTAGGAATATGGTGACTCTCTTCAGATGGATGGCTTTGACATAGACTATGGGGTTAGTCGCAATGAAGTGTCATGTGATTCCTTGCTGCCATATGTGTTACTAATGAACTAGATTACTTAATAATGTTCCCTACTTTTCCATTGACATTGCAGAATCAAGTTCTAACACTAAGGTTAGGAGAGTTGGGGACATATGTTGTAAACAAGCAAGCACCAAACAGACAAATTTGGCTATCTTCACCTGTGAGGTATGGGACTATGATACCATTTAGCATTATCTTATTTAGTCCCTTGATTCAATGCTTCTTTTTTTTTCTCTTTTAAGATATCTGAAAGCGTATTACCATCTTATTTGTCAATTATACATTTTTTCCATTGAAACTCAGTATTATGCTACATATATATGATAATTGTCGAGGATTTTTACGGTACAATATACTGCTAGTATATACTGCAAGTATATATGATCTAACGGTGTAGATTGATTTAATTTTTTATTTAATTAGATTGCAGTATAAAGTTTGAAAGGGTAATTTTGTCTTTTCTTCGTTATTCTATCATCAAATCGTACTATCGTCACGTGCTTTGTCATCAAATGGCGCTCAGGATGCTCCTCCCCTAGTGTACGATAAGATCCAGGACTGGGTACTCTCAATTAGATTCATTTTGAACCAAAAATTACTAAAGTGTTGTTTTATTTTCTATCAAATTCCTAATATGTCCTTTTATATACTGCCAGTATATACTGGTAGTATATTGTACCGTAAAAGTTCTCTAATTGTCAAGTATGGTTTAAGCTAGTTTCAGGATGTATGGACTAATAATTTGGAAGATCCAGTATTTGTAGCTGGCGAACATAAAATTACTTTAGCAGGCTTGGTTGGTATCTTCAAATTTGCTAATTTTCTGTTCATAGTTGAATGAGCCAATTTCAAATGAAACTCTTTTGCACGCATGTTCTTATCCTTAGATTCTGAAATTGCTTCTAAACTACTCAACTTTATTAACAAAATGATAATACATCAAAACGAGTCAATTTTGAACAGAACTTATCAGAACTCAACTTAACTCGATAGCCAGCACTACATAAGAATTCCTGTTTTTTCTCCAATCTGCATTTCTAACACATGTTGATTCTTTTTGCTAAAGAGGCTGTCTACTTTTGTTCGCAGTGGGCCTTCTAGGTTCGATTGGGATGCACCAACAAATTGTTGGATATACAGGCGGACAGGAGCTAATCTTGTTGAACTTCTGGAGAAAGAGATTGGTGAGCTCTGTGGTACCCCAGTAGAACTTTCATAACAATGAAGGGAAAATACCACGGAACTAAGTTGGATGGTGCATATGACAAATGTGTCAATGTATGTTAAATCAGGTGACGCTTGGTATGGTTAGTTCTTTTGATGGAACCAAAATTTTGTTGTACTAGACACGTCCGATCACTGCTTGGAAGTTGGAATAAATACCTGTCCTCAATAACCAGCACACAATATATACCTTAGTTCTGAATAAGCCGTTGTGGGTGTAGTGATTTGCATGTCAAAATGTGAATACTGGGAGTAGCATGAGTTGTCAGGCTGTTATGCTTCGTTAGGGGAAATAAAATGCATAATCACACTATCGACAAATCCTCAAAACGCTCACTGTATTATAATGTTGCATTCCACTAGCTAACAAGCACCGATCAGATTATGTCAACACTGGAACGCCCTATGCGACTCATCCTGCATCAGCTCGGGGCTGAGTCTGACCATGAGGACGCAGAACTCCATCTGGTCCAGCGCGCCGTCCCCGTCGAGGTCCCCTTCCCTCATCATCTCCGACAGCTCGTCGTCCCGGAGCTCGCCGAGCCCTAGCATCGCCGCGTTCCTCTTCAGGCTCCGGAAGGTGATCTTGCCGGCGCCGGGGTCCATGAGCAGCTCGAACCCCTTGCAGAGCTCCTCGATCAGCCCCTCCACGCCCAGCTTCCTCGCCATCGACGGCAGGAAGTCCTCGAACTGCACGCCGGTGCCCTTGTCGGCGGCGCCCATGGCGATGCCGTACGACGGACTAGATTGAGCAACGGAGATCACAGAAAACGGCAGCTCAACCGGGTGCTTGGATTGGATGGAACAGTGGTCGCTGGAGAACGGAGAGAACTATGGATGGTTAAATAGGGGTGGCGATGGAAGAAGAGGAGGGAGTCCATGTCTATGTCCATGAGCTATGAGGTTCTTGGAAGCAGTCTCGCCATGTATGCCAGCCAAGGTACAGGCAATTGCAGGCGCCTATCTTTTAGGCGGTTGCTGCATCCGGCAGTTCTTGCCTGGTTTCTGCGAAGGAACAGAAGGATTGCAGATTGAATGCATGCTTCAAGGCTTTCTCCAATACCGGTTGCTTGTACAAGTCAGGTTCCCCAGGCTTATTTATTTTCGCAGCATTTACTTTGGAGGTCATAAGGATTAAGAAATGGATTAGAGCGGCGACCGGAATTCAGCTCGTGTATGAACGGAAGCTTACGTCAACGTTGCTGATGAATGAATCTTATGATAGTAAACTAGTAAAGTGAAGTGGTCGATCAGCTGGAGACAGTCGGCCGGCGTCGTTTTCCCTCTTTTTTCTTTATGGTTCATGATCTCTAATCCTGGCCGGTGATGCGTGTGGGGCCAACATGTCAGTCCTCTTGTTGCTCATGTTCACATGATCTCAATCCGCTCGTGTCGCGTTGGTTGACTCTTGGAAGTTGGATCGATTAGCTTATGGCCAGCATGATATGGTTAGTACACTTATCACCTGTCCTAATGGCGTTCCACTTTTCATCACGTGTGACCACGCAGTATGATCATGGAATGGAGATGAAACGGACGATGTTCTTTCGTGGAGATTATAAAGAAGTAGTAAGGCTGTATATAGATGATGATTTCAGTCTTCCAGGATATAACGGCACATTTGAATCTTACTGCTGCACTCAGACATGGTCTCAGAGCTTCAGTCTCGCCCAGGAAATTTCGTACGGGTCAAGGTAGCGTTGCTTAATTGGTTAATTACGGCCGTCTCGTTGCTTGACGTATTCCCGCAGCAGATTAGTGATTTTTTTTCCTTGCAGGAAATGGTAAGACAGACAGATACCCGACGAGGAAAATAAATAGGCTATTTGGGAGAACGAAAGCTATAGCGTGTAGTCGTGTAGACATGTTATACAGCCACTGACTCACCAGTACTATCTCGCAAACGATATGAAGATATCTAGTTGTCACTAATCAGTAATCACTGAGTCGTTACTGCTGCTTTCCGGTTGCTTCTTCCGGAGTACTTCCTCCGTTTTATAACGTAAATCATTCTATCATTTCTCACATTTATATTGATGTTAATGAATCTAGACATATCAATATAAATGTGAGAAATGCTAGAATGACTTACATTGTAAAACGGAGGGAGTAATATTTTGCTTTGTCGAGAGGTAAAAACTTAAATGTCTCTATGATACAAAGAGGTATTTAAGTGCTTTATCCTCGACGAAGCAAAATACTCCATCTTTCAAAAAAATATAACCTGTTTCATTTTTTGGTTTCTTAAAAAATCCAAGTCCTATTTGTAGTCATCATGTGCTAAATTAAATTGTTGATCGGAAACCAAGAAGCTATTCTAGTATTATTGGTTGCATGTTCATTAGTTTTGTCACATAGTGAGTGAGTTAATTGCTTCTTGGTTTTGATGAAAAAGAAATATATCTCAGATTTTTGGAAAGAGGGGTTATTACTAGGCTAGAAAAGGCATCAATCGCATCACAAAGATGTTTGTAAAGTCTGTATCCTTAAGTAGTTAAGCTGTCCCATATGCCATTGCCATCCAAAGAGAGGAAATTTCGTGCCTGTCATTGTGTAATGGACTCAAGTACTCAACTTCTCCTTTTCTGTTTCTTGAGAGTTTGGACTCAACTTCTCGACAGCCCAAAATTGCCAAAACGTTGGGCCACAAGCACAACATTGCAGCCAACTGCTTGCCTCATTTTGTGGGCCAGACATATTTAGCCCAGTATGTTTTGACGGGCCCGGAATTGCTTTTGCTGCCTAGGCACAACCCGGCGGCGGATGGGAAAGCTGTGCCCGAAGGTCCATCAAACGCTGCCCCCTGCTGGGACCGGCTCGGCCATGGCTCGTCGGTGGCGGCGGCGGAGGAGGAGAGGAGGAGGAGGAGGAGGTGGAGGAGGAATTGCAGGTGAGGTGATATTCTCACGCTTAGGACCTAGTGATGTCCTACTAGCATCGTTTTATCCAAGCGCCCCTTCTCGGTTTCGTATCGTCTTGTCCGCGAGGCCAGTGCCTGCAAGCCTTTCAAGTGTCGTGAATGCTTTTGGTTTGGTGAATCGCTCTAATTGTTTCCCGTATTCCTGCAGATCGAAACCGGTGCACTGTGCTTGCAACAAAAATTGTGGCTACAGAACTCTGTCAATGGAAGGAGTAGGGAGATGCTACAATAGAAATGATTTTTTTTCCTTTTTTTTTTCAGGGATACAACAGAAAGGAGTTGGTGGAAGAGTGAAATTGGAATTTATTATTCTCCAATTATTTTCTGTGAATCTGTTCTCAAATGTAGACAACATATCGTGGGGCAGATAAACCGGTGGAAATTCTCTGTGCCACCAATGATACAAGTACTTGAGTTGATGGATAGTCACTTCCCAGTCAACACAGGAGAATTGGTTTGATGCTTTGATGTTGATGGTACCACCATGGAGAATGCAAGTAAGAAGAAAGGTATTTATGGGTTAATGGTGCCACCACTGCGATCAGAAGAGTTCAAACAGTTAGTCACATGGTCAAAATTCAGCTATTGGGCCAAAAGAACTACATCCATTCTTGACCTAGTCAATAAGCAGCACTTATTCAATCAATTATTGTCTTATTGTTGTTCAATGTCATGTCATAGATTAGTTTCCTTGGCATGTGTTGACCGCAAGTCTGCAACGTAGACTTCACGGTAAAACACCATATGAAGTTCAAGCTGACAACTCTCAATGTATTGTCCAGAGAAGTTTTGTTATTTGGAACTGCGGCGAAAGGAATTTCCACGCTTTATTTCCAACCTGTCCTTCGGATGAATCTAGAGGTGTGCTAATATGCTTGTATTCTTTGCTTATTCCTTCATTTCAATCCCTATTCATCACTTTAGTTGTGTTTTTCTTTTCTGTTACTTAACCGTCTTTCAAATACAATTTGTTTTGGTTCAAAACTAGCTGATTGGTCTTTTCTGGGAGCCATGATGTGGAAAAGGAGCTCTTGCAGGGAAGTTATTACTTTGCTGATTATGTCTTTGTGGTTAGAAAGATGTTTAGGAACAGACAGCATCTCTGCAAATGAAACACTTCCAGATGGGCAGACCATAGTGTCCATGAAAAATGTGTTTGTACTTGGTTTCTTTAGCCCTGGAGCTTCAAGTCATCGATATGTTGGTATATGGTACAGCAACCCAGTAAATAGAACAATCGTATGGGTTGCTAACAGGAACGAACCACTATTAGATGCTTCAGGAGTCCTTATGTTTGATGTTAATGGAAACCTGGTCATTGCGCATGGAGGCAGATCACTCATAGTGGCTTATGGACAAGGAACCAAAGACATGAAAGCCACAATCCTGGATTCTGGTAATCTTGCCCTGAGCAGCATGGCTAACCCATCAAGGTATATATGGCAGAGTTTTGATTCTCCTACTGATACATGGCTCCCTGAAATGAAGATTGGACTCAGGACAACAAACCAAACACTCATTTCATGGTCGAGCATTGATGACCCAGCAATGGGGGATTACAAACTTGGAATGGATCCTGCTGGGCTGTCACATCCTGCTGGGCTGTCACAATTCATTGTCTGGTGGAGAGGGAATAATTTTTGGACCAGTGGACACTGGAGTGGTGACATGTTTTCTCTCATCCCAGAACTAAAATTTTTTACCACCATCCCAATTTTCTTCAAATGTAACAATTCTACCAATGACATCACTTGCACATACTCTGCTAACCCATCCGATAGGATGACAAAGATTGTTTTGAATTCAACTGGATCATTAAGCATCATGCAGTTTGATTCTCTTGAGAAATCATGGATTTTGTTATGGAGACAGCCAAGTACTTGTGAAGTTCATAACCTATGTGGAGCTTTTGGTATATGCAATGACAATGATGCAGTGCCTAAGTGTTATTGTACAAAAGGATTTGTTCCACAGGACATAATAGCATATACTAATGGGTATACCAGGGAGGGCTGCAACAGGCAGACCAAGCTGCAATGTAGCAGTGACGAGTTCTTTGAGATTCCTAATGTACGGCTTCCTGATAATAGAAAGAAGCTGCCTGTTATGGGTCTTAGTGAGTGCAAACTGGCATGTTTGATGAACTGCTCTTGTACAGCTTATGCTTATTTGCAGTTGGATGGATGCAGCTTGTGGTATGGTGATCTTATGAACTTGCAGGATGGTTATGATGTTCATGGTGCAGGAACTCTATGCCTTCGTCTGGCAGCGTCAGAAGTAGAATCTGGAAGAAACTCAGGTAAGTATTGTATCTGTAGAAAGACTGCAAGAATTCAGCATATATCATGAAAAGTCTCAGTTATCTGCAAGTAGAGTTGTTTATGATATCAAATTCTGTAGGCTCGGGTCACAAAATGCTTTGGATGGCGTGTGTGATTCCACCTGTTGTAGTTCTTTCCTTTTGCTCCCTTTCCTTTGTTCTTTGGAGAAGACGGAGTCAAAACAAAGGTACCAATATTAACTCATCATAACTGCAAACTGATGATAAAAACTGCATGCAATAACTATGCACAGCAGGTATAACACATGAGGAGGATTATTTTGTTATTGTGCATCAGGTAAAGAAAATTTACATGCTCACCACTCCTTGATGACTCTGGATACGGACAGTGCAGTCAAACTTTGGGAGAGTGAAGAAGCAGGTTCTCAGTTTGTGCTGTTTTCCTTCTCCCAAATAGCAAATTCCACCAACAACTTTTCAGCTCAAAACAAGCTTGGTGAGGGGGGGTTTGGTCCTGTGTACAAGGTAACCTTTTCTTCAATTTCGTACTATCTGACTTATTAGCTGGCATGCTGAAGTTAGATTTGTGTCTGGGGCCTCTGGGTTTGCAATCTACATCTGCAGATTCAGTTTTAAGCAAGCAACAGTAGTGAAGGCCCGGTGAATTGATGCCTGGGCTTGCAATCTACACCTGCAGATTTAGTTTTAGCCAAGTAACAGTAGTGATGACCCCTACCAATATACCACACAATTCAATAAATTTGGATTTTGGAGAGCTAGAGGAATGGAATATATAATTATTCCAACCATGAAGCCTGAGTTCTTTTCTATTTTAGGGGAGACAGATCTGAGTGGAATAATCTTTCGGGAATATATTTCTTTGTTATGTACACAAAATGTACAAGTGGATAACCAACCCCTGCTTGACAAGTCACATCAAATAAAACCTGTCGTAGCACCTCTACTTATTACACAATGGTATTCGCAATAGAACTAGCGCTAACTTGAGGTGTAGTGGCTTAGGAGTGTTCCCCTCAAACTCAAGCATGCAAGGCAACTTTTCACCATAAACATCTAATATAACTCGAGTTAGATTAAACATCTAATATAACTCGAGTTAGGAATGATCAGTTTGTTTAAACATCACGAGTTTGCAAGCACAACAGAGTTTGTTCAAGCCAGTGGTCAAAGATGGTAGCCTGTAAGCTTTTCATAATTGATGTTGTGACCAAAGTTCATTGCCCCTTTTGTTGGGAGGGCTATAGGGGAATTTAGGTAGGTGGGTACTACTGAAGCGGTATGGGGCAAAAGAGCAATTGAGTTGGTGTCGGAAAAAAAACAGGTGAGAATGAGAAACTAGAGGGAAAGGAGTTGTTTTTTGTTTGGTGGGGGATGAGTAGTAGGGTGGTGTGAGAAACGCCTAGGGGTCTTCCGGCTAGCTCCACAAAGTGGTGGGCTAGACGACCTGGGTTCGAAGCCTCACCCCTTCTAATTATTTGATATTAAGTCCTTCCCTAATATTCGTGTCTTTTTGAGTAGTAGGGTGGTGTAATCACAGTAAACTTTGCGAAGTTGACTATGGGCAGTGACTTACCAAGTTCAGAGCCTCATGTCTCTTATGTCATTAATTAACTAGCAAAATAAAAAAAATCTACCTAATCCCTGTGAAGTATGCTTATTCGTCCACTTAGCCTTCTTAGACCTCGTCTGGATGGGTCTCAATCCCTGGCGATCCATGGCTGGGATTTTGAACTAAAAACCTGGCCCTTATAACAAGGTCTCAAGTGCATAATCAGGTATTTTATCCCTTGACTGTGTAAGGAGGTAATTTTGCCTCTGTGTCAAATAACATGGCTGACACATTACCATCACGTTATGTTAAAAAATAATAAGGTCCACTTGTTAAGTTGTCAGAGGCAAGCTTAATTCCCCTTCAAAAATTCCTCGGCAGGACCTACTCATCACTTTGATATAGAGACTGATTGTTAATTAAAATATTTTTAGTTGCCGAGTTGGTCTTAATTGCTCCAAATCATGTCCTGTGTGACTGTCAAAACCGCTCAACGTCACTGGCCACGTGTCAAAACCATCTCCAAAACCCAGCCCAGAGGATTAAATAGACTTTTTCCCATAAACAAAACTTGATACATTAGTTTACAAGATTATTTGCAATAAATTGTGTACAGTTGAACATATCACCCTCTTTATTTAATATCGATACTCATTTGTGCTTCATGTCAAGCAACAGTTATGCTGTTTTTACAAATACATCTTAGATTTAAGAGCATCAGGCCACCAAAGTGCAAGTTCTGTGGCATTCAGTTATTTTGCCTTGAAACAGTCTCTACGATTTAACCTTTTCGAACCATTATCCAGGGAAACTTACCTGATAGGCAGGATATTGCTGTCAAGAGGCTTGCAACAAATTCGGGACAAGGGTTAGTTGAATTTAAGAATGAGGTCCTGCTGATAGCAAAACTTCAACACGTAAATTTGGTTAGGCTTTTAGGCTGCTGCATCCAAGGGGAAGAAAAGATACTTATCTACGAGTACATGCCAAATAAAAGCTTGGATTTCTTCCTCTTTGGTGTGTTCTCTTTTCCTTTCTTAATGTATGTCCTTTATCCCCCACCCCTTACCCCTTCCCAATAGCTTTCTTTAAATAACTAGTTTGTTGTGTCTTCTTAAAGAAAAATCAAGAAGTGTGGTATTGGACTGGAGAAAGCGAATACATATAATTGAAGGAATTGCTCATGGTCTTCTTTATCTTCACAAACATTCTAGACTGAGAATTATTCATAGGGACTTGAAAGCAAGCAACATTCTGTTAGACATTGATATGAACCCTAAGATCTCTGATTTTGGCTTGGCGAGAATATTTGGCTCTAAAGAAACTCAAGCTAATACAAACAGGGTTGTTGGGACATAGTAAGTATTGCCTGCTTCAAATTTGCATTCGGCACATACACTGAATAGGTGCATTGACAAATGGATGTTGAATTCACTGGACTATTGTTTTTTTTTTCAGTGGTTACATGGCTCCTGAGTATGCCATGCAAGGCATTTTCTCGGTTAAGTCTGATGTGTTTAGCTTTGGGGTGTTGCTTTTGGAGATCGTCAGCGGAATGAGAAATGCAGGATCCCACCGACGTGGGCGCTCTCTTAACCTCCTTGGTCATGTCAGTAGTCTCTACATTTCTGAAACAATGTCACAAATAAATAGCTAGCTGATACTGAACTTTTCAGGCCTGGGAGTTATGGAGGGAAGGCAGATGGTTTGATCTCGTTGATCCATCAACACGTGATGCATATCCTGAGCATAGGGTACTGAGATGTGTTCATGTTGGCCTGATGTGCGTCCAAGAGAACGCTGTTGATCGTCCCACTATGAGCGATGTCATCTCAATGCTTACTAGCGAAAGCATCACCTTACCTGATCCTAGGCAGCCTGCTTTCCTCTCCATTGTGCTTCCAGCCGAAATGGATGCCCATGATGGATCCTTTTCTCAAAATGCAATGACAATTACTGATCTGGAGGGTAGATAATAATATCATGTCCACCTGTCCAGCATATGCTGTTCTTAAAGCTTGATCAAATCCATTTGGCATAATGTATTGTATGTTCTTACAGCTGGACATGCTTATTGATTGACAGAGAAAAATCTGAAAATTGATGAGTTTCACTGTGGGTGCCGTATGACATAGTTACGTGAATTTCTTTAGATTTTCCTCGCTTGCTAAGTTCTTTTTCTGCTCTAGTTACTCCATCCATTCCAAGTTCCAAATTGATCTACATTTTTCATAAGTACACCAAGACCAAGAAAAACTAATAACTCTCTCATACTATATTTATTCTAGCAACAAACTCAATGCATGTACTATCCCAACTATTTTCTAGCCAATAGCAAATCAAAATATTGCATGTGGGTCATAAATACTTGTGTGTATGGATGCATGCATCAATGCCTATTTACTCTAATGCACAAATAACGAATAGACTTAATAAATGAACACAAATATGTACTCCCTCCGGGTTGAAAATACTTGTTGTTTTGGACAAGGGTACGGTCTCCAAAAAAAACTTTGATCACTATTTTCTATTATAATATGTATAAAAGTGTTAACAAATATATGATCTTATTAAAGTACTTTTTAAGACTAAGCTATATATGTAATTATTTTAAAAATGATTCATAACTAAAGATTCTAAAATTTGACCTCACCCTTGTCCAAAATGACAAGTATTATCAGCCCGGAGAGAGTAGATCATTTAGGAATAACCTCAAAATATCTATATGTAGATTAATTTGGAATGGATGGAGTATCTCGCAAACGATACGAAGATATCCAGTACTGGGATACAATAGTGTAATTTAACTGGTCGGATGTCCCGGTGGCTTCTTCCTGATTATCCTCGCTGATTACGTCAGAAAAATAGGCTGGAAAAAGCATGAGATGAGACATGCTTACGTCATTTGTGCGCCAGAGATATTTGTTAGCCCAGTAGGCTTTGACGGCCCAGATTTGAAAATAGGCACAACTCGCGGCCGATGGGAAAGGGTTGACCCAAGGCCCACCAAACGCTGCCCCTCACTGGGACCGCGGCTCCGCCATGGCTCGTCGTCGTCGTTGGCGGCGGCGGCGGCGGCAGCGGGGCGGAGACGAGGAGGAGGAAGAGGAAGCGCAGGTGAGGTGGTGTCTTCACGCTTAGTACCTAGTGATGTCCTGTTGGGCGTCATTTCGTTTCACCCCAGCACCAATTTCGGTTTCGTATCGTCTTGTTCCAAAGGCCAATGCCTGCAAGTTTTGTGATTCCTATGTTTCTGTGAATTATTCCAATCTGGCGTAACATCCTTGTACCGCAAGCGAGATTACCAAACATGGTTGAGATAAGGGACTGGATTGATGGAAGAAGAGAAAGATCGTATAACCGGATGGAGTTGGGGAAGAGGGAAGCTGGAGTTAGTTCTCCGATTGTTCTCTTATATTGCATATAGCTCTTCTCAAAATGTTTATTTCTTCTTTTTAGTCTTCCATAATCCATGGTCATCTCGTTTTTTGAAATATTTGTTTGGTTTGCGCGACCGCATCTTGCGGAGTGGAGGTTACGTTACGTTGCTTGTATGTCGCCAGGGAGCAGAAGTGTGGGATGGAGAATATAGATTAGTCAGGTCGGAGCTGATGGTATCATGGAAGGGCCGATGATTATTCAGGGTACAGCAGGTAAGGGACTCAAGAGAGACGAGAATTTTGTGGTATTAAAGTGTACCGTGGAATTGGTATGGACTCAATTTTTGGTCCATAATATAACGATGACTGTAGTTCATCTGGTCTTGGAGCACAATAGTCAAAGTCAAAAGTGGTATGCTCCTTTTGTCCTTCAGTTGTGGACCATGTTTCTGTTGCAATAATTTGGGAAAGAAGATATACTATTATACCACCATGGAAGTTTAGCAGGAGCACATGTGAAGATTTAATTTGGATATTGCTTGTTTTCTTTCTATAACAAGAGTAAGGTATCGTGTTTCCCATGTTCTCTCTTGTAGATTCATTCCTCACAAGCAATCTTGTTTGGAGAGTTGATCTTCCAAGGAACTAAGGTATGAAACTTATGCTTGAGTATGCCTCCTACTAGTTCAATCTACTCCCTCCTTGCATTGAACTGGCCTTTTTAAGTTTTAACCCACTACTTGCTTTGATCTAGATTGTTACGATTGAGCCGCTACCTATATGAGATAGGCGGATGGCCATGTTTGGGACAAGAAGCTACTCTGTGTTTGGGGACATACTTGATGCCTTTCTGATTCTACTTGTATTGTCAACATGCTGTTTGTCAAGCACAATAACAACGGACAGCTTGTTACCAAATAAACAAATTTCAGATGGGCAGACCATTGTGTCTGCAAATGAGACATTCACTCTCGGCTTCTTTAGCCCTGGAACTTCTACATATCGGTATGTTGGTATATGGTACAGCAATGTTCCAAATAGGACAGTTGTATGGGTTGCTAATAGAAACAATCCGGTTCTAGATACTTCTGGAATCCTTATGTTTGACACAAGTGGAAATCTGGTAATTTTAGATGGCAGAGGCAGCTCGTTCACAGTAGCTTATGGATCAGGAGCAAAAGATACCGAAGCAACTATACTGGATTCTGGCAACCTTGTCTTGAGGAGTGTCAGTAACCGGTCGAGGCTGAGATGGCAGAGCTTTGACTACCCAACTGATACATGGCTCCAAGGAATGAATCTTGGATTTGTTGGTGCACAAAACCAGTTGCTCACTTCATGGAGGAGCTCAGATGACCCAGCAATAGGAGACTATTCTTTTGGGATGGATCCAAATGAGAAGGGTGATTTTTTTATCTGGGAGAGGGGCAATGTCTATTGGAAGAGTGGACTATGGAATGGCCAATCGTATAATTTTACCGAGTCAGAAAGCATGAGTTTCCTATATGTTTCCAATGACGCCAGGACTACGCTCAGTTACTCTTCCATACCAGCTAGTGGAATGGTAAGGTATGTATTAGATCACTCAGGGCAACTCAAACTCCTTGAACGAATGGACTTTGTTTTACACCAGTGGCTTGTGCTTGGGAGCTGGCCAGAGGGAAGCTGCAAAGCATATAGTCCATGTGGAGCTTTTGGCATCTGTGCCGGAAATCAAGACTGGCAAAACCGTTGCAAATGCCCAAAAGGATTTAATCCAGGAGATGGGGTTGGATGGTCTAGTGGAGATACCAGGAGAGGATGTATTAGACAAACTAATATGCATTGTGTGGGTGATAAATTCTTTCAAATGCCTGACATGGGATTGCCAGGAAATGCAACAACAATATCTTCTATTACAGGACAAAAGCAGTGTGAATCAACCTGCTTGACGAACTGTTCCTGTACTGCTTATGCTGTATTGCAGGATAAGTGCAGCTTGTGGTATGGAAATATTATGAACTTGAGGGAGGGGGAGAGTGGTGATGCGGTAGGAACTTTCTATCTTCGTCTGGCTGCCTCAGAGTTGGAATCAAGAGGTAACAAATGTACCTGACAGTAACATTCTTTCAGCACTGTACAGATGAGATGCATACTGTGCTTGAAGGAGAAGTCCAGGTAAACTGTTAAGGCAATTGATGTGCTCTATTTTCTCTTTGTCAGGTACCCCAGTGGTCTTGATTGCAGCTACAGTTTCTTCTGTTGCATTTCTTATTTTTGCCTCCCTTATTTTTCTTTGGATGTGGAGGCAGAAAAGCAAAGGTAACCATGAAAAAGCCATGTTGGATCCTTCATACCAAAATTATCTGTTTATAAGAAAATGTTATTCTATGAATCAGCAAAGGGGGTGGACACTGACAGTGCAATAAAGCTTTGGGAGAGTGAGGAGACAGGTTCTCACTTTACCTCATTTTGCTTCTCTGAAATAGCAGATGCAACATGTAAATTTTCGCTTGAAAATAAACTTGGAGAGGGGGGATTTGGTCCTGTCTACAAGGTACGTCATTCTGATTAGCATGCTACGTAGCTAAATTAGATTAATAAGTCCTGAAATATGCCCATATCAAAGCAGTTAAATTAGCTACTCCATGGTTGTAAAAAATTCTAAGCAGCTGATTGACATAGCAATGGCAGTGTAAATAAAATATTGCATTCAAGTGACCAAATACTCCAAAATAATTTGGGCTCAATGGTTACTGTTAGCTTACCTATATAGTGTAGCAAAATCCATTTATTCTAACATTATTCACAAAATTTTCAAACTCCATTTATATGTGCACTTTCATCAATACTGGCTGGAGAAAAAAAAAGAAGAAAGTATGCTTCTTATGAATCTGCGGAATCAATTCTTGGCTATCCCAAACATGCTGGGGCCTGGGGGAAATGTGAGTTGTGGGAACAAAGGCAGGCCTTGGGGCCAGTGATTTTTGGCTTTGAGATTCTATGGTGAATTTTTAGGCATAACACAATGTCACAATCTCTGATCATGCTCCAGGGCAACTTACCTGAAGGGCAGGAGATTGCTGTTAAGAGACTTGCAGCACATTCAGGACAAGGTCTACTTGAGTTTAAGAATGAGATCATGCTGATAGCCAAACTTCAGCACAGAAACTTAGTTAGGCTCTTGGGATGCTGCATCCAAGGAGAAGAAAAGATACTTATATATGAGTACATGCCGAACAAAAGTTTGGATTTTTTCCTCTTTGGTCAGTTCAATATTCCTTTCCAGATTTCGTCCTTCATAGCCTCTTCTTTCTTGTCCCAAAAACATCAACTCTTTTTCCTCAGTTGCTATCTTTTGACTTAAGTATTTCTTTGTTTTTAAGAACAATCAAGAAGGGAAATGTTAGACTGGACAACACGAATAACTATTTTTTTTTGACGCACAAGGTAGAGAGACTCTACCTTGTTTCCATTGTATTAATGGTGGTCATAAAAGTGACAAAGCCAGTGGCTGGCAAGAGATTATACAGGGGGGAACAGAGAGGAAGGATAAAGAGAAAGAAAGATAAAAAAAGAAGGAAAGGAGAAGAAAAGGAAGAAGAAAAAACAAAACACAGGAATAAAAATAAAAATACAGGAATAAAAAGGAAACCTAGCTAAGCTTGTCTGCCCAAGTGTTGAGGTGTTCGCGAAGGCTAGGCTTTAAGCGGTGAACCCATAACTGGAGACTTTCTCTGATTCGATGCAGGATGTATGCAACGCTTGTTTCCGTGAGCTTGAAGATCAGCTGGTTGCGTGCTTTCCAGAGACCGTGCGAACAAGCAGCAAAGCATGCAGGCCATCCCGGTTTCTGGTGTTCTGGCAAGGTGTCCAGGATTGATTCCACAAAATCTTGTATGTTAGAGCTGCGCACGGCTGTCTCATATAGGTTGAGCTTCTTCCAGACTTCCCCTGCTAATTTGCAACGAAGAATGATGTGATTTGATGTTTCAATAGCTGGGCAGGTCATACAGTGTGGGTTGGAAGGTATAATTGAAGGTATTGCTCAAGGTCTCCTTTATCTTCACAAGCATTCGAGGTTCAGGATTATTCATAGGGACCTGAAAGCAAGCAATATTCTGTTGGACATCGATATGAATCCTAAGATATCTGATTTTGGTATGGCAAGAATATTTGGTTCCAAAGAAACAGAAGCAAACACCAACCGGGTTGTTGGAACATAGTAAGCGCGCTTAGTGAGCCTTCTTCTCTCCGTATTTAATCTATGAAAATCATTCTAGGTTCAGATATAGATGTTCATTAATTTAATTGAATATTTTAGTGGATACATGGCTCCGGAGTATGCTATGGAAGGCATTTTCTCGGTTAAGTCTGATGTGTTTAGCTTTGGAGTCTTGCTTCTAGAGATTGTAAGTGGAATTCGAAACGCTGGATTTCACCAACGTGGGAACTCCCTTAACCTCCTTTGTTATGTAAGTAGTAGATATTCACAGTCAAAATTTTGTTGTTTTTGGTAAGTGAATTGTTCTGCCTAAAAATGAACTCCTGAATTTTGCAGGCATGGGAACTATGGAAAGAAGGAAGGTGGTCCGAGCTCGCTGATCCATCCATATATAACGCATGTCCAGAGCATAAGGTATTGAGATGCATTCATGTCGGCCTGATGTGCGTACAGGAGAGTCCCATCAATCGACCTACCATGACCGAGATAATTTCAGCGCTTGATAATGAAAGCACCACCCTGCCTGAACCGAAGCAGCCTGCCTTCGTCTCCGCTGGGATTTGGACTGAAGCTGGTGTTCACGGAGGAACACACTCCATAAACGGAATGACAATTTCCGACACGCAAGGTAGATAGTATCATGTCAATTAATTGATGCCTCTTAATTGAACCTTCCTGATGTGAAACTCTAAAGAACTTAGCAACCGGGTATGTTTTGCAAGGGCGGTCAGAGGTGTATCTATACGGTATCTACATAGAGCTTAGAGGGGTAGGGCCGTAGGGGTGGGTACAATTTTCCCGAAAACCGCACACCGAACCGAAACAACAGTTTTCTCGGTGTTTGGAGTGACGTTCGGTTTTCCTTTTTACATACTTGGGTGATCGGTGTGTGGCTCGGCTTTTGTTAAGTTGAAACCGATAATACCGTATAAACCGAGGTCTATATTGTAACCTTATGTTGGCTCAGCAATTCAGGCCCAAGTCAGTTCAAGACCCATACCAACTCAAGAGAGACAAGCAGATGCGATCCTGCCTGGCCGCATGCGCGTGTGCCAATTAAGCCATTAGTCTCTCACCGCTCGTCTGATTGTCTCCTTGTATATCTAAGGCTAAATTGACTCCTACTCATATGCACCACCTAATTATTCGGTAAAAACGAATAACCGATAAACCGAACCAAATGTGATCGGCTCTATCGGTTCAGTTCTATTTTGCCCTGATCTTAGTTCGGTGGTCATTTTCCAAAAAACCGATCTATAGATAAATCGGTTCAACCGGGGAAACCGAATGCCCACTCTAAAGGGATGCACAGCTCGATCTTATTTCGCCTCATTACCCTGTATAAATGTGCTTTTTTTTTAATATGTAAGGAGCGCATATTTGTATTAAGAAAAATAAAGGTTATTTACAAACCGAAGCAAACTCAAAAATGAAGGGGACATGGTACTGGAAATCTGAGCACTTAAGACTATTCTCGCTAAACTAGATAAGGACGACCCAAAGCGAAAACTACAGGCTTAACATCGGCAACGCCTCATGCGTCAACCGCCAAAGAGCAACTTCGGCCACCATTGCATGCGCCACCTCTGCCCATGTTCTTTTTTGCGAATTGAAGACCGGTTGTTCCTCTCCTTCTAGATGGTCCAGGCAACAAGTGTCGCGATGGTGTCAAAACCCCGCCTGCTGGCTCGTGCAACCTTCAAACGAGAGTTACAAAACCAGAGATTAAAGGACTCTTCGCTCACGGGCAGGCATTACGGCAACCCAATCTTGGAGAGAACGACCCCACCATAGTTGGCAAGATTCCGGGCAAGCGACCAGAATGTGATCGATGCTTTCGTCGTGTTGATCACAGAGCACACAACGATAAGGATGCGGCAACCCTCGAGATCACAGACGGTCTGTCGTCCAACATCTCTTCATCGCGACCAGCCAAATGAAATAACGACACTTCGGAGGGGCTAGAGTCTTCCAAACAGGTTTGCAATTCTCCCCACAAACGGCACGTAGTATGCTGATTTGGAGGAGTAGGCTCCTGAAGCTTCCCATCTCCAAATAAATGCATCCGACCGATCAAGCAGCTGCACCGACGACCTCAACAAGCTCCATAAATTGAAGGTATTATAGGAATGCTTGCATACCCAAAGCTCCGGAGCATTCCCTAACCCATTGCTGATTGTGCAGAGCTTCAGCCACCGTTCTACGGCGACGGATCCTCACAGGACTGCCGCAAAGACAGCCGGGGCGATGCAACGGATGGATGAGGCCTCCAGCCAGTTGTCCATCCAAAAGAGAATAGATTCACCATTGCCCAGTGTGCTGATCGTGGAGACTGCCATGAAACTTCGCTCTTTCTCAAAAACTGGTAAATGAAGGCCATGCCACGGTCTTTTTGGTGCAGTACGTTCTAGCCAAATACACTGTGATCTCAAGGCAATGCCCATGCGCTCCAAATTAGGTACTCCTAGGCCACCATATTGTTTTAGAGCACAGACACTTCCCCAGGCTACTCGGCATTTGCTGGTTGCCGCCATGCGTACTGGCTTTGCCAGCCCAAAGAAATCCCCTTCTAATCTTGTCGATTCCTTTAATTACCCACTTCGGAGCATCAAGGGCAATTAGCAGGTAGATGGGGATGGCGCTTAGTACGGCGTTTACCATGGTGATGCGACTGACCGATGACATCTGACCAGATTGCCAGAGCGGCAGACGACACACGACCTTGTCAACGAAGGGCTGAAGGTCCTCTTTCTTTAGCCTGTTTCTACAATCTGGTGATATATGTATGGCATGGTCGTTTTGTATGCCCCTCAGTTCAGATACATAATATTTAATATGTCACATCTAATTTTAGGTATTATATTTTAGGACAGATGGAGTAGTAAATGTATTCTAAGATGACGGTGACATCCGTTTAATCTGACCGTGTGCAGTCAACTCGGAGCCGAGGTGGACTAAGTCAGCAGCTTGCGACGCCCCTCCATAATTTGCTGTGTTCACAATGTATTCGCGCCATATATAGACAAACTCTGCCTAATCCTGTCCTGGACGCAAGGCGCAAGCCGTCTGAGCCTTCAGCGAGAAACGAGCTGGCCATCTCTCCTCACCCTATTTTTGTGCTAAGTACTCCTAATTAAAGTTCGGTCTGCCAATTGAGTATTGACAACAGTGCAACAGAAAGTTCGAATCGGCCGATGATGCAAGCAAACGATACACGGAGAGTGCCAGCCTCGGAGGTTTTTACCTGTGTGCCATTAAAAAAGATGACCCTACCTCTGTGCCACTAAAAAGTTCGAGCCTCCCTCTATGCCATCGTCGAACTTTATCGCGCCCTCCACACCATTCCGTCTGTTTTTTTTTTGTTCTAACGGTGGTAACGGTACAGCCAAATGATTTAGTTGCCCTTAGACTTGAGAGGAAGGGTTGGAGATGGCAGCAGCGGCGGACGCAACGACAGCGATGACCATCGACTTCCTCCGCGCGCGCGCCTCCTCTCCGAGCGCTCCGTCTCCCACTTCGCCTACCACCAGGGGCTCGCTGCCTCCACGCTCCTCGTCGCCTCGCTCGCCGCCAGGGGGTGGGACCTGCGCCGCCACATGGTCGTCGGCGCCCCGGCGTTCGCCCTCCTCTTCGCCGCCTCCCTCGCCGGCGTGGCCAACGGCGACATCCCCTCGCTCGCCGCCGACCCCGCCGCCGCCGCATCCCCTCGCTCGCCGCCGACATCTCTCCTGGCCTCTCTCTGTGGCGCTCTCTCTAGCCTCTCTCTGCCGCCGACCATCTCCATCGTCACCGTCGGGAGCGAGGTCCTCGAGTCCGGGGACGCCCCCTCGCGGCCGTCGGCCGCCGCCGTCGAACCTGCGCCCAGCCGCCGCACAGCACCGGTCGCCGGCCTCGCCGCGCCTCCCCACCCTTCCTGGTCGCCGCGGCCACGGAGGGGGAGCCGCCTCCGCCGGCGAGCTCGCGCTCCTCGGCCCCGCCGGAGAGGCGCTCATCACCGTGCGCCGCCGCCGCCGCATAGAGGCGGCGTCTCGTCCCGCACGCAGCAGCGCTTGTAGGAGCGCGGACGAGGACGCCACCGCCGAGGAAGGGATGGACTGGGAAGGGGAGCCGCTGGGGTTCGAGGTGTCGACGACGCCGATACCCGAGCTGCCGGACCCGGAGACGACGACTGGTCGTCCCCCGCCAGTGCCGTCCCCCCGCCGCCGCGTCGACGACGGCACCGCCCTGCTCACCGCCGCGTCGAACCGCCTCCACGGCCACGTCGGGGTGCACGACGGCATTCTCTTCCACCGGCGCCGACGTCTCCGCCGAGTCGAGCCAGCGACGCCGCCAGCTGCCTCCCCATCCGGCGCCCGACCGCCTCCTGCCTAGCGCTCCATCGATGGTGCTCCCCGGTCGTCGCCCAACCCATGCCGCTGCAATCGGACACCGCCTGCGTCGGCGCGCCGACCGTCTCCGCCGCGCCAAGCACCAGGCGCCGCCGTGCCCGGCCGTCGCCGCTTGTGTGCACTCGCGCGTGGGAGAAAGGGGGAAGGAGCGAGAGGAAGAAACTGGAAGAAAGGGCAATAGGGACATTTTTTCTACTTGGGCCCACATGTCAGAGCTGCCAAACGGATAAACCCTCACAGAATAGCGACGGAATGGTGTGGAGGGCGCGATAAAGTTCGACGATGACATAGAGGGAAGCTCGAACTTTTTAGTGGCACAGAGACATAGGTCATTTTTTTAATGGCATACGGGTAAAAACCTCCCAGCCTCGAGCCCTCGACTCGGGTCTCACATGCGCTCGCCATAGAATAGTTCGACCAGGACGGCTCGATCTGCCTACGACCATCGTCACCAACTCGCCTACCAGAACCAGCTGTTCCGTTGACCGGACCACCAACGCTGATCTATTACTAATACTATTGTTCTGTTCGATGTTTCGATTTTTTTTTCTAATCACAAGTTTGATTAAATTTATAGAAAAATATAATATATTTCTAACACAAAATAAATATATTATAAAAATATATTCACATATTAAATTTAATGAAATAAATTTGGTATCGTATTACTAATTTTTTTAATAAGTTTGATCAATAAAAAAAATACTTTTTAAAAAAAGTTAAAGCAACTTATAATATAAACCAGAAGAAGTGCAATTTCCTTATCCTACTACTACCAACATGCATACGCAGCGGCGGACGGCAGCCGAAACGTGGGATTAGAATCCATCATCGAATCTAATGGGGAAACTGTTTTAAACACTCGGGTGGACTTTCACCCATTTTTTTCATGTCATCTAAATGGTTATGAAATTTTTTTAAAAAAAATTGACATGATAGGTTAATTTATAATATATCACTTCACAAACATGCAAGTTCAAATTCGACTTCTACAAGTTGTAACAAAAATAACAAAATTTGTTATTTTTGTTACAACTTGTAGAAGTCGAATTTGAACTTGTATGTTTGTGAAATGATATATTACAAATTAACCTATCTTGTGAATTTTTTTAGAATTTTTTTATAATCATTTAAGTAGCATGCAAAGAAATGTGTGGACGTCCACCCAAGATATTAGAATCATCCTCTTATCTAATGCGATTAACAAATGTGTTCCGTGCGCCGAGAAGCCCCAGGGTGCGACTGTGCTAGCCACTTCATCTTCCACGCTGATCTGAAGCTAACGGATTAGTGAAAAGCTAGTGCCGCGCACGCAGCCTCGCGGTGCCGGCGCGGCAGGGTTAGCTAAGCTTAGTCATTTCTCGCACCCACGCAGACGCAGGGAGGCGCACCATGTACTGAGACGAGTCGCCGTTTACTCGTTTTGGCGCTCAATTCCAGTGAGAGGCCGGCCGGGAGCATGTCGACACGTGCGCCGCGCTCTCTCCTCCCGCTGCTCTTCGTCGCCGCCGCCGTTGCCTTCTTCTCACGCGCCGCTACCGCCGCCGACGTCATCGGCCAGGCCGGGTTCATCACCGGCAACCAGACGCTCGTCTCGTCCGGTGGCGTCTTTGAGCTCGGTTTCTTCGTCCCGAATGGCGCCACCGACGGCAGGACGTATCTCGGCATTTGGTACGCCAGCATCCCCGGCCAGACCGTCGTGTGGGTCGCCAACCGGCAGGACCCTGTCGTCAACGTCCCCGCCGTCGCCAGGCTGTCCGCCGACGGCCGCCTTGTCATCGCCGACGCGAAGAACACCACCGTGTGGTCGTCCCCGGCTCCGGCGAGGAACGTAACCGCCGCCGGCGCCACCGCTCGGCTCCAGGACGACGGCAACCTCGTCGTGAGCTCCGGGTCTCCCGGAAGCGTGGCGTGGCAGAGCTTCGACTACCCGACGGACACCCTGCTCCCGGGGATGAAGCTCGGGGTGGACGTCAAGAACGGCATCACCAGGAACATGACGTCGTGGACGAGCTCGTCCGACCCCTCGCCGGGGTCGTACACGTTCAAGCTCGTTCCCGGCGGCCTGCCGGAGTTCTTCCTCTTCCGCGGCCCGGCGATGATCTACGGGAGCGGGCCGTGGAACGGCGCGGAGCTCACGGGCGTGCCGGACCTCAAGTCCCAGGACTTCGCCTTCACGGTGGTCTCGAGCCCCGACGAGACGTACTACAGCTACTCCATCCTCAACCCGTCGCTGCTCTCCCGGTTCGTGGCCGACGCGACGGCGGGGCAGGTGCAGCGCTTCGTGTGGATCAACGGCGCGTGGAGCAGCTTCTGGTACTACCCGACCGACCCGTGCGACGGCTACGCCAAGTGCGGGGCGTTCGGCTACTGCGACACCAGCACGCCCACGCTGTGCAGCTGCCTGCCGGGGTTCCAGCCGCGGTCGCCGCAGCAGTGGGGCCTCCGGGACGCGTCGGGCGGGTGCGTCTTGACGGCCAACCTCACCTGCGACGGCGCCGGCGACGGGTTCTGGACGGTGAACAGGATGAAGCTGCCGGCGGCGACGAACGCGACGGTGTACGCCGGCATGACGCTGGACCAGTGCAGGCAGGTGTGCCTGGGCAACTGCAGCTGCAGGGCGTACGCCGCGGCGAACGCAAGCGGCGGGGTCAGCCGCGGGTGCGTCATCTGGGCCGTCGATCTGCTGGACATGAGGCAGTACTCCGGGGTCGTGCAGGATGTCTACATCCGGCTCGCGCAGTCCGAGGTAGACGCCTTGAACGCCGCAGGTGAGAAAATTATTACACATGATTTACATCACTGTGAAATTCTTATTTCTACTTTCTTCTCGAAGGGAACATCTTATCTAGCGACCAATTTAGCATTCATTTTCGCCTCGTGGAATTAGAGCTTAGAAAAAATGTTCATGTTAGCCTGAAGTGTCGACCCAATTCTGGTTTCTGGCCTAGCTAGCTGAATAATAGCTTGTCCTCACTCTCAGTTTTTCCTCTGTTTTCCCTCCCAAATATAATCATTTTACGTGCACTGGCCCATTCACTTGTCTAAGAAAAACCATTATTAGTTGACATTTTCCTGGTCAAGAAATGGTTGCGCATGTAGGCCAAATTTCACCACTAGCCAGCGCTCTTCAACCCACTGACACGGACTAGTTGCTGTGGCCCTTTCCTGATCCCGTGATCCACTCCTCAAACAAGCAAATTAGCACAGGTCAATTAGCCGTACGTCAACCGTCATTAGTTTTGTGATACTGCACCAACCATTAGTATCTCCCATACCATGTAACGCATTCTCTGGATTAGGTGCGGTGCAGTCAAAACAACAAATGTCCAACACCACCCAACTTGATAGTGACTCTCAACAGCGAAAAGTTGTTCTCTGGATATGCTAATTTATAAGAGACACGGATTTTCTATAACTAGATGTCATGGCACCCATCGTTTGCATGCGACTTAAATAGTTATAAGAAAAAAAATTAAAAAAATAGTAGCATCAATTGTGATGATGTAAGTCTATACACAAACATGCATGACTAAATTTGATATACAACTAGAGAAACAAAAATAATAAAATCAGACAGTGAATAGTACCCGTATAGTGCAGATAAAATTTGTTATTTTTTCTTTATATGTCAATCGAATTTAGACTTGCATGTTTGTATATTGTCTTATATTATTATAGTCTATCTTATCAAATTTTATGAAACTTTTATATAACTGTTTAAATTACATGCATACACCTATGTGTCATGGCACCTAGATGTAAAAAAATACTTTCTCAATTTATGAGCAAGCACTTGACACTCCACAGCAGTACAGATACAAAGTTTTGAAAATCACACCTGGCATGTAAACACGACATACACAAAGCCCGTCAGAAACACGGGTTTTGCCGGTTCTCACTTCTCACTGCTTGGTTTCAGCTAACAGCGAGCATCCGAGCAACAGCGCGGTGATCGCCGTCGTCGTCGCGACCATTTCCGGTGTTCTCCTGCTTGGAGCAGTTGGCGGCTGGTGGTTTTGGAGGAACAGGGTGAGGACGAGGAGGAACGAGACGGCGGCGGCGGCGGCCGGCGGTGGAGATGACGTGCTCCCGTTCAGGGTCAGGAACCAGCAGCACCCTGCCTCGAGCGTGAAACGGGATCAACGGCTGGATGTGAAGAGGGAGTGTGACGAAAAAGATCTCGACCTTCCGTTGCTTGATCTGAAGGCGATCGTTGCCGCCACGGACGACTTCGCCGCGAGCAACAAGATCGGGGAAGGCGGATTCGGACCGGTTTACATGGTAAGATAAAGAATCAGACAGCACGCAAATATCACCCTTTTTTCAGACAAACGAAAAACAGTCAAATTGCCAAATAACCTTTGCCGACGAATGTGATTGGTGATTCACTGCTTCTGTGCCTACAACAGGGGAAGCTGGAGGATGGGCAAGAAGTAGCTGTGAAGAGGTTATCTAGAAGATCAGTACAAGGGGTTGTGGAGTTCAAGAATGAGGTCAAACTGATAGCCAAGCTTCAGCACAGGAACCTTGTCAGGCTATTGGGCTGCTGCATCGATGACGATGAGAGGATGCTTGTTTACGAGTACATGCACAACCAGAGCCTAGACACTTTCATATTTGGTCAGTTCATATATACTTGCAGAAACACCTGTTTGCATAACTAATTTGCTAAAATGCATATGGTATTTACCTTCTCAAACTCCTTACATACATTGAACAGATGAAGGAAAACGTAAGCTGCTAAGATGGAGCAAACGGTTTGAGATCATTGTCGGGGTTGCACGGGGTCTGCTCTACCTCCACGAAGATTCAAGGTTTAGAATCATCCACAGGGATTTGAAGGCAAGCAACGTGTTGCTAGACAGAAACATGGTGCCCAAGATCTCAGACTTTGGGATTGCAAGGATGTTTGGAGGTGATCAGACCACTGCATACACTAGAAAGGTCATCGGAACATAGTGAGTTTTCTCTCCTAATCCCTGTCTGTATAAGTATGTTGTTCTGAAAATTAGACTTAACACATGAGTTGGTTTTCCAGTGGCTACATGTCCCCGGAGTATGCAATGGACGGCGTGTTCTCCATGAAATCCGATGTCTATAGCTTTGGTGTCCTAGTGCTAGAGATCGTCACTGGCAGACGGAACCGAGGATTCTACGAAGCCGAGCTCGATCTCAACCTCCTCAGATACGTAAGTAACGTTAGCTATTAATTCCTGCAAATAGTTTTTTTTTCCCAATCTTGTCACAATATGTTTATAGCCATTTCGATCATTTTTCAGTCATGGTTGCTGTGGAAAGAAGGCAGGAGCGTTGATTTACTGGACCAGCTGTTGGGCGGCAGCTTCGACTACAGCGAGGTGTTGAGATGCATCCAGGTTGCTCTCCTGTGTGTTGAAGTGCAACCTAGAAACAGACCGTTGATGTCTTCGGTCGTTATGATGCTAGCCAGTGAGAATGCTACATTGCCGGAACCAAATGAGCCTGGAGTAAACATTGGGAGGCACGCGTCAGACACGGAGTCATCCGAAACCCTTACCGTCAATGGTGTGACTATAACTGCAATAGAGTGTAGATAGTCTGAAACAGAGAGGATACATGCAACCTTTGGTAGTCTGTACAGCATAGGCTTCTTGTATCGACACGTCTTTATGGTAAAAACCTGTAAAGATTGTAACGTTAAATCGCCGCATCCAATTTTTTGAGAGCAACAATGTTTATCGAGTGGGCGAGTGTGTCACGAGTTGCAAACCTGAAAAACCTATCTGCTTCCGACACAATCACACAAAAGGTTTTTGCCCAACTACGGCCATCTCAACCCGCGTAACTGTTTTGCGCTCAGAAGTTCCATGCCCAATGTACTATGTACCTGCGGTCTTCCACTCTTCCGTTGGCACCACACTGTTAATTGGTTTTCCAGTTTCCTCTCGTCGCACGGAGCGCTCGTACCTGCGGGCTGCGGCCAGGGCGCCTATCCACATCACCGATCACCGATGGCCTCCGACGGGTGCGCAACGCGCAGTGAGCGGGCTCGCTGCACGCACGTGTGCCAGCTTTTGAGGCGTGCGGAGCGGAGGACGGAAAATAGGGGGGGTTGATGCGCGCCGAGCCGTCAATCACTCACAAGTTGATGAGCTGTCATAACGCCGTGTGCGTCCATGAGCTGATGAGCATGCGAGCAGCGAGCGGTACGGATCTGTCCACACAAGTCAGGGATTTGAAGGTTTAGGATCTGAACTTCTGAAGGAAGTTTATCTGTAGAACTTGGAACACGTCTGGTACTCTGGTCGCGTTGGCCTTGCATGTTTGGAAAGTTGGATTGGGAATCTGGGAGTATGTGGATGGGAGGACGACAAGTGGACAAGTGGTGTTATGTTTGAACTCAGAACTCAGCGTGGGCGTAATGGGCCGGAAGGCTATTTGCGTGGATTAGTCGACGTGGGCGTCAGCAGTGGAAGAAATAAGTTCAATTTATGTCCTTCAAGTTGTCATCAAGTCTGAAATTCGTCCCTCAACCGAAAATACCAAATATAGCCCATCCCACAACTCATGATACTGTATCAACCCTGTTCCATCGGTAGTACAGTGGCATGTCAGGGGCAAAATCCTCTATCTCCTCTCCATCTCCTCCTCTTCCCCATCTCTCCAAGGTGTGCGACGAGGGGATGGTGGGCGCGTGGTGCGCGGCGTAGTCGTCATCGTCCTCGCGACCACGACCCCCCTCACTTCTTGAATGCCATCGATGGGAGCTAACTGATCCATACTCTTCTATGTCCCTATCAGCTTTAGGTACGGTCTGCCCTGCTGCGGACTACGACCACACCGATTTGTCGCGGCAACCTGTTCCTCATTGGTCATGACCACCGACATGCGCGTGGATGTACTCTTCAGAGACTAACCGCTGGACCGCCCTGGCCTCCCTCGCGGTGGTTGACACCTACGTCCAACGGCAACAGAGGGTGTCCTCATCGGCGGTGTGCTCTACTTCCTCCTCGTCAAAGGCATCCTGTGATACGACATGGCCGTACATCGCCTATTGGCGATCCACTTGACGCACGGGTGTAGGTCGTCTTGGGCATCGTGTATTCGTGTTCATGGTGATGACTCTCTCTCGTGACTCGATCTTCTGGTGAGGGGATAACTCTCACTTTAATCGAGTGTGATGTTTGTGACATGGCTAACAACCAGAACAACTCCAGGACGCCGTACAATCGCTACACCACAAATGATGTCGTACCAACCGTGATGCGCGGTTGATGAACCCTGCAATGCAAACGAGAGAACATTGCAAGAACAAGATAAGATGCAATCTAAATATTGCGAATATGTGATTAAACACAAAGAAATAGTTGTGATTGAAGTGGTAGATCTAATCGACCCGGCAAATCAACACACCAACTATCGTGGGCTCTAAATCTATAATCGCCAACTAATTGAGCGAGGACTAGAGACAAAGTGAATGACACTGGCAAAATTCAACTAAATAAAACCCAATTGTTCTAGAGGGTGTACATAGACATTTATAGAGGAAAATAGATCATGGGTTAAGTGTTAATTCGTGGATGTGGAGGGAGACACTTCTGAGATGAGTCTAGTCTATTACAAGACCCAAGGCCCAAGTTTGGTTTTAGCAACAGCACTGTCTTGTTTAACGATTCCCGTTGACACGGAATGAATTAGGATATGAGACCGGATGCGTTTGAAAGGTAGAAAGATAAGCTTTCCATCAAGCCCAAGATCACCCAAATCGGAATTGGCATAAAGACGCTAGGTCCGTTTGAAAGTCAGTGCTGTCTTCGGAGGCTAAACTGGATTCCAAAACTTGTTGGACTTAAATATCTTGTAGATTCTTCATTCATCCGATGCATTCTTTGGTAATGTTTTATATTTCTCATGCTTGGTTATATGACTATACTTGATGGTCATATCAATCACATGGTGACATGGCCACGGAGGACAGCCGGTAGCTGGGGCTTGCTAACCTGAACATCGGATGCAACCGTAGCCTCTGCCTGTGGGCGTTGGAGACATCGTCTCCTGGCGGGTCGCAGCATGGACGCGACGCAGGGACACAGGGTCATTGGCCTTGAGAAGCTTTTCCCCGCACTCCGTCATGATCACACCAATGTAGACCTAAGGCCATTCACAGTGCAAGCACCCCATATGAGTTACCACAGGATGACACATAGGATGAAGACACTCTCTTCACAGTGCAAGCACCACTTGTGGGGCCCACAAATATCTTCACCGACACCAAATCCCCAACTGGTCCTCCTCCCTCGTCACCCAACGGCGCCGGCTCTCCCCTCCTCCGCCGCCCGTTCCCTCGCTGCCTCCGCCCAAGTCCCCGCCGCCTCTGCCCCCGTCGTCAGCGAGCACTATGGCGGTGGTGGTGGTCGCCGTCGCTGCCGCCGCCCGCGGCGGCGCGCGCCGTCCCCGCTGCGCCCGACTCTCCCTCTTCCTGAAGGTGGTGACGAGGAGGCGGAGCGAGGAGGACGGCGGTGGCGCGGGAGGACGACGGCGGCGGCGGCGGGGGAGGACAGCGGCGGCGGCGGCGTCCTCGGGCTGATCTTCGGCAAGCGGAGGAGCGGCAGGGCCGCTCGTGACCGGCGTGGCCAAGGGCGCCGCCTTCATCCCGTGCGCGGATATGGTGCTCGTCGCACGGGTTGGTCGGGATCTGGTGCTCATCGCGCGGGTTGGTCGGCGGCAGAAGATCTTGAAGGTGGGCTGGTGCGCGCCGCCGCCGCCGACGTGCTGGGGCGGCTGGTCTTGGCCGTGGTGCCCGAAGCCGAACATTTTGCTCTCTCCTCTTCCTCTTTTTCCGGAGCTCGCCTCTCCGGAGGCGGTGGCGGCGGCTCGGCCACCATCGACGTCGACGCGAAGCAGCTCTAACCGACGGCGACGAGAAGGCGGAGAGAGGAGGATGGCAGCGGTGTCGTCGTCGTCGCGCTGAGCTGAGCTTAGGGGGCCGCCCGCATCTCCCTCTCCACCCCGCGCGGGCCACTCCTGGCCGGCGAGCTCCGGTCGACCAGATCGGGGGCGGCGTGGCCGACGCGGCCGGCGACTGGAGTAGAGAGCCGCGCCGGCGACTCACCATGGGCGGCGGCCGAGGACCTCCCATAGCGGCGCGGAGTCGCCACCGACGCGGAGTCGTCGTCGCCCGCGTGCTCACCAAGTGGGCCCCGCGCCCGAGCGAAGTTCCTCGTTGCTTTGCTAGGAACCGGAGAACCGAGTATAGCTATGGGCCCCACCCACTTTTCTTGCCACGTGAGACGAAGCCACGGTAAGTTCCGCCCCACTGTGAAAGGCCTAATTGGCTTCGTAGACGGAGCAAAATGTCGCCATTTCGTGGAGATTTTCATCGAAGAAATTGTAGGATGGGGGAGGTGTCACTGTTGATGTTGCGTTGGATGTAGGAATCGAGGACGACCCTGCCAGCCACTACACGCCACGTGTCCTAGAGAGATGGGGAAGAGAGGGAGGGAGAGGAGAGAGGTATTGGCTGCTGACATGTAGGGCCCATTTACCACGTCAGTTAAAACTGGGCACTATATCGCTGAGGGACTAAAGTTAATACAATATTAATATTGTGAGTTGAGAATGAGTTATATCAGTATTTCGGTTGAGGGATGAATTTTAGACTCGACACAACTTGAGGAACCTAAAGTAAACTTATTTGCAGTGACCAGTGGCAACGGGAATAAGTTCACTTGAGGTCCCTTAATTTGTCGATGAATCCGATTTTCATCCTTCAACCGAAAAACCAGATACAACGGGTCCCTCAACTATCAAAACCGGTGCAATATAGGTCCCATGGCGGTTTTGGTGGCGGTTTTCGCTGACGTGGCGCCTACGTGGCTAATTTGACTCGGTCTTCATATGACATGGCAGTGACATGGTGCTTATGTGGCAATTCGATTCGAAAAATAATAAAAATTGTGGGCCCACATGTCAGTTACCAAAAAAAATAATAGGACCCACGTGGGCCCCACATGTCATTCTCACCATCGTCTTCTTCCTCCTCTCTCCCCCAACTCCCCTTCATCTCTCTCCCCTCTCCTATGTCCTCTCTCCAGGCGCGAGCGAGGAGAGGCGGCGCGCGGCGCCGGCGGGAGAGGAGGGGGCGGCGGGCGGTGGCTGGCGGGTGAGGAGGGAGCGACGCGTGGCGGCACCATGGCAGCGATGAAGTACGGGTCCCGCGCCTCCCCAAGTGCACGGTGACGAGACGACGGCACACCTTCCTCTCCATCCAAGTTTCAATAGCGGGGCGTAGGGAGGCGGAGGATGAGGACGGCGCGGACAGCAAGGTCAAGGCGAGGCGCGGGAGGCCGAGGCTGAGGACGGCGCGGCCCGCGACATCGAAGAGAAGGGCGAGGAGAAGGGAGGCGTGGGAGCGCCCGTCGCTGCCATGGCTTCAGCCGAGGACGGTGCGGCCGGCGAGGTCGAGGTGGGGCACCGTCCGTCCGCCAGCCCTGCGCCCCCACATCCGCTCCCCAATACGACATCCACTCCATGACTCGCAAGACGGCGCCCGTTCGAGTGCCCAGCCGTCGAGAAGCAGCCCGTGGTGGTCGTGCTCGGCGGTGGCGGCAGCCCAGGAGGACAGGACCGGCGGCTGCCCGCGATGGCGCCGCTCGTCGGGTCGCCCAGCCGCCTGGTCATCACCAGCATCATCGTCGTACTCCTCGTCTCCGCAGCAAAAATCTCAGGCATATGATCTGATATTTTGATCTGTTCATCCGTATCTCAGTATACATGCACTTGCAAAGTGAAATTCCTTCTTGTTTTGACTGGTAAGCAAAATTGTTTATTTTTGACTAGCAAGCAAATTTCCCTTATAAATCTCACATCCCAACTCTTTGGGATTGTAATACTACCATCTTGTCCATAGTTCAGAAATCCTCTGATTTTGTTGCCAGTTTCAGTTCATAGCGATCGAACATCTGAGATCTTGGCCATGGCGTTGAAACGCTCTTCACCGCGACGTTCAACGTGAGCGCCGGCGACAACTACGGCGACTTCATCGCTGGCATCCGCAACAAGGTGGCCAACCCGAGGCACTTCTCCCGCAAGAAACGTCCAGGTGACCATCACCGGGCACAGCCTCGGCGGCGCGCTCGCCCTGATGGCCGCGCACGACATCGCCCTAACTCCGCCGGTCAACCTCTCCGTCGGCGTGTCCTCTTGGCCTCATCCCGTCGCCATCTCCAGGAGCTCGCCCGCCGCCCCTCTGCTCCGCCCGTCACCCCTCGGCGCCACGATACCGCCGCCCCTTGCCCCTGGCCTGTGCCGGCTTGCTCCGGCCGCCGCCGCTTAGCTCCGCCGGCATGCTCCGGCCACCGCTCACCCAGCTCCGCCGGCCGGCCACTCCGCCCCGCCCGTCGCCTGCTCTGGCCACCCCGCTCCTCTCGAGAAAATGCTCCGCCCAGGTGAGAGAGAAGAGGGATGGCATGTGGGGCCAAATGGGTCCCATCATTTATTATTATTTTGGGTGTGGCTGATATATGGGTCCCATGTTTTTATTTTTTTTTCTGAGATCGAATTGCCGGATAAGCGCCATGTAAATGCCACGTTGGACGAATACCTAGTCAAATGAGCCACGTAGGCGCACGTCAGCCAAACCGGACACAATACTGCCGAGGGACCTCGTTTGCACGGTTTTGTAAGTTAAATGATGTGTTGTACCCGGTTTTGTACTCAAGGGACGAATTTCGGACTCGGTGACAAATTGAGGGACCTAGAATGAACTTATTCCGTGGCAACGCGCGTTCAGCGTGTGGGCCTCTCGTGTGCCTGGCCTAGTTCCGCGGTAGTGGCTCACGTAGTCAGGTCCATGAGCCTGGCACTGATTCATCCTCGAGGTGCTGGGCGTGCAGCCCACACGGATGGCCCGCCTCCGCCGCAATCAGACCTCGCTTCTCGCGTAGCGTAGTCACATCCTCGCTCGCATACTCCTCTCCAAACAAAAAAAACTAACTTAGAGAATCTGAACATGCTTATATCTAGATTCATCCCTAAAATATGCGGACATACTATTCGGTTGTCAACAATATATTATCGATAGTACGTTTCGTTGAGAAGTTCAATGGCGCGTGCGTGTTATAACTGAAAGCCACATGATTCCAGAAAATTAAACCCCAAAAAAATGATTTTCAGTACTACAAGATGATTCGAAGACGGGGATTGATGGCCGATTGTCGTCGGCCACTTTACCCGGTCAATCGTACGTAGTTCAGCCTCGGGATAAATACTAGTTGCGATACAACTTGCACAACTCGGTATCGTTCCATACATGTGATCAAACAAATTAATTAATGTTAATAGTTGTTGCTCAAGTACTAGTTGCACAACTAAGTCAAGAACAGATCTGGTAATAGGTGGTATTAGCTTGCATTGACATCTCTCATCAAGTGTCAAGTCTGCTTCACGATGATTAGAAGCTAATCTGCTATGTGCATAGCCTTAATCATCCTCCTACATGTCCACGATAACAGCAGCTCAAGAAAGCTGCATGATATCAAGAAGGGAAGCCATGTCCTAGCTTATAGTACAGAGGAGAGATCTCAATAGATCGTAATCTATCAGCGCTTAGAGAGAGAGAGAGAGAGAGAGAGAGAGAGAGAGAGAGAGAGAGAGAGAGGCATGAGGACACATTCACTCACCCTCCTCCTAGTTGCCACGGCCTTGTCCTATCAGCCATCCATCGCCGATGACAGCATCAACCAGGCCGCGTCCATCACCGGCAACCAGACGCTTGTCTCGGCCAATGGCATCTTCAAGCTCGGCTTCTTCAGCCCGGATGGTGGCACGTACTACCTCGCGATTTGGTACGCCAAAATCTCGCCGCAGACCGTCGTGTGGATCGCCAACCGCCAGAACCCGGTGCTCATCAAACCCGGCAACGTCAGACTCTTAGCTGACGGCCGCCTTGTCATCCGCGATGGGCAGAACAACACCGTATGGTCGTCTGCTGCACCCACTGGAACCGTAGCCCAGGGCGCCACTGCTCGGCTCTTGGGCACCGGCAACTTCGTCGTGAGCTCCCCTCAGGGCATGGCGTGGCAGAGCTTCGACTACCCGACGGACACGCTGCTCCCGGACATGAAGCTCGGGGTGGACCTCAAGAACGGCATCACCAGAAACATCACATCCTGGCGCAGCCCGACCGACCCTTCGCCGGGGAAGTACACGTTCGGGCTGGTCCTCGGCGGGCTGCCGGAGTTCTTCCTCTCCGAGAACTCGAGGAGGATCTACGCGAGCGGGCCGTGGAACGGAGAGGTGCTCACCGGCGTGCCTCTCCTCAAGTCACAGCAGGCGGGCATTCACCTTCACGGTCTTGTCGAGCCCCGACGAGACGTACTACAGGTATTCCGTCCACGACCCATCATTGCTGACGCGATTCGTCGTCAACGGCACGTTGGGGAAGCTGCAGCGATCATGGTCGGACAACAACGGCCAGTCCTGGAGCGAAAACAGCTACTTCTACCCTCCAGACCCATGCGACAACTACGCGTTCTGCGGGCCGTTCAGCTACTGCGTCAGCAGCGTCGACCAGTCCCGGCAGTGCAGCTGCCTGCCGGGGTTTGAGAGTCAGTCCCAACCGGGGCCCTTCCAGGACTCGTCCAAAGGTTGTGCCAGGATGGCCAACCTGACCTGCGGGGATGGCGATGGGTTCTGGCGGGTGAACAGGATGAAGCTGCCGGAGGCGACGAAGGCGACGGTGCACGCCGGCATGACGCTGGACCAGTGCAGGCAGGCGTGCCTGCGCAACTGCAGCTGCAACGCGTACGCCGCGGCGAACGTGAGCGGCGGAGACAGTCGCGGGTGCGTCTTCTGGACCGTCGATTTGCTGGACATGAGGGAGTATACGGTGGTCGTGCAGGATCTGTACATCCGACTCGCTCAGTCCGAGATTGACGCCTTGAACGCACCAGGTGAGGATTGAAGATCCCTTGATTTAATCATGTTTGCATTTGCATTTGAAGACATGTAGTGTGTAGGGTGGGTTCTATTTGAGGGATTAGAGTATGTTCCTAGAGTACTTTTGGATGAGAGGGCAATCGGAATTTCACCAAAAACACTTAGCATAATACGTCTGATTTTGGCTGTGTAAATCCGTCTCAGGATAGGCCGGTTATCCTATTATCTTAAAAAAAAAAGAGACGTCCGATGCCAAAGAAAATATGGATGCACTTCACATCAGGCGATCAGGCCAACCTCCCCTCCCCACATCTCTCTCTCTCTCTCTCTCTCGCCATTTTCATTGGGCACGCTAGGCCCCCTTGCGCTCCCCATCTCTCTTGCCATTCGCTTTAGCCTAACATACGGTGCCGAGATGTCCGCCGCCACGGCCATAATCTCGTTTCATCCCCGTTGTTGTGGAACCCTAGCCTCCCATCCTCCTCCCCGCGGCTGGTCCCCTCGACTACGGCCTTATCTGAAGGAATTGGCAAGGTGGCGACAGGGCTCCAATGACAGACAATCGGTAGCTCTAAGCCTTTAAGCAAGGGAGGCAGATCTAGTGGTTGGAGTAGAGAAAGAAGGGAGGAGGTAGGGTATTTTATTTTTGGAGTTTTTTTAGATGTGGCAACATATTGTTTCCCCATCTTGCGTCTTGGTATATTTGAATGTTTAACTCTATTTTGTTGTATGTTGCACATTTCGATTTTGGGGTGTTGCTACCAGTTTGTTCGAGTGTTTCATACTTGCATCTCGTTGAAACATTTTTCTCTAAGTAATAAAACATTTTTTTTTACCGAACATTGAAATATCTAAAACAATTTTACTGAAACATTTTTCATTGAGTGGTGAAACATGTGAAACACTTGAAACACCATCCGCGTAGGCCGTAGTCCTCCCTGAATTTCACCCATCTGAAAATATGTGCTTAGGGGGTATGTGCTTTGAATACTTAATTACCATCTCACAAAAATAATAAAACAAAAGAACCTGTGATCGATTTCTCATATTGGTTAGCGAATTGAGCATGCTAACTTTCCTCTTCGAACTAAACATTTCTAATGGCACGCACAGTCTTCTATTTCACCGGACCAACCATGGAAACTTGTCCCCATTATACGCATACTAAGTCAATGGTTGCCTTTAAATATAGGCAAAATTAGTAAAATTACCATGGGTTAACGGGACAAGTAGCCATCAGTCGTTGGGCTGCAAGAGCCAATGATTTCTTTTTATACGATCAACTGGACTTGTGCGTAAGAAAGAAGATATACTTGTGCGAGCAAGTTTCCACCATCACCTAACTTGATACCGACAAACATGAAATGAAAAAAGTTGTCTTGACTTTGTAGTATTCCCTCCGTTTCATATTATAAGACTTTCTAGCATTGCCTATATTTATATAGATGTTAATGAATCTAGGCATATATATGTGTCTAGATTCATTAATATCTATATGAATGTGGCCAATGCTAGAAAGTCATATATTGTGAAACGAAGGAAGTAGGACAGATCATTTTGACGCGTAAGTTTAAAAAGTCATACTTGATCAGCAAAATTATCACACGAGACCACAAAAACATCTAAATGTGTTTACCTCTATTTGATTGCAGCAAGACGCCGGCGCTTAATCAAGAACACGGTGATCGCCGTGGTCACGACTATCTGTGGCATTTTAGGAGTTGTTGGCTGTTACTGTTTTTGGAGGAACAAGGCGAGGAGGAAGCAGCACACTGAAATGGAGAAAAGCAGTGATGCCGATGATCTTCCGTTCAGGGTAAGGAAAAGCCCTGCGTTGAGCCCAGCAAGGGATCAATGGTTTGATGAGAACAGGGGTGCTGAAGATGATCTTGACCTTCCGTTGTTTGATCTTGAGATGATTTTCAACGCAACAGACAGATTCGCAGCGCATAATAAGATTGGGGAAGGTGGATTCGGCCCTGTTTACATGGTAAGATAACATATATTTTAGAACATTCAAGACAACATCCAATAGATTATACGATGGTAATTTTTCATAAACTGTAATGTGTAAGACAAATAAAATTATGAGCAGGGAAGACTTGAGGATGGGCAAGAAGTAGCCGTGAAGAGGTTGTCCAAAAGATCAGTACAGGGGGTTGTTGAATTTAAGAACGAGGTCAAACTAATTGCCAAGCTTCAGCACAGAAACCTTGTCAGGCTACTAGGTTGCTGCATTGATGATGACGAGAGGATACTGTTATACGAGCACATGCACAACAAGAGCCTAGACACGTTCATATTTGGTCAGTTCATTTCTACATAAACATTACATAATTATTTTTCTCAATTAAATGTATACACATAGTGTTTTGTTGTACTAAACATATTTCTGCAGACGAAGGAAATCGTAAACTGCTAAGTTGGAACAAACGGTTTGAGATCATTCTAGGGATTGCACGGGGCCTATTATATCTCCATGAAGATTCAAGGTTTAGGATCATCCACAGGGATCTGAAGGCAAGCAACGTGTTATTAGACAGAAACATGGTACCAAAAGTCTCAGACTTCGGCATCGCGAGAATGTTTGAAGGTGATCAAACCACTGCATACACTAGAAAGGTCATCGGAACGTAGTGAGTACTCTCGTAGTTTGTTTATATGTATATAGCTACAAAACTGGGACTGCACAATGACTTTCGAGATGGTCCAGTGGCTATATGTCTCCAGAGTATGCAATGGACGGTGTGTTTTCCATGAAATCCGACGTCTTCAGCTTTGGCGTCCTAGTACTGGAGATTGTCGCCGGCAGGAGGAATCGAGGCTTTTGTGAATCCGAAATTAATCTCAACCTCCTCAGATATGTAAGTGCAAATTATTTGTCACAATTGCTCTGGTGAATCTTGTCACATTATTGCCTTATTGGCATTTTGATGATTTTCCAGGCATGGATGTTGTGGAAAGAAGGTAAGAGTGTGGACTTACTGGATGAGTTAATTGGAGACATCTTTGATGACAACGAAGTGTTGAGATGTGTACACGTCGCTCTGTTGTGCGTTGAAGTGGAACCCAAGAACAGACCATTGATGTCTTCAGTTGTTATGATGCTAGCCAGTGAGAATGCCACGTTGCCACAGCCAAATGAGCCTGGAGTGAACATTGGGAAGATCACATTAGACACAGAATCATCTCATGGACTTACCAGCAATGGTGTGACGACAACTACAATAGAGGCTAGGTAGTCTGAAACAGTAAATTCTCCTTGCTCTAACAGTAAGTCTGTAGTTCTGTATAGCGAGTCAAAACCTCATGCAAAGCTCTGCTGAAACTAGTTCACTTATAACGAGTCTTGAAAACTTGTAAGTTGTAAGACCACATTAGACAAGGTCATGATTGTTGCAATGCACTAGTTGTAGGTTAGAGACATTGTCTGGCGTGTGATGGAGCCGACAAAACTGGTTAAATGATTTGTGTAAAAGGCTAACAGTATTTAAGCATCATTTCTTATCGACCGGCCCTCGATTTGGTCATGTCCCGATGTGATGCGGCATCTAGGAATGACATAGACCACATCTTGCCTGATTTTCCTACATGTGACACTAAAAATACCAGCCAATTTGGTCAATTCAGGCAACTTGCTGCAATATTAGTTGTGATGTCGGATTCATGTGGAATCCTCCGTTTCAGATATCTATTTCAAGTACAACAGCTAAATCATCACCATCAAACAGACTCTGAAATGAACATAGATGGGATAATTTCGACTCAATTGTGATTTTTCTTGCCAGGCTGGTTGTTGGAAGAACCCCAGCAAAGTTTTTATCAAGTTAAAAGAGGGATACAAAGGGCAAACTGGTAGAAATGCTGTCAGCATGAAGGTTCTTCTACTAAAAAAAACGAAGGACTGGATGTTTAAATGAGTCCGTGAGAATGAGACTGTAAGCAAATATAATCAACTATAATCTTCAAACAGTTTTTATCAGGTGAATTAGTGAACGACGAAGACACCTACCGTATTTCACTTTCTTGCCCCTGCTGCAACTGATACTGCAACCTTATTCGTCACGCCAATTTGACAAAATGCAGTTATGATTTCTGAAGACGAGACATGGAAGAAACAATCTGTTAATGGTTTCTTACCAGCCATCCGATAGCCGTGTCACAACTCACAAACAATTCACCATAAATCTTCAAATTCGTTTCTTACCAGCCATCCGATAGCCGCATTGCTGTTTCAGGCGATCACGCGCCCAACCAAACCCCCACACCCCCACGACCGAGGTTTCCATAGGTTGATCCGCCTCCCCGACACCGCCGCCCGGCAGCCGCATCTGACCGCCCGACCGGCTCGGCCGCGATTTCGTCGGCCGCCGCCGCGCCCAAATTATAGGGTTCATGAGCCGCCGGCCCGCCGCCGTAAGTTCTCGCGGAACGAGTCCCGTCTCTAACCGTACTTCAGTCGCTTGTCTCTTGAGTTATCTGAGATGGGACATGGGCTAATGGGCCTAACACAATGGCGCGTCGGCCCATATCCAAGAGTTGGCCCAGGCGCTGCAGCTCTGCAATCTCGTTCTCCTCAGGCGGCGAGAGGGACGGCTTGATGCTCGGGGAAGACGAAGAGGATAGATAGGATATAGGGCATAGGTGTACTCTCGCCGGCAAGTAGGTATGGCGGACGCCATGGCATGCTATATTGGAAGGTCCGCCCATGGTGGCAACTGCTATAAATAGCTACCCTACCCCGCCTCCTTCCTTCTCAACCTCCTCCTATTCTCTCTCTCTCTCTCTCTCTTCCCCCAGATGCGAAATTCCTGCCCCAGCTCAACCCAAAGCTCCGTGCCGTTACCTCCTCTCTATTCTCCAACCGTTTCCTCCCTCTTCCCGGAAGGGGGGCGTTCTGGCGCAGCTGATTGATTTGATTGAACCTCGAGGCCGATTGATTGGGTCCGAGTAATCTCGGAAATGTGGGGTTGTTGCGGTTGATTTTTTGTATTTGGTGTTGCTTTGATGTTTGCTTGCGTTCTCCGATGGAGGAGGCAGGAAGAGAGAAGGATAGGTCGGTGGTGGTGGTGGTAGAGGATTTGGGCACAGCCACTAAGGTGATGCAAGGCTAATTAATTGACTCATCTATCTAATAATTCTCCTTCCTTTTCTGTGCGTTTTACATCAAGGGTTAATTGGAATGTGATATTGTGAGAGTGTCACTATTCAACCATCTTTAATTCATATATATTTATTTATTCTGCCACGATTTCTTTTATTTGCAATGAGTCAAATTCATTAGACTGAGATGCCCTTCGGTCCTTCCGTCTTGCAATTAACAATCATTGACTGGACTGTTCAATTACAGGATACAGTCAACCCAAGCGCGAAGTCTACAAGGAGGTACCCTCTCCTGTCATGGACAACTATATTGGCCTTGATCGCGCTTGTCGGAGTATACATTTTCTCAGTGTCTTTGAAGCAAAATGGGATGCTTCTTGGTCTTAAGCAGACAGACATGATAGAAAAAGAAAGGGAAAAACTTTGCCAGGACCCCAGCATTCCGGTGACTGAGATCCCTTATGTGCATTATCCCACACCTGATACTTACAGTAGGTAATGAGGATAAACTTGCGAGTTGGAATTCTATGTTTATGTTTTCCATGTCAGCAAGTAACTGGGTATTTCCTTTCTTAAATTTCTTCGCTAGGAAAGAATGTGCATGCACACCAGTTAGATTCTTCGCTATCTTGTCGATGCAGAGGTCAGGAAGTGGGTGGATTGAAACATTATTGAATAGCCATGAGAACATTAGCTCCAATGGAGAGATTTTCTCTATCAAGGAAAGGCGTAGTAATATCACTTCGATCACAAAAACATTGGATAAATTGTACAATCTGGACTGGCTCAGCAGTGCTGCTAAAAATGAATGTACTGCAGCAGTGGGGTTGAAATGGATGCTGAATCAGGTAATATTTTCGCCATAATAGTTATTTTTACTACTCCTATCTCATGGTAAGTTGCACAGTTTCATTTTTGTTACTTAATTATATATTTTCTTGTGGAACATGGACATGGCAGCTTTAGCTGGCTTTTGGAATCTTCTTGATAATATAGGTCTAAAAGTAATTATTTATTAAATTCTGACTTAGCAGTTAGTAGTACACATGCATAGTAGTGCGGAGAATGGTTAGTATTAATGTTTATAACTTTAGCTAGATTTTGCGGAGAATGGTTAGTCAATTTGTATAGCACTTCAGCAGTATGGTATTCTTTTTGAAAAGTAAGGAATGTAGCAATATACTAATATTTCATGCACTGGCCCTGTGCTCGTGAATTTTCTGTTCAAAGCATATTCGGATGTGGAAGTTTTGCTTCCATAAAGGTTTTTATGGAATTAGCTGCTAAAAGCCTAAAACCCTTGGCCTAGGAGATTGAATTACTAGGTTTCTGTAGATGGGTAAGCAAAGAAGTAGGTGACCTTATATTTTCTCCATATTTATTCGAAGTATTAACTTTTACATTGGTGGTTCACCTTCGTCCAGAAATGATGCTGTTGATAAATACATAGCACTGCATATTTCAAAAGTATAGACCATGAATTAGATTCATTTTGGAGATGCGGTTGCTGTCTAAGAGAAGATAGATTGACGAGTGGGCTCTGCCTTGATGAGTTTGTTGAGAACCTGCCCGTGTGTCTAAACCATTGTCACAGTAGCTCCACGTAGTTTGAAGCCCAGGTGGAATTGCTTTAGCGGTGTAGTTTGTCTGGTTTTATAGTTGAGGTGCGTAATTTATCTGTTTCCATAGTTGAAGGCTGAAAGCTAGAACAGCATGAATGTTGAGGGGGATAAAATAGACTCATCCCTAATATGGCCCCCTTTGATTCAAAGGAAATTCATAGGAATTTTAGAGGATTTTATTCCTATAGGAATTTTTCCTATATAGCCCTTTGAATCAAAGGAATGGATCCTATGAAATCCTATAAAATTCCTATGGAATGCCTCTTCCCATGCAAATTTTGGAGGAAATTTAACATGAGGTAGAACCTCTTGGTAACTTTCCTTTGAGTCTCTCTCTCATCCAATTCCTGTGTTTTTCCTGCGGTTCAATCAAACGGTCATTCCTGTGTTTTTCCTGTGTTTTGCAATCCTATGTTTTACACTTACATTCCTATCAAAATCCTATATTTTTTCTATTCCTACGTTTTCTCAATCCTGCGATTCAAAGGGGCCTAGTTTACTGCACCTACTCTGACACCTATTTTAATTTATTTTCTGTTATTGTTATCTTGGTGTAAATTGCAGGGTCTAGTGCAACATCATGAAGAGGTAGTTGAATACTTCAACCGAAGAGGCGTGTCTGCAATCTTCCTTTTAAGAAGAAATACTCTCCAGCGTTATGTCTCTGTATTAGCAAATGCTCATGATAGTAAGGCAAAGCAGATAAATGGAACTCATAAATCTCATGTGCACTCTGAACGCGAGGTTCACTTCTTTATTTTCTATTGAAAGATCTGCATGTGAAATAAAAGGTTATCCTACTGATCTTTCTTCTTCTTTTTTGCAGGCTCAAATTCTTGCTCAATTTAAGCCAGAAATAGACACAAAGAAGTTGATCGCCGATCTTAAGAAATCCGATAAGTTGGCCGCTGATGCTTTACTGTACTTCAAAAAGACACGCCATATTATTCTGTATTATGAGGATGTTGTCAGCAATGATACTGTGAGTCCTATTGCTTTATATATCCTTGTCCGGAGGCTGAATGAGCATCTCTCTCTCTCTCTCTCTCTCTCTAAACAGCTTTTTTTTTCTTTCTTCAGAAGCTCATGGATGTCCTGGATTTTCTGAGATTGCCTAAGAGAAAGCTGTCCAGTAGGCATGTGAAAATCCATACCAAACTTTTGCGTGATCATATAGATAACTGGGCTGAAGTTAATAGTACTTTGATGGGAACACAGTACGAGAGTTTCCTGAATGGCTGAAGGTGACTGAACTAGCTTGCTCATGTGTGGTGTAAATAATGATGCAGCGAGTATTCATTCTTTTGACACTTGTTTTTTTACCCCTGATATAGCTAACAGAATTAGTCAAAATTGGCAGTTTTGGCTATCATATGTTAATTTAGAAAGCTCATTTGCTTGTCACTGACTTTGTAGCATGTAGGGTCAATTGATAAATAATATATATCATACAAAGGTGTGGTTTTCATTAGACCTACAGAGTACCTTCCTTAGTTCAGACTTTCAGAACGTACATAAGTGCATGATGATTCTATCTATTTTTTACATCATATCACTGTCCTGATTCTTATAATCAACAAGTTTTTAAGGCTGTCAGCTAGGCCTCATTGTGATAATGTAACTCATCTAATCTGACAAATCAGATACTCATAATAATTTTCAGAACATCATATCAGAAAGTATATCGTATGATGGCCAAGTAGAAAAGAATGAACTGGTTAAAGTTGTCTGGGTGTTTTATTTTCACATAAAAACTTGGAAATGAAATCCTGTCAAGACTTTTAATCCGTGGTTACTTATTCCTTCATGGTTATTTATAATGCTCCTAATATTTATAAAATTCTTAGGCCTTGTTTGCAAATAGGGGAAAAGGCTCTCTTTGAGACCTTCAGGACATATGGAACATTAATGCTATAGTGCTTTGAAATATCACCAAATAACAATAACTTCCGTAGTTTCTGTCACTACAGTTTAGGATAACTGCTGAATTGAGGGAACCATACCCTAGTTGGTGCAGTTATTCAATAATTATGCAAATTTCTGTTGCTCAAACACACGGTGATGAAGAAAGCACATTATGTAATGCACATTCCCCTAGTAAGTTCAATTAGCACATTAACATCCTATCGACCTTCAAGTATAGTAACTGTTGCACTGTCGAATATGCTGCAGTCTGGCTTGCTTGATGATGTGTCTGTTTCCATTAGAATTCTTCTAGCTGCAAAGCCAGGCTGTTTAGGAGTTGGCAATGTGGTAGCATCTGTCGTAGCTAACATCAGAAGCACCTGAGACATCAATGGACGGTCATCTGGGTTCTCTTGCACACATAGGAGTCCCACTCTGATGCATTTGAGTACTTCATCTGAGTCGAACGAGCCATTCATTGTTTCATCTGCTAACTCCAAGCTTTTTCCTTCATTCCATAAGCTCCATGCCTAAGGGGCAAAAAAAGAAAAAAAGTTTTTGAAGTTACTCTGAAATTGAATTGAGAAAACAACTTCCATTCAAACATGTAGTAGATGATTTAAGCTCTCACATGTCCCAGAAGATTTAGGTGGTTTGAATATGAATAAACCCCTCTGTTCCTCCTGCCACTAATTATTTCCAGTAGTAAAACTCCAAAACTAAATACATCTGATTTGACAGAAAAGACTCCGTCCATTGCATATTCTGGAGACATATAGCCACTACAAAAGAGCCAAAATGAATAAAGCAAATATATGAGTAAATTCATTTATACGATCAGTATTTCCTGTTGTAAATACTTAGCATACTTACTATGTGCCGACCACTTTTCTGGTATTGATTTCTGTCTCTTCACTTCCAAACATTCTTGCCATGCCAAAGTCAGAAATTTTGGGAGTCATCTCCTTGTCAAGAAGAACATTACTTGCCTTCAGGTCTCTGTGGATGATTCTGTATCTTGAATCCTGGTGAAGATATAGTAAACCTCTAGTAATGCCTTCTATTATACGGTATCGCGCTTGCCAGTCAAGCAGGACACTGTTGGATTTTTCTGTTACATTTGCAAACTGTTATGTTCTTCACAGTATTATCAGCCATTTTTTTCATGGTCATAAAAAGACTGAGATAGTCATACCGAACAGAAAGTAGTCTAGGCTCTTGTTTGCCATGTATTCGTACACAAGTATCCTTTCTTGTCCACTAATGCTGAAGCCGAGAAGCCGAACAAGATTCCTATGCTGAAGTTTAGCTATCAACATTACCTCATTCTTGAATTCGTCGAGACCCTGTACGGATGTTTTGGACAACGTTTTAACTGCTATTTCTTGTCCATCCTCGAGCTTACCCTGTTGATCAACCAGACATAGCGGCTGTAGTTCAAATTTCAGAAGATCATTTTTTTTATGCTATCATTGTTCGTTCATTTATATGCTGAAGACCTTAAATAATTGCCTTTTGATGCTTGAAATCATGAGTTGCCATTTTTTTGAACGAAAATCATGAGTTGCCATTGAACTTGCGTTCAAAATGTTTGCATGTTTATGCGTGATTCATTGGGGTGGTTCATGTAGTGTTGTACCTTGTATACTGGTCCGAAGCCACCCTCACCGAGCTTGTTGTTGATTGAGAAACCATCAGTAGCAGCTGCAATTGTCCCCAGATCAAAGATTGGAAGTTCCAGATCATCATCGTGATGACTGCTTCCTTCATAGCGGCGACCAGTACTGCGGGAACCACCGCTCCATTTGCTTGATCCTATAATCACATAGAAGTCGGTATGAGTATGATACCCTGAAATATGCTTATTATTTTCCCCTCTTTTTGTTCAAGTATTTATATGGAGTATCTGCTTGTTAACACTCGGAAGACACATGGCCATTACCGGTTTTTCTTGCTCTCTTCTTCTTTCTTGTCCAGACGAGAAAACCAGCGAGAACTGACAGAAACGTCACCGATGAGATGCTGACAACGATGGCGATTATTACACGTGCCTTGTTAGATTTGCTTGTTAAACCTGTGCAAGAAAAACGTAGCTGTTAAATCGATGATGGTATGCAACGACATATCGACTAATTTATCTAGAGGAATATAATGAGTTGCCCCATATATGAGCATTTAATCAGTATTACCTGTTTGGTTTGGAATATGGAACGATTATTGCTACAGAATATCTATTTACTGTAGGAATATTTTTTTAAAAAAAATAAATATCTTAAAAGAAGTGGCCATGTTCTTTTCTCCAACAAAAGTTGAATAAACTTTTGGATACTAGTGATACGCTTTTCAAACTGCTAAAATGTGCGTTTCGTGTAAAAATTTTCTATATGAAAGCTGTTATAATATATCAGATTAATCTATTTTTTAAGTTTGTAATAATTAAAACTTAATTAATCATATGTTATTATCATCTCGTTTTACGTGAAACACTTAATCTTTTTCTTAAGGAGATTCAAACACCACCTAAGTAATGCTATTGGAAAGGTTTTTTTAATAAAATATATTTTTTGTGAAGCAAATAATCTGATGAAAAAGCCGAGAAGAATAGGGGCCTATTCGTAGAGCAGAGTAGCGCGCTGAACAACATGTAGTGCCACATATGATGCCCTCGAAACAATGCCAAACCAGAGTCAGATGCTCTGTTTCAGGTACACCTGGAAACCTTGCGCTACAGCATCACAGGCGATCTACAGTGGCAAATGCACGTGAATATGTGATCAACCATGAACCAGTTCAACATGTTTACCCAAGTACCCAACCTCTTCGTAAGGATTTATCGGTGTCTAGCGTTTGAACATTTGTGGTTTTGAATTCTCTAGAGGCACAGAGGCCTTCACGCTTTGTGTTTTCGGTTAGCCCAGCAACGCCGCAGAGCCCGGCGTCCGGCGACGCATCACACGTTCACATATTTGTCCATGCACTGTCTCGATGGTTCGGCCGGTACGCCGCCCGCGGCCGCGCGTGCAGTGTGTGCTGGAAAGCGAGGCGTATGGCCGATTGGCCGGCCACCCCCGCTGGCCGCTGCCATGTCGCGGGTGGCGCGGTGGCGGCCGGTCGCTTTGGAGCGTGGTTTTTGCACGGAAAATATCTCTCCCGGCTGGGCGATAAAGCGAAGTGACCGATGGTTGTTTGATTGCGACGTGAAGCTTGTGGCAGCTGGGATGTTTTCTGGCTTGACTCGGCGAGGGAAGATTCTTGGCATCGATCTGTCCGGTTCCAAATCCAATTCCCAACGAAGCTACTCCCTCCGTCCCATAAAAAACCAACTTAGTATAGAATTTAAAACATCATAGTACTGTGTCTAGATTCGTAGTGCTACAATATGTCACATTTGGTTCTAGATTCGTTTTTTATGTGACGGAGGGAGTACAATCTAAGGCCTTGTTTAGATCGCGAAAAAATAAATTTGGGTGTCACATCAGACATTTCATCGGATGTCGGAATGGGTTTTCAGACACAAATGAAAAAATTAATTTCAAAAATCGCCTGGAAACCGCGAGACGAATTTATTAAGCCTAATTAATCCGTCATTAGCACATGTGGGTTACTATAGCACTTATGGCTAATCATGGACTAATTAGGCTCAAAAGGTTTGTCTTCCGATTTCTATGCAAACTGTGCAATTTGTTTTTTTCTTTATCCAATATTTAATGCTCCATGCATGTATCAAAGATTCGATGAGACGTTTTTAGAAAAAAAAAATGGGAACTAAACAAAGCCAGTGCTATTACTTCTGCTCCATCTTTCCTACTCCCACCGTCTCATAAAAAAACAAATCTATGATAGTACTCCATCCGTCCCAAAATAAGCGTAGCCATGAGTTTCCATGCCCAACTTTAATCGTCCGTCTTATTTGAAATTTTTTCCAAAAAACTAAAAAACATAAGTCAAGCGTAGAGTCTATTCATGTTTTATAATCTATTAACTTATTAAAGTAATAGAAAAAGAAAGCCTCCACGTTCGTTCTCGTGGTCTAGAAATTCTCATATTAATTGAAGAAAAAGAAAAATAGAATCCATATAGAAATACAATTTAGAAATAGCTGAAATTCAGAATTAAAAAATAATGAATATTGGAATATGAGACTAGAGTCCATATCGATATACAATTTAGAATTAATGGAAATTCTGAATTAAAAAAAAATAAGAATATATGAGAGAAAATATAATGATCCTAGCCGCACAATCTGCAAGGGACACCATGCTAATTTTTATAATATAACAACAATAAAAATCAAATCATAAAAAAATTTCAAATAAGACGGACGATCAAAGTTGAACACGGAAACTCATGGTTGCACTTATTTTGGGATGGAGGGAGTATATGACATCCTATTACCACGAATATGAATATGTGTATATCCAAATTCATAGTATTAAAATGTGTCACATCCACTACTAGGTTGGTCCCATAATATAAAGGATTTTAGGTAGGTGTGACATATCCTAATACAATGAATCTGCCCAGATTCATTATACTAGGATATATCACATCTATCTAAAATCTCTTATATTATGGGACGGAGGGACTACAACAATCTAAAACCGAAGGAGACATTAGGTTGTTTGATTACCACGTAGAGCTTTGTGGCAGATGGGATGTTTTCTAGCTCTCGGCAAGGGCAGATTCTTCACATCGATCTACCCGGTTCCAAATCCAATTCCCAACAAGGCTACAACTTTCTACTCCCTCTGTCCCTGTATATAAGGGATTTTGGTGTGGGATATGAGACATCCTAGTATAACAAATCTAGACAAACAGTTTAAATTTGTTGTACTAGGAACTTCTACTCCCTCCTTTCCACTAGTATACTAATCCCTCCGTCTCTTTTAAATGCAATCATGGATTTTTCATATACAACATTTGACCATCTGTCTTATTTGAAAAAAAATATGAAAAAATTTTAAAAAATAAGTCATGCATAAAGTATTATTTATTTTTATCATCTAATAAAAATAAAAATATTAATCATAAAATTTTTTAAATAAGATGGACGGTCAAACGTCAGACGCAGGAATTCTCAACTGCAGATATAATGGGACGGAGGGAGTACTTCTACTCCCTCTTTCCTACACTATAATAATATAGAACTGAATATAGGATGTGTTCAAAACTAAATGGGACATTAGAATATATCGCATCTGATACTAGGTTATTATATTATACGACGAAGAGAGTACTTCTTAGTTTTTTTTTTGTCATGTGAACTTACCATCGTCTTAAAATACTATTATTGAACACAACAAGCGTAAGATCCAAATTAAGTTCCAAGTTGCACCGTGAGTTCAAACTTCAGACCATCAAATTCGTTTCCAATTTATAAGCTAAAGATTTGTACGTACATCTACAGATCTACTGCAATCCCTGCCTCTGCCTATCTCCTCAAATAATGAGGATCATTGTCTATTTGTCTTGTCGCTGTTGACTAGAGCTATCCAAGATCTGCTACTTTATCTTCTTCCCGGCGAAATTTCACCTACCAATCAAGACGACGGCCACACTTCGCTCTTGTGGTGTACAGGGCCCTCTAATCTTTGTACTAGCTGCCAAATCGGGCAAGCCCCACACCATGTAAAAGGCTCCTTTGGTCGATGATACACGTCGAGGCGATCAGTAGGGGCCTCACAAATGGCCGGGCAGCAATGGATCGACTCGAGAATGCTGCACGGGAGCTAGCAGGTGCAGTGATATGATGCACGTTGGAGAGATCGACGTGGAAGCCGTCTCATTCCTCTACCGTGTATAATTGAGCTTTTGTTGCGCGCGATAGCTCCTAAAATCAAAGCGTGCTTCTTTTGCGACGATAAGCGCCCCGCCTTCGAAAGAGCCCGGGACCAAATGGTATCGATCGCTGTCTGGCTAATTAATCAAAGCTCCTTTCGCTTCCTTTCTCCCTTGCTAACATCGATCGGTTTCATGATGGAGAGAAAAGGAGATTAAAGGGCAAGGAATAAAGATGGCCGGAATCAAAATCAATGTCGTGATCGTCTTCCAGTGAAATGGATCAGGGCAGCAAGTTCTCTCGGTTGAAGCAGGGCACGCTGCGTGGCACTCATCATCTCTTTCTAATCTTCTATTGAGATTCTCCCCAAAAAAGGAGGGATTGGAGCTATGGAGGATTAGAGGGAGATAGCCAAAAAGGAATGGACTAGGAGGCCCAAATATCTGGCCTTCGACGGTACTTTTGTGCTGTCTGATTTGGACGGAACGAACACCAAACACATGGAAAAGATTCTATATGCAGCGCAGCATGCATGGAATACGTAAAACATGCACGTAATACGTAGATATATACGTACGTATGTAGCAATGCATAGTACATAGTTCGCGTGGAATGTGATGGCGTACCGAGATCTGCGGCGGCGAGGCGGACGAAGAGGTCCTGGCCGAACTCCGGGTACACGCGCAGGTCGGTGAGCCCGGTCGTCCACATGACGCAGCCGGTGCCGGCGCCGTGGCCGCGGCCGCCACCGCTCACGTTGGCGCTCGCGTACGCCGTGCAGGAGCAGTTCATGAGGCACGCCTTCCGGCACTGCTCCAGGCTGAGGCCCAGGTCCACGACGCTCCGCTCCGTGTCGGGCACCTTGGCGTGCTCCACGGCGACGAACCCGTCGGTGCCGTTCTGGCAGTCGAGCGGCGTCGACCGCACGCACCCCGCGCGGCCGTCACGCAGCGCCCACGCCTCGGGCGACTTGGGCGTGAAGCCGCGGAGGCAGGAGCAGACGGGCAGGTTGTTTGTGTCGCACACGCCGTTGGCCCCGCACGGGGACACCTCGTCGCACTGGTCCTTGGGCGCGTACCAGTACAGGTTCCACGTCCCCGCCGCCTCCACCCACGTCGACCGCTGCAGCAGCCCGTAGCTCCCCGTGCTGTTCAGCCCCAGCCTCGATATGATCGACACGTTGTGCACCTACACGAACACGCGCACGCGTGTCATATATGACATGGCACCAGCGGTACGGTACAACTCCAATAAAATTTAAAAAGTTGTACACATAAATTGCACGGGTACTCGTCAGTTTATACCTGGAAGCTGTACGTGACTTCCTTGGCGTTGTTGATGAAGCTGAAGGTGAAGCCGGAGTAGGTGACGGTGTCCGGGACGCCGGTGAACTGGACGCCGTCCCAGGGGCCGGAGCGCCAGACCTTCTCGGCGCCGTTCCAGATGAACACCTGGGGGTCGCCGGACGTGTCCATGGCCATCACGACGGGGCCCGGCGAGGGGTCGGAGGGGCTCTTCCACGCCGTCAGCGTCCTGTTCCTCCCCTTCACGTAGTCGACGCCCAGCCTCATCTCCGGGAGCAGCGTGTCGGTCGGGTAGTCGAACCCCTGCCACGCCACGCCACCGCCAGCGCCGTCCGCGATCACCAGGTTTCCGCTGTCCATGATCCGGGCCGTGGGGCTCGCCAGCTTGGCCGCCGGCGTGACCGACCACACAACGGTCGAGTTCCCCGCTACAATGGCGAGCGTGCCCGTGGGCGACACGGAGAGCGTGGCGTCGGGGTTGTCCGCGACGTCGCCGGGGAGCGGGTCCTCGCGGTTGGCGACCCAGACGACGGTGCGGACCGAGACCTTGTTGTACCAGACGCCGACGTAGGTGCTGTTGGCGCCCGGCGGGGTGAAGAAGCCGAGCACGAAGTTGGCGTCGCCGCCCGAGACCAGCGTCTCGTTCGCGGCGAGCGGGCGGCCGGGCACGACTGTGTCCCTGGCACGGCAGCTGCCCGTGAGCACCACGACGACGACGAAGAGCAGCAGGTAGCAGCAGAGCGGGGAGGAGGAGGCCATTGCTAGGATTCCCGGCGCGCGCGAGCAACGAGCGAGCGGTGCTATGCTAACACGCCACTGCGAGAGTGAGTAGCCGTCGTGCACAAGTGCGGTTTTGGACCGGAGCTAGTTGCAAGACGGGGTGGGCCGGGTGGCCTATGGGCTATGGATACGGTGATATGGAAAGCTGCCTCATGTCTTGGCGCGGAGCAGATGCGGATTACTTTACACTTGGACAGGGAATCGCGGAGGTTTGTGGCTCAGGTTTTCCTCTGTTACTGCTTACGATGATTACATTTCCGAAGAGCATAAAACTGCCGATATTTCAGGCTTTGTTTGATTTGGGCTCATTTGGAGAATCGAAATAGAAATAGGTAGTAGTCGTGTGTAGCCAAGTCAAACTTTTACGCTTGACTCCAACACTTGCTTAGCCCTTCTCCCTCAAAGAAAGCTCTGCCCTCGACAGGCAAAGGATGGTTAGATATTTATAGGCCGTGTTTAGATTTAATTTGTTTTCTTTAAACTTTCAACTTTTCTGTCACATCAAATCTTTGGACACATGCATAGAGCATTAAATATGAATAAAAAAAATCAATTGCACAGTTTACATATAAATCGCGAGACGAATCTTCTGAGTGTAATTACATCATGATTTGACAATGTGATGCTACAGTAAATATTTGCTCATGACGAATTAAATAGGTTTAATAAATTTATCTCACAGTTTACAGGTAGAATCTATAATTTATTTTGTTATTAGTCTACATTTAATACTTTAAATGTGTATTCGTATACTTAAAAGAAAATCATGGCATAATGGGAAAAAACATGGCCCTAGTCAAGAAAGAAGCACTGTATGTCTATATTTCAGCCAAGTCTTGTCAAATGCTACTACCGTTCACTGTGCAAGTCAGTTATTACTTGTACTAGGTTCGCAGTTGTCCTATTGGCATTTTTGTCGGCTTCACGCAGCTACACAAATTGGCATAAGTTCACTTCAGGTCCCTCATCTTGACGTCAAATCTCAATCGCGTCCCTCAAAAGTAAAACCAGGTATAAGTATATAACACATCCTTATCTTTTAAAACCGGTGCAAATATAGTCTTAAGACAATGTTGAAGGTGATTTTTACTAACATGACACGACAAGCAAAATAAAAAACAAAAAAAAATCAAATGGGACCCACATAAATCGATGAAACAATATCTTCTTTCTTATCCCCCTCTCTCCCTCTATCGAGCGGTGACAGGCGGAGCCATGCGTGCATGCTTCAAGCAAGGAGCAGTGGAGCAAACAGAGCAGAATGACGGGCCTCAATTTGCGCAACGCGGGGCAGATCAGGACAGTGAGCTGTTGGCTCCCTGACGGCTGCGCAGACCAACAACCTCGCCCTTACTCGCTGCCGCCGAAGGAGGGAGGAGTTCGCAGCAGCGAGTGGAACTGACAGAGACGAAAACAATGTGTAGCAGGAGCACGAAGGCGCAAGTGCGTGTTGGTCATCACCCCATCTGCCTCAAGCCGTCCTCCCCAAACTATCGTCCCTGTCCCGTTGGTCATCACGGCTTCCAGCAGTAGGTCGAGAGGAAGGACGTGGGGAGGCTAGAACTCCATGCGGCCCTACTCATGAGCCACCCTCTCCTCCAGAGTTGGAGATTTAGGACCAAAATTTCGGTCATTTCGGAAATTCCGGTCATTTCAGTCCCCTCCGATACGATATTACTTCGGCTGAAATTTTTCATTTTTTTCATGAATTTTGGTAATATTTGTTCAAATTCAACTAAATTTTGTTCAAAAATTCGGACTGAAATTTCCGAAATTTAGCATTTCAGTGAGGCACGATCAAATCGGCCTAACTGATAAGATTAACCCTGCTCTCCTCTCTCTTCTCGTGGTTGCTGAGAAGCACGGCGATGGCGGGCACCAAACTCCGGTCGAGTTGTGAGGAGGAAGAAGGGGGAAGCTTCCGTGGAAGCCATCGTCGAACGACATCATGGTGAAGAGCGCGTCCATGGTGTCGTACGCCACGAGCTCGGTGACAGTGGAGAAGAGAGTGGCGATGGTGAGGTCACATCCTCCTTTCTCCCCCTTCCTCTTCCTCCAGATCCACGCACCGCTTTGCCACTGTTGGCAGTGTCGACAAGCGTGAGGAGGAGGTGGATAGGGTGGCATCCTAGCGAGCTCGTGACGAGGAGCCCAAGCACGACGCTGACGAGGACGACGGAGGCTCCGCTCGAGGCGTGTTGCAGCATCGATGGTGTTAGTGAGGGAGTTGCTTGACCTGCCGGTGCATCGTGACGTGGAGGGAGCAGGGAAGGCCGGAGGGCTACCAATAGCATTCTGGTGGCCGGCCGGCGAGGGAGGGAGGGAGAGGGTATAAGGAGAAGGATGCGACACTGAGGAGATAGAGGGAGAAGAGTGATGATGACATGTGAAGCCCACTTTTGTTTTTGCCATTTAAGCGCCTAGTCATCATGAGTGGACCTGATCAACTTGCCACGTCAGTGAAACTAGATATCTATACTGTCGGAGGATCTAATTTAACTCAGTTTGTTATAAGTTGGGGATAAATATTTCGGGTACTACGGTTTAGGAATGTGATTCAAACTCGATGTCAAGATGAAGGACCTAAAGTGAACTTACTCCAATCTGGCCTGGAGTCGATTGATTTAGCCTTATCAAGGACAATAAACTTTCGGTGTAGTGGCTGCATCAAGCCCATATGCAGCACTGCGGGCCAAGCCCATGCCAAAAACTTCATCGGCCATTTTTAAGGACAACTCCACAAGCAATACTCGTAGTTTCGTTTGCTTTTCTCAAGCTCTTCGAGCCATATGGTCCCTTTCTTTTTAGCATATTTATGGGAGCCGTTCAATCCACAATACTCGTTATCAAAGCTGGAGAGAACTTGGAAATCTCACTAGAAAAGCAGGAAGACAGACTGTCTGTCCACCTTAATGTGGGCAGTTCATGCCTTGATCCGATATTGCCCTAATTAAAGTGCCTGGAGAACTGTGTTTTTGCCCTCCATGCCTTTCCATACTTTCAGGGAGAATTCTCTCCCTTGAACTTTTATACAATTATACTCCAAGCTGTTGAAGTGTAGTATTTCCACCGTACCAAAATAAGTAGAGGGTTGTATTTATTTTGGGACGGAGAAAGTACTTCAGTAGACGCACTTGAGACTAGGGTGGATATAGGAGTAGGGCATCTACGGCTAGAGCCCTACTCCTATGTCCAAATATCCATTGAAATATTATATAACTAATTAAAAAATTGGTAACTTTTTATTCGCCACCTCTTTTTTGTCTGCGTTTTTGTCTGTCAACGCACTAATTTGGTTGAATAGGACTTGAGTTCGCCGGAGAGATAAAAAACTAGGGTTCGCCGGAGAGATAAACTCGAGTTTGAACTCGATAGGAGAGCGATTTCCACGGGATTTCCTTTAAATTTAGGGGAAAGATAGAGTTGGAGATATAGATCAAAAGCTCTCAACTATTTTTGAGATTATGTCCACGAGTTTGGTCGAATCGGATGCGGGATTGGGGTGGCATCAGGCGTAGGCCGGGCTCTGGCTCGGTTGGAGCTTGAAGATATACTGTAGCGAGAGGGATATAAATTAGACTTCTACTGGGACTTCTATAAGCCCGATTGAAGGAAGATGCAAACTGGACTTTAACGGAGAAAGGAAACATGCCAGAACAAAGAGAAGAGATAAAAGGGAGATAATCTACACTTTTTCATATTCGGCCCAAACATGAAAGGGAGGATTTTGATTCTTTTTTCCAATTAAATAATTGTTGAAATGATCTTTCGTTTATTTTGTGTTCATGTTCGCAAGCCCTAGCTATATCCTATGTGTGTTGACAGGAACAAAACAGTTCGGTTTGCTGGCCGGTATGAGATCATGATTTGAATAAAATCTAATTATAAAAATAGAGCTTATATTTGATAAATCTACATTATTATATCTAAACATGGACCAAAACTTTCTCTAGATCCACTATTATCAACGGCATATATTTTTCTTTCAATTAATGTGTTGATTTCTAAGTCACAAATGTGAATAAATATTTATTTATTACTGCAATAAAATAATTTATAAATCTGTGGAAAAAATATATATATTGTGCTTCTACAAGAAAAGAAAACATATACTATATTACACTAGGTTATGAAAAAATATATCATTTTAAAGTTATTTAATATTTGGTGTACTTTTAGTTTTTTCCAATTGTAACACACGGAAACTTTTTCTAGTTATACTTTAAAATTTGAAAAATGAAAGACAAAAGATAAATTTATGTAGAGCTTGATTGGTTTAGTGCCATACCAAAACATTGGTGGTGCCAAAACCTAGTCACGTTTTGGCACTAACAAAATTTTGGTAGGGTAGCATTCTAAGTAATGGGTTTGGATTGATACCAACTGAGAGTCAAATTTTGTGTAATGGTGAAGAAAGTTTTAGAATTATACCAAATTAAGCATGGGCATTACCATTCACTTGGCTCCAAATCAAACCATCATATTTACAATTCAAACTACCAAAAAATTGGTATGGCACATTTTGTCATCAATCCAAAATGGCTCGTAGATTATACTAGTTTAATCCTACTTTTGAGCACATTCTAGCTCTGCCACTGTTTGGGACGCATTTGGTGCTGTCCTTCTAGCTACTGATATAGGCCCTGTTTAGATTCTAACTTTTTTCTTCAAACTTCCAACTTTTCCGTAACATCGAACTTTCCTACATACACAAACTTTCAACTTTTCTGTCACATCATTTTAATTTTTTTAAAACTTCCAATTTTAACGTAGAACTAAACACAACCATAGACATTCCTCTGTCAAACCACGGCGGCCCCATTGATCAGTGATAAAAAAATCTCTCTGCACCAACGTCGCCGTGATGTTACAGGTAACGTCGCCGCGAGGCTTCTCTTCGATCGCTGGCGCCTTCTTCACCGACTCCCTCCAGCCTCGAATGATCGGCCAAATGGAAGAAGATGCATGGTCAGCATGGACACGGACAAAGAAACTTTGGAATTTTTAATCAGGAGAATCGGACTAATGCATTTGTATTTGACCCTGATCTAATTTCTCCAATTAGCTATTTATTTCAGACAGAACCTTAAATGGTTTAAAGACGTATTTGTTGGTTGGTTGGCGTAGAGCTGTCAACGTTCTACTCTACATCACGCAAAGCTTCTACATCTTTCCTCGGAACTGGATCAAAGTTCCGGGGCTCTCCTCACCTCAGAAGTCAGACCGATAATTTAGCTTCTTCAAAAACCAGCTTATTGTTCATATGAGGTGAGAAAGCTGACAATAGAGCCAAAAAGAAGATGGGAGTTTTATACACGCGTGAAGGAAAGGACATCAGCGTATTGTCGTATCAAACGACGCCAACAACCGCATGACATCCGCCAAAAATTGTCAAATTGTAGAAAACTGCAACGGAAATTAATTGAGAAATCAACAACGAATACGGGCTCTGCCGGCTTGAGCAAGTAATGTACGCGAAGCTTTTGGCCACAGGTGCTCCCAGTGCACGAGAACGAGACAACGACCACTCAAACGGCTCACGGTCCGACAGTCGCAGCCATGGATCGATAAACGCACACCTGCAGATCGACGTAAAGGAGAATCGAAGGTTACGTTATTTGGGATGCCGAATTCGTCAGGCCTTGCTGTTCCATACGTATGCACGGACTACTAGTTATCAATGTGTGAACTTGGCCAGTTTGCCACGGGGACGAAAGACAACGCATCTCTTCTTTCTATAAAAAAATTTGCTCATTAAATATATAAAGCTCAATAAACAAATATAGTATTTATTAGCACTCTTAAAATCTACATGTAAACATATCACAACAACTTATTAAACACACAAATCTTGACATGCAAGCATACGGTAATTATATCTATAATTTTTTTCATTATAAAACTAAACATGTACACGCTAAATCATCATTTTTAAATCATTTTTATAATATTTCAATCTAAATCATGTAGCATTCTCCAATATTTAACCTATATCCTCTAACAAAATACGGAACATCATTAGGATACGCATATGTTTGAACTTTCGACGGCAGCCAACGCAAAACAAATGGCACTAGTTGTCAAATAAGCTCACCATGGGGCAAGAACCTTTTTGACTGGATTGTTATGTATCTACTGTCAAGCAATTTCCAATTAGATATAGGGTTGGCGAAGATAATTGATGCGGCAGGCCGGTGGCTAGATAGATAGGTGGGTTATAAACACAGGGCCCGTTAGTTTCGGCATTTCTTTTTTTATTTAGCTGGCACGTAAAAAGAGATATGTCATTATTGTATAATTAATTATTACAAATTTAAAATTTCATTTATTTGATTTTTCTAGAAACTTTTAAATAAAATGTATCATTTATCATTTAACGGTTTAGAAAACGTACTAACAGAAAACAAGAAATATATTGTTTGGAGTTGGAAGTTAGAACTTAGCCAATTGCATGGTCATTAAAAATTAAGTGGGTTTGGGCCTATTTTAGAAGCAGGATTACTAGAATTGCTAGGTAAAAGCAGAATTAATATATCTTATACACCAGATAATCTTATAAATATATAGGCTAGTGATTACTCAACAACTATATCGTTTGGCTTATTCACATATTTGCAAATGAAAAATAATTTGTGAATAACACATTTATATACGTGTTCTTAGTGATCTAAAATCAATAGCTGAAAAATAAACTACAATGGAAAACCCTAAAATCAACTCCAAATTTAAGATTAAAAATTCAAATTTTTTTGGCTTATAAGTATAAGCGAAAAGATGAGGTTGTAATCCATTCAAAAATATAATAACTTCTTAGCAATATATCTAGATATCTTGTACATCGAATACTCTTATAAATATCTAGGCTAGTGACTACTCAATTTGTTCCAAATATAATTACTTCTAGTTATATATTTGGATAAGAGTATGTCTAGATATATAATTAAAAATTATCATATTTTAAGAAGGAGGTAGTAGAATATTACATAGGTGGGTTACACAATTTTTATAGTGATAACGAGCAGTGGGTCTGGGACTCCTTGTGAAGGCAGGATAACAAAACGTGGAAATGGGTAAAATACATAATTAAGATCTCCCCTAAATATCCATGTTAATATAAATACAAGAAAATAGAAAAGAATACCATATAAATGACACACAAGATAGTACGGCAATTTAAAACACAAGAAGAGAAAATACGAGATAATACCTCACATTTATTTTCCTCCAAAATTTCTATGGTACATCCTTTGTGCCTTTTCATGGGATTTTCGAGAGGACTCTATAAATATTATTTAAAGAAAAGTGAATATTAGGAAAGAAAATATTATTTAAAAAACATGAATATTAGGAAAATACCTAATATCAAATAAATAGAAAGGGTGAGACTTTAAACTCAGGTCAACTAGACCACCAACTTATGAAGCTAGCTAGAAGACCCTTGGACATTTCTCATAAATATTATTTTCATAGAATTTAAATCCTTAATAATATTCATACCCACCTCCTTTGTCACTGTTGCGGGGATGAAAAATCATTCGATATTTTTGACATAAGAGACCAACCAATACTGTTGACCACTGGCATAGAAAAAAAACAAGTAGGGGAATTTCTGTATGAAAAGAGGGGAAAAAAAGAAAAAAGAAAAAAAGAAAAAGAAAAGGAAAAAGGAGAGAGAGGGAATCCAGTTTCAATAACTGAAGGTCAAACAAAAACAACAGCCTCGCCTATAAATAGGGAGAGAAGGCCAGGAACTCCAGTTCAGTATACACGCCTTTCTTTCCCTCCTCTGCTCATCCCCTCCCCAGATCTCCAGCCCCAGGAGCTCCGGAGGGTTCCCAATGGCGGTGAAGGTCTATGTCGTGTAAGCATCCTCGCCACAGTCTTTCTTGTAATTACTGTACAGATTCAAACGTTATTATTACTGCTCGCATCGTCAAATTCCTGTCCTCTTTAAGAGAAAATTGATTTCCCTTTAGTCTATATTTAGAGTATCCTTCTCCTAAGATTACAAACAATCGCAAAGTTATGGTTGAAGAACTCTCAAGATGAAGTAGTCTCGATTCCTAGTCATTTGGATGCCGCGGGGCGTTGGTTGTCATCGCTGTGTTCTTAGATAAGATAAACATGTGGGCGCAAGTGATTCGAGGTAGCCAGTCAATACGTACAGATGATTTGATCGCGAGAGGGAGTAAATAAGTCGGGGGAAATTTGGACTTTTAGTACTCCACTGTTGAATTTGGCTGTCAGGGTCTCAATCATGATGTTAGGTTTTGGTCCTCGATGGAATTGATGCCTCAATGGGGCCAAATAGTGGTGGGCTCCGGCGCTAATTGTGCCCCTCTTTTCTTCCCTTTTTTATGCACACCTGTGCGGTTCTCTCCCAATTTAATCAACTCGGCTAATTGGCTCCCATAATGAAATCAGTGTCATTATTAGGTTAGCTTCTGAAGTTCTGTAGCATCGGTGGCTCGGTGCATCCAGAGACATTCTTTTAACTCTATATTAGGATATTGAAAAGGAAAATCCTTGCCTGATTTATTTATCAACTCGAGTCATCTTTTACATCATGTACACCTGTCTCTATTAGATTGAGCTCAAAGTAATATACTCATAGAGTTGTGAAAATGGCTTATTTTAAAGTTTTTTTTTTGTGAACAGATACAGACTGTAGATGAAATGTCTTGTATTGGCAACCAGAAGATAAAATTCTTCCATTCTTGAGATGCTTTTCTTTACATGTCATCGCTGATGTCACATTATGTTGATTTGCAGCTTTTTAATTTGTTACACATCATGTGAAATGCTCTTTTCCTTTTCTTTGTGGAAAACTGCAATTTATGTGGATGACTCTCTTCTCTTTTTTTTTTTATGATGTGGGTTTCCCACCAGAAATCCACTATTGCCGTGATAGCATATATGGTACATTAGTATATGCTAGCGCTGTTTCTTCCGAGTGCTGTACCAACAATATGTATCTTTTATGTGCTCTGCAACCTAGGAGACTCATTTATTTATATGCTCAGGAAAAAACTAATTGTGTGTAGTATTAAAATGAGAAGCAGGAAATTATGTAGGGCTTCTGGATATTTGAGGGTGCTTTGGCACTTGCTTCTGTTTCATGCTGGACTTAAATAGAAATGGTATAGAATGATGCCACACTTAGATGAATTGAATTAAAGTGATATCTTCGGCCGTTCTATATTTGTTCATGGACCACATTTTAATTGCAAAACAAATTTGTTCAAGTCAGATTGATCCTTTTCACTATGTCATGTATCCTTCCAATCTCAAGATGTTTGTTAAATAATTCAGGCAGATAGCGAATACTTATAGCACCGCCTAATGCAGGTTTTGAGCTTGATTTTTTTTGTTGCTCTGCTGAGTGGGACTCCTTAACTACCAAAACAATGAATAATTGGTTGATTGAAGGAGGTTGATATTTTAATGCACACTTACTCCTTGAAAAGAAAGCTAGAAGCAACTTAACAATATATACACGTTCATTTTAAGGTTCTTAGCTAAATGTACTGTTTTGTGGGCTTACTATGTGTAAGCCATCTCTTCTAGAAGTAGACGTAATTTGAAAGTGGTGTAAAACTAATATTTTCTTCTAGAATTAAGAAGAGAGATTAAAACTTATTTTTTCTTTCTTGTCATCAGGCTCCCGTTAAACTCGAAACTGTGCTTGGCTGCTATGGCATATTAATGCAATTATGCAAAGACATTAACTATTTATTTCACATGCAAATTAAGCCAAAGTCATGAAGCTAACCGTACTAAGTAGTTGAATGATATGCCATTATGATGTATAAACACGGGGACCTTTTTATTGTCACATGACAGATCACACAGTTGACGCTGTGGATGTCTTTCATTATATATCTGTTGGAAAAGGACTACTATATTTTTCTACTTGCATAATTACACGGTATAATTTATTTCCACAGGTACTACTCTATGTATGGACATGTTGCTAAACTAGCTGAAGAGATCAAGAAGGGTGCTTCATCTATTGAAGGTGTTGAGGCTAAAATATGGCAGGTTTGCCCCAGTTATTTTGTAATGTAACATCCCCATATTAAGTTTTGTTGAGGCCGTTGGCACTGGTCAAGCTAATTTTTGCCTCCACTAAAATGTTTAAAATAGTACTCCCTCCGTTTTTTAATAAATAACGCCGTTGACTTTTTTTCACATGTTTAACCATTCGTCTTATTCAAAAAAATTTACGTAATTATAATTTATTTTGTTATGAGTTGTTTTATCACGCATAGTACTTTAAATGTGATTTATATCATATACATTTGCATAAAATTTTTGAATAAGACGAATGGTCAAACATGTGAGAAAAAGTCAACGGCGTCATCTATTAAAAAACAGAGGTAGTATAACATTATAACGCTTATCATGAAGTGACATGTTATATTCTCACTTTAGGGCCGTTGATTTCCAGGTGCAAGGTGTGCACCTGTTCAGGGCCTCCAAATATGTTAGTACTACTAATTATCTAAGCAAATCAATAGGGGGAAAAATAAAAACTAACTACACAGGGAAAAAATAAAGCAGCAGTCTGTTTTGTTTCTATTGATCGTTGTCTTTTTGGCTCTTCCTTTTATTTACGATGTCGGATGTTGCTAGGGCAACGTCCAACTCCAAGCCACTGCCACAGTTTTCACTAGTACTTGTTTTGTAGTGTATTTTTAAAATTTTATGGTCCTATTATGTATTTTGCACCGGGGCCTCCAATTCCTAGCGAAGCAACTGTCTCGCTTGCAGCTACTATTTTTTCTCATATGTGTCTCTTATCATTCTGCAAGGTTCCTGAAACTCTCCATGAGGAAGTACTTGGAAAGATGGGCGCGCCTCCTAAGCCAGATGTGCCAACGATCACACCACAAGAACTTACTGAGGCTGATGGAATCCTGTTTGGGTTCCCTACAAGGTTTGGCATGATGGCTGCGCAGATGAAAGCATTCTTTGATGCAACCGGTGGCCTGTGGAGTGAGCAGAGCCTTGCAGGCAAGCCCGCCGGCATCTTCTTCAGCACTGGTACCCAGGGCGGTGGTCAGGAGACTACACCGTAAGTGCAGTTCTCCATATTTGCAATGAACAAACACAACCAATATCCGAAGCGAAAGAACATAGCTGATCACACCACCGCGTTTGATTTTGTCGTAACTATCCCTAGGTTGACAGCAATAACTCAGTTGACTCACCACGGCATGGTGTTCGTCCCGGTCGGGTACACCTTCGGTGCCAAGATGTTTAACATGGGAGAAGTTCAGGGGGGCAGCCCGTACGGCGCCGGCACCTTTGCCGCCGACGGCTCGAGGTGGCCGACGGAAATGGAGCTGGAGCACGCCTTCCACCAGGGGAAGTACTTCGCAGGCATCGCGAAGAAGCTCAAGGGGTCCGCTTGAGATCTCCATTGGGCAAATTCAATTGGGCGTGTGCGTGTCCCTACGCACAACATCGTGAGGCATTTCATACAGCTCCAAACCATACCGACATACAGTCAATAGCTTGGTCTCTTCTTTTGTGGTGTTTCTCGATGCTATGTGGCTTCTCCCTGGAACTTCTCATTGCCGTACGCATGATATGATTCTGTTCTACGCTTTGGTCAGCTGGTTGTAATTTGGAGTAAGTTCTGTTATTGTATTATTGGTTCCCCCATGATATATATTGATTATTGTACGGGGAGATCTCTTGGTTGCCATTCCGTCATTCCTGCCTTTTCTTTTGCGAAGCTAATTGCAGCATCTGCCGCTCTGGAATAGGAGTGAGTAACTGACTACCATGATGAAAAGGATAAGTCTATTTTGCCAACCTCAACTTTTACTTCTGATTGAATCGCTTCCTCGTCTGCAAAACTAGGCATAATGTCTGTCCCATCTCGAAAACCGATACAAATGATTTGAGAGGTGATTTCGATTGACGTGGTAGCTTTGATCCCATTAATTAATTGAGTTAGCTTGTGGGCTCTACTTGTTAGGGGCTTTCTCCATCTATCTTCTTCCTCACCTCCTCTTACATCTTCCTCTTCTGTTCCACGACGGGCGATGTGTTGTTGTGGTGGCTTGCGTATATGCTCGTGACTCTGTCGACACTCCCGATGGACTGCGCCGCGGAGGCGGCGCGGCCGATCCGGGGGATGCCCGTGTACAGCAGTGCACCTGCCGGCGGTGGCCACCCGTTCGTCGGCGGCGTCGGCGACCATTGGCACGACAGGAAGTCGTTGTCTCGCTGATGTACTATTGGGCTCGATCGCAGCAGTTGCTTATGGGCCTTATAACAGAACTCGTGACCTTTTGTCCCCACAGCCCAGACTGGTCGCGCGTGAGCCTTGAACTGAGCTTCGATAGTCGATGGAGGCCCATCATGATCCAAGTCGAAGATGACACTGACCTCACGTCACCTTGACGTTGAGATGAGATCGGCGAGCGCTTTTAGCCTGCATTCCTCTACACAGGAGATGAGATCGGCGAGACCTATAGCCTGTAGTCCTACTGATTACTGTAGAGTGTAGTGGAGTAGAAGTGATAACGCGTAATGCTAAAAGGAAAAAGGGCACCTTCGCCGCCTCCTCCCTACGATCAGCGTAGTCCCGTACGTAGGCCGCCGGCTGCGACTCGGTTTTGGATGAGTGCCCTGCCCGCTACGTGGATTGGCCACTGGGCGCTGGCCGGCGCGCGCCCGCGCCGCCGTGTACCGGCCTGAGACGCGCGCGCGCAGGCACGCGCACCGCTACAGCCATGCCCACGCCCAATCGCACATGGTCCAGCCAGTAAGCTAGGTATGGTCCGCGAGGACAGTGCAGGGAGAGTGGCAGACATGGTCGAGTCGTCAGAGGAGCAGGCGGGCTCACGCGGCCGCAGACAACCGGGAGATCACCCCCCCTCCCCTGGATGATGAGGAATAGGCCCACTTTCGCACTGCGAGCTCGTCTGCTAGCGGCGGAATCGATCGCACGTTACTCTCGCTAGTAGCTAGCGTTACCACCGTTTTTCCCCCCTTTTCATGGAAAAGAAGCTATATATATATTCAGAGACTGGTAGCGCCTCTGTCAGTTCCAGGCTTCTGCTATGTTTAACCTCATCGATGGCGTGCTACGTTTCAGAAATTTGGCTGCTGCAACTGCAAGCTAGCAATTGCGCGCGCGTGCATATCTTTGCTACTAGACGGCTAGACTACTACTGTACGTTCTGGTTCTCTGGTATACGAATGAAACTAGCTCAATCGTGAAATTTTCTCCTCTGATAAAGAAGCAGTTCCATCCACATGAATAAACATGGGATCATGCCCGTGCAGCTGTGCTAACGTATAGATCAATCGATATAGGCAATATGGTAGTTTGGAACGAAATCCGACCCCTTGATTTGGTTAATTAGCGTCATGCCATCATTTATGCAGTATAGTGTTGCCAGTCCTTGTTAACATCCTTCAAATGAAAACCAAGGGATACCAGTACCACTAATTGAAACTAGTACGAAAAGTTGGTACTGTTTATGTTGTAATTTTGGTTTGTTTTGGTACATGTATAAGGACCACAAATGCTTGTATATGTACAGTTGATATATGAGTGATTTTTAGTATTGTTCTTAAGTATGTACTGTAAGTTACCATATTTTCTAGTGTAAAGTTTGGTATTTCTGAACTTTGAGGTACCAAATTTGCACTAAAAGTTTTGAGCAATTTTACAATTCTTGAGGAGGTATCATGAGATACAAAAATTTAGTGCAAAATTTGGTACCTCCTAGCTAGTATCTAGGTACTAAAAGTTACCAAATTTACAATAGAAAAAGTGATATATATATATATATATATATATATATATATATATATACCTCATGATACCTCCTCAAAGACTGTAAAAATGTTCAAAAGTTTTTATACCTTTTACTACTCATCAAGAACTATAAAATTTCTCTTGATATAAAGGTTTGGGCAATGCTACTTCAATTATCTCAAAAATAAATCTTTTAAAGGTAAGCCTAATACTACAGCTAGCTGTTGGCTATATCTATTCATATCAATAACTAATCTAACGGTCTACCCATATACACATACACCATTAATATTTGGGTCATCAACCTTTTTTAATAAATATTTTTAGTATTTTTTTAAAGTTCATGTTGCAGCTATAAATCGCGCGATTTTCTTATCTCTTCTATTTTCCTCTCTAACTTAACATAACTCTAAGAGGCTACAACGTACTACAAGTCTACAACCCGCTTATATCACCTTATTGCACATGTTATGAGACTTCATATAGAATTATTGCACATTTACATATAAGTACATAGAGGTGATCATTTTGTCTCATATAATTATTTATATAAGTTGGCGTATTCTCAGTAGATTATAATCTACATATTGTCCTAAGTTATTAAACAATATACTTGTTTGCAAAAACTTTCTTCATGGACATTTGTTGATACTTTTTTAAACCAACTCATCAACTTTGTAATATTTATTCTTTAGTTTGCATTGTCCGCTCAAATAATGGTCATAGACTCAATTTCATTCACAATCCAATTTGTCGATAACACAATCTTAGATTAGTTAATTATGTATGTATTATATTTTGTACTTAAGACTTTATTAATTTATATTTACTTGTAATCCAGCGAGTCGATGCAATGCACTGACATGATACTGATTTATACATATATACCAATTATGATCGATCAATACAGCTCTTTTCAGGAAAATTGTATCTACCTCATTGACAAGCTAGCTAGCTATAGTTAAGATGTTGGGTTTTGAAGATTATCAGTGAGATAACAAGTGTCTCTCTGCATAGAAGAATGATTCATAAAAAATATATTGTGTGTTTCGATCAGATATTTCTCATAATTAAGAGATAACCAGTATACACCATATGCATAGATGTTATTATTATTGCAAGTTGAAAAGTACACAGCTAAACTATATTTCTTAAATAAATATGAATATAAATATTCGAACTAATATGTACTTAAGCTTTCTTCTCGTTCTTCCCATATCCAACATACTACTTCCTCCGTTTCACAATGTAAGTCATTCTAGCATTTCCCACATTCATATTGATGTTAATGAATTTTCCTCCGTTTCACAATGTAAGTCATTCTAGCATTTCCAACATTCATATTGATGTTAATGAATCATTCATATTGATGTTAATGAATCTAACATCAATATGAATGTGGGAAATGCTAGAATGACTTACATTGTGAAACGGAGGGAGTATATCATTGTTTAATTAAAGACGGTTTATGCTACAGATTAACACCAATTATGTTCATGATGACTATATTGTCAGTCATCTGCATCGATCTTTCTTGCATCATAAATGTTAATTAGCACCTGCCCCAACCATTCCACACTGATCAGAAACCAACCTGTTTATATATAAACAGCGTTACTACAGCATTATTCCTTTGCAAATTAAAGTTGCGTATACATGAGTCGTGTTAGATGCCCTAATGCCCCATAGACAGCTAGCCTTGCAACTTTCCCAGCATTTTGTATATATTATATGCATTTATGTTAGCCTGTCTTTGAAGAATCGACCCCTATTATCATCTCTCCCTAGCTCTTTTCCTTTCAAAGACATCCTTTGATTGCTTCATTGCTTGAATGATTATCCAATTGCTTTTCTTCCGAGTCTAGTTAGCTACTAAAATTGCGTCTGATTTAGCAACACACATGGCTTTGCTTTAGCTTCAACATTGTGTGTTTGTTTCGTAATCCATTCCGGGGACAATGTACACATTGCTTAGCAGGTGTAAATTACTAAACTAATACCTATATCTACCTAAACGTGCCTCCGAATGTTGGGTGCCAGAACTCCGGCACCGTCTCGCTCGCCACCGTATAAGTGCTTGCCACCGGCACAAGGCACAGGCCTCGGCTGCGCAGATCCGGCTTCGGCTGCTCTGCGTCCTTCGTGCTCTCAGAACCCTAATTAATTAGGAGCAAAAATGCCATGAACATATGCAACCAATAAGTACATAAGATTAACAAGTACTAGCTAGGGATAAACAGAGTGAAAATTAAGTATACCTTCTGCTGGAAGTGCTGCAATGGGTTCCCATTCTTCAAGTACGGAGAGCTCAAAGACTGCAGTTTGTTCGATTCAGTGAATATTAGCGATGGGAAATGTGTTAGTTAAGGAGTGCAGACAATGTCATTTTGAACACTCACCGCAACTTGTTCGTGAAGGAACTTGATGTATTCGATGGCCTCGTGAAGAACCGATGCGGTATCAGTCTAATTAAAGTACGACCATATCAAATGCGATAAGTTAGATCATTGTCATCGGAGATGTGAGAGTTCTAGTACAAGAGAACTTTGTTCTCCTCTCCGGTAATTGGAACGGAGAGGAAATTGATTACAGAAAGAACCTGTACCTTTCCAAAAGGCGAGACTAGTTGCTGGAGCGCAGTGATTCTGTCCCCTAGCTTCTCTTTCCTCACCTGCATCGCAAAAGCAAGCAGGAAAGGAGAAAATTTTTTTAGCAATCCAAAAGCCATCATCCATCGATGCTTGCACAGAAATATCAATAGTCATCAAAGCAGCAACAAAAAGAGATGAGAGCTTCGAAAGGATCAAAAAGGAGAAGTTGATCGAGAACATCTGATTGTATCATATCACGCCGGGCCTCCTCACCTTGAACGTCGGCAACGGCGACGGCACCTCGATCCGTGGCCTCTTCGCTGCCGCCGGCGAGTCGGAGACGCTCTTCCTGCCCTCCGAGGAGCAGATTTGTTGAGCCGACCCGGAATTTGACTGTACAAGAAGCTGGGCATATAAGTCTATTTCTTGACGAAACCCTAGGTGGCAATGGCTAGCTAGCTGCCTGCCACTAGCTAGCTAGTTGATGTGCTATGCATGTACGTCTATAATTTACCTTCGCCAGGAGGGTGTTAGCGTTAGAGCTGCAGCTAGGCTTGGGCTGCATGGCCTGCAAGAGAAGCTGCGACGGCAGCGGCGGCGCACCGCCGAAAGGCAGCTGGTAGCTGCCGGACAAGAACTGCATCTGGGCAGCCGCCGGCAACGAGGGCGCCCTCGGCGTCTGCGAGAACTGCATCACCGCCGCCGCGGCGTCGTAGCTTGCCGAGTGCTGGTAATCCCCGAACGACGTCGTGATGCTATGCGTCGCCGGCGCCACTGCTGGCTCCCCGGCGTCGAACGACAGGCCGTGCAACGGCGCCGACGCCTGATCGAGGAGCAGGCCTTGGCCCACGCCCATGTCCCTGAATGGATTGGTCATCACGGCCTCGTCGGCCGCCGTCGGCTGGGCTCGGAACGGTCTCGTGGATGCCGCCATGTCGTCCTGGAGCACGGCCTGAAAGCTAGCGTCGCTTCTCCCGCTCCTGACACAACTCATGCAACGGGGAGTGTCAGACACACACACGCTTGTATGGATCGATCGATGTGGATGATCAGATGAAGACGGAAGCTAACTTACAGGAAGGCCTGCGTCCAGTCCACCATGTGGGGATCGCCAAGAGAGGAAGCGGCATCGGACAGAGGCTGATGATGAGCGGCGCTGCTCCTGCTGGGGTCCTGGAACGTTATGGAGCTCGTCGACTCGGCGGCGGCAGCGGCGGCGGGGGACGTCCAGCCGCAGGAGACCCTGTCAGCTGTGAGCGGCGACGGCGCCGCGGAGCACGCCGACGTGCCGTGGCTCCTCTGAGACGCACTCCACCACTCGTCGGCCATGGCGGCGAAGAAGGGCGGAATCGAGATGGATCGATCTCGCCCTGTATGTCTCTTTGTTTGCGATGTTGTTTTGCTTTGAGGTGCAGCGGCGGCAGTAGGTTGGATGGAACGAGGGGGAAAGGTGGGGAGAAGGAATCTGGGTATATATGAAGGGTACAGGGTGATATGGGCTGTAGCATCAAGAGACTACTTGCAAGACTTGTGTGAGGGGAGGGAGGGAGGCTGACCTTTGGGATGGGACCAAACAGGGGAGCTATATAATGGTCATCAGGGTCTCTTACTTTTCTCTTTGTCCGTCTCCACGTTGAGAAGGAATTTTCTTTAATTCCTCATGTTAATATGCTGTGTTTGATTAATTATCCAATGAATTATCTACTCCCTCCGTCCCAAAATATAAACCAAATTCATAGCCAAAAGTTTTAGTTATGATTTTGGATAAATATGTGTCCAGATTTATAGACAAAAGTTGTTATATTTCGGGACAGAGGTAGTACTTAATTATAGAGTTAAATTAAATATTGTAGTAAATGAATTTGACAAAGAACTTAAAACAAGTGATCTTAATTAGTATTGCAGTAGAAAATATGTGATCTTAGTATTGCAATAGAAAGTTTTTAAGAAAACGTTTTTTTCTTTTTGGAAGAGTGAAGCAAATAATCTATTTCAATATCCGATAAACAATCTGAAAAAAAATGAACTATCTGATTATGCTCTACTAATTCACTCAGTGATATGTTTATCTTCTGATGAAGTTAGCAAAGAGGAGACAAACATCTGGGATGGGGAGATAACAACATCTTAGCAATATACCATTAGCATGTCCCAATATTGTGAGTTTTGACCCTATCTTAAAACTAAATATTTTGGTAGCAATTTAAGGTATTGATGACCACGTCACCAGAAGAGATTATCGTTGCTTGGTCTGCTGGTACGTCAGTGTAAACAGAATGATCATTGACTCCTTAATAGAAGTTGACAGCACCGGGCTTTTGTGTTTGTGGTGAGCCACATGAAAATTACCTATGCACCGTTCAGTTTTTATCCAATTCTTTTGGTGCCTTTGAGTTCGGTTTCTATTACCAATTCATGATCTTGAGTTTTTTTTCCCTATCCTACATAGAGTCTGTTTATTTAATAATGAAATTAAGAGGAACTATTTTTCTACACCTAGATGTATGCATGTGGTTTAAATAGTTATATAAAAAATTTATAAATATTGACAAGATAGATTATAATAATATAATAAGATATTATACAAATATGCAAGTCTAAATTCGATCTACACACGATGAAACAAAATAAAAAAAAATTATTTGTGTTGTACCTGTACATGTAAATAACGATGGCACGCATGTAAATGCAGGGTCAAAATTTAGTTTTATATGTTTGTTTATAGACTTATGTCATTCTAATTGATGTTACTATTTAAAAAAAAATCGTATAATATTTGACTCGCATGTAAATAACAGATCTCTAATATTTAGGTGTAGAAAAACTTTATCCATGGAGTTCAATCCAGTCTCCCCATCAAGATGTACGTAGCCGCATGTCCTTATTTAGTTATTAGTTACTCAAAATGAATATATTGTTCTTTGCTTATGACACTAAATGGAAATATCCACCCACAAAGATCTAAACCCATCAACAATATGTCCATTTCAAGCATAAAGGATCAAAACAAAAATTGGAGGCGTAGAAGTCGATCGTCTGTTGCGAGACGAGAGGTGAGGTTTCCCAACTAGATCAACTAACAGATAGAATGTGTGCTCGGGTGCGCATAACTGTGAGCCGAGTTACAGCTGGTTATCACTTCAGGAGGATTTTTAATCTTACGCTCATTTGACCTTAGAGCGCGCGAGGTTTGATCTGCTCATAATTTTTCATTGAGTATTTGCTTGAGTACGTACAAAGGAACATGATATGGATGCTTTACTCTTTAGTAAAAGCACGAAGGAGATAGTTAACTCACTCGTGGCCTTCCGTCGTCACCACAAATTAACCACATCCATTTTTGCCTCTCCATTCCTAATTGCTTATAGAAAGGTTCTTGGATTAATCAAGAGCGTGTTTTTTTTTTCTTGTGAGACATCATGAGGAATCAGGACAATCATGTGTACCAGTAGCAGTTTGTGTAACGGTTGAGTGTTGACTTGTACTGGACTTCAGCACTCCCAGCTTGTAGGCTCTCGGTACACCTAGTGTAGATTTGTATAGTTGCCGGCCTTCAATATATTTTCTTTTTCAGCTACATAGGTGTTGATGAAAAAAACACACACTGATCTGAGAGATCTGCTTAGCTCCAGTGAAGGTCCAAAGGTTAATGAGATGCGGGTGTGCTAGTCAATTTGACCCTAAGATGCGGGTGTGCCAGTCAGTTTGACCCTGTAACTGAGAAGATATACAAATAGCAGATCAATGAGCCGATCGGCTGACAAGACGATAGGTTAATTCCAGCCGATGTCGATACCAACCGATAGCGATAGGGTTTTGAGCTATCGGCTCTAATTCTAACGTAGATTCTGACGCTTGGTGTAAATAACAATATAAACGCAATCGGCTGATGATAATGCAAGAAAACAACAATATAATCCAGTAGAAACCATTCGGCTAATAATAATATGATAAATAAACATCGATCCGAAGGTTAAAGCATATATCGGCTGGAGGTCCGATGTCATAAAATCCACAGATTAGATTAAACGATGAAATCTCTGCTATCATCGACTAAATCCGACTTGTATGTAATCCTTGTAAGCCGATGGAATGTCCAGATACCTCATCGGCTGAAACCCCGATGAAACCCTTATTGGCAGTCAAATAGCAGGCTAGGGATTATGGTTCTAAACACGACTTAGTAGATCAAACTTAACTGATGCAACACTAAGTATGAAAAGAAACATAATACATAGACAATCAAGCCATTGACTAATTTTTAGGGTGGTAGATGCCTTAGCTAATCTAATCTAGTAAAACAATTTAGCTGATACCAGCAGAAACCCTAAAACGAGAGACAACCGATAAAGCTAAATTGAAATACTAAGACTAGATTAACTAAGACATACGATAAATAGGCAGACAAAAATATCATCCAAACCGGAGCAATCCAAGAGGTCGAATGTAGTGGTGCAGCCTTGAACAATGCCAATGTAGACGAGACAATTGTCTGGGCCAGCGGAACGTAGGACTTACCCCTTCGCCGGAGATCGAACTGAACCGATGCAGCCCCGCATCATGTGCCAAATTCCGCCGGTTGATAAGTAAAACCTTAGAAAAGAGGTTAGCGATGCGCCGAGAGTAGTTGTATTGATCGAGAGATAGTTTACAATGACCCTGGATGTACATATTTATACCTATGGGGAGATACTAGTCCTTGTAGGACAAGAAAGAAACTTTCCTAAAGATAAAAGGAAGACATAAAGTTCTTATAGGACACTAAACACACTTTCCTAAAGATAAAAGGAAACTATTTCTAATTAATAGATAACTTGTCATGCCGCATCCTCCTTTAACTTGGTCACTTCTGAATAAGCTTCCTTTAATAGATTAATTTCCTTAACCGAATATAGCAGGAATCCGACTATTGGCAATATGATAATTCTCTTCGAGGCTTACCAAATTTCACTGTTAACAATCGGTCCTGTTTAGTTCACGAAAAGAAAATTTTCGGGTGTCACATCGGATGTTTGACCGGATGTCGGAAGTGGTTTTCGGACATGAATGAAAAAACTAATCTCATAACTTGCCTGGAAATTGCGAGACGGATCTTTTGAGTCTAATTAATCTGTCATTAGCACATGTGAGTAACTGTAGCACTTATGACTAATTATGGACTAATTAGGCTCAAAAGATTCGTCTCGCGATTTCCCCTTAACTATACAATTAGCTTTTTTAATCTATATTTAATGCTCCATGCATGTGTCCAAAGATTCGATGTGATGTTTTTGGGAAAAATTTTTGAGGAACTAATTAAATGTAACGTCTCGCCTGTTCGAATGAAAAAACTAATCTCATAACTCGCCTGGAAACCGTGAGACGAATCTTTTGAGCCTAATTAATCTGTCATTAGTACATGTGGGTAACTGTAGCACTTATGACTAATTATGGACTAATTACGCTCAAAAGATTCGTCTCGCGATTTCCCCCCTAACTATACAAGATTCGATGTGATGTTTTTGGGAAAACTTTTTGAGGAACTAAATGTAACGTCCCGCCTCTCCCAGGCTGGGCCCGCACAAGTCTTTTCTGCACACTTTGTCCTCACTCGTGCGCACTCAGGAAGAATTTCCCAGTCGATCACCCATCCCGAAATTGCTCCAGGCCCACTCGTGCGCACTCGGGAAGAATTTCCCAGTCCGTCATCCATCCCGAAATTGCTCCAGGACAAGCACGCTTAATCTCAGAGTTCTTTCGAGATCGGCTTCTGGAAAAGAAGTTGCAATTTCGAGATCGGCTTCTGAAAAAAAAGTTGCAACTTGTTGATATGAGTATTCTATTAATCCTATTAAACCCTGGGCCGGGATGTTACACTAAACCAGGCTATACAGTTAGTAATGTATCATACCGAACCAAGCCTACAATTAACGGAAGAAATCAGCCGCTACCCATTTTTAGTCCTGTTTTTTTTAATCTTATTCACTGAATTAGTTTAGGGATGGACAGGAAGCTCGTGGCAGGCTCGGCTCGGCTCGCCTTGCCTCATTTGAATTTCCTAACGAGCCGAGCTGGCATTTCAGCTCGTTAGAGATAACGAGCCAGCTCGAGCTGGCTCGCGAGCAGCTCGCGAGCCTTAACGAGCCAGAGCAGATGAGGCCCAGGCGCCCAGCCCAACTCAACAGCCCATCACCTTCTAAAAACCCTAGAGTAAATCCCCTTCTGGCTTGTCCCCATCACCAATCCCCACCCAAGCTGCCGCCAGCCCTCAAGGCCTCAACGCTGCCGCTCCTCCTCGGTGCCGACGCCGCCGCCCGTGGACGCCGCCGCCCGCGCCGCTCCTTCCCGGCACCGATGCCGCCGCCCGCGGCTCTCCTCCCTGGCGCCGACGCGGCCGGCCGTGGACGCCGCCGCCCGCGCCGCTCCTCCCCGGCGCCCACGTGGCCATGGATGCTACTGCCCGTGCTACTCCTCCCCAGCGCCGATGCCGTCAGGGATGCCACCGGCCTCGCCGCTCCTCCCCGGCGCCCCTCCTCAGTTCCTCCTCTTGTTCGCTTTCTCTGTTGTCCCCAAAGCTCACGAGCC